CAGTCTCCACTCGGCGACGCACTACAGCCATATGGCGCCCATCTTCTCCCTCTTCCCTCCCCACCTTCCGCAGTCCCTATACGGGCTGGCGAAGAGAAGGTAAAGTGCCCGAGACCGGGTTGTGACAGATGTAAGTTCACTGTTACGTACCCTGGCCTGCGCTAATTCAGTATGATAGTCGTTATCAAACGCAACCTCCGCCCTCATCTCGAGAAACACGACGTCCCGCTCGAGGCACGCAAAGTTCATCAGTGTCCTCATTGCGGGGTTGGAGGGTACACTCGTCGAGACGATCGCAACAAACACGTCCGCAAACACCACTCTCTTTCATGAACGACAACTGCTCTTCCATTGACCAGTGGGTACCTTCTGCGCGTATTTCTGATGAACCGACACTCACGGGTGCATCATGTAGTCTTCGCATTCCTATCGCGGAATCACGCTCCTTCGCGCCTAAACCCCACACTCTTTACGACCGGTCCACGCAGTGCATATCGCTGGTGGGTTGTCCGACGTTCTTTCCGCTCGATCAATCCTCACAAGCTCATTCTGTACAGGCTCGACCACATCTAGTATCTTTCGTAGTTGCCTTCAAAACACAGCTTTTCGAGACTCCCACGGACGCCCAGATGTTTCTGGCGCGCACCGGGAAGGGATGTCCCGACGCTGATCGGCTTCGTCCTTTGAAACGTTGCGGGCCCACCTGAGAGGACTTCAACCGCCCTACCTTCCGTCGTCAACATCTCACATTCCTCTCCTCGCCCCCTTCCTCCGATCTCGCTGGCTCGAGAATCCTCGGAACAAGACCGAGTGCAAGAATCAAGATCAAGACCGCGCAAGCGGCGTTTCAGCAAGTCTCCCCCGGTGGCCCCGCAACGTTCACAGCAACGTTTCAAAGGACGAAGCCGATCAGCGTCGGGACATCCCTTCCCGGTGCGCGCTATGCTCAGCACAGTATATGCAACTCGCCTTCGTCGACCATGCCCACACTCGTTATCCCCCACACTCGTTCTGAACCACCATCCCACGTGTGACGGCGGCCCACTCCAACGCTTCCTCGGTGCTCCGGTTCGTTGACTTGACGCTTTTTGCGTGCTGGGTGAGGTGCTTATGATCATTTATTCAGGATGAGATAGCACGAACGACGTGCAGCCGCCCACCGTCAGTCGACAGACGGTTGGACAGCACCGATATCCGCGGCTCGCGATGACGTCATGGTGAGTAGCGCCTAAGCCTCAGCCGGTGCGGGCGATGTGCTCATCTCCATGTTACAGAGCCCGCCGCATCAGACAATCCTCACAAGCTCAAACCGGAGCCCATTCCGAGCGGAAGAGCGTCGTCGCTCGTTTCTCCAAATGTACTATTTGCGTCCGATTGCTTTGTGTCTGCTCCTCACCCCTGCTCTCCTCGTTACTCCTCGTTGTCGACTACGTTTTCATGAAGAATGCTATGATCTGTGCTCTCATGTTGGTGTCCGCGTGATTTGTGTGTGACTGTGGGCACCGTGCTGAGTCCTGACGAATCTGACGATGAGACCCGCAGGCTTGATCGAGCTGGATCGGGTGGCAGAATCGATCACCATGACTCCGCCTTCAAAGTCCGCGAATCGTTCAACTTCAAGTCCGCGAATGGTTCCGTGACTTCCGTCCGTTTTGAACGCTCGAGGCCACAATCCTCTCCTCGACGATGCGCTTTGTTTCTGCAGGCAAGAGTCGTCGTCTGTACCGTCAGCTACTAGCCTCTGAAGATGACTAAGCATCTTCCACGTGTGCCGCAGAGGCTTCTTGCACTCTGCGGCTCGAGTATAGGCGACGCGCGGGCATGCCACTCACCTTTCCCCTTCCCCTTCCCCACTCCTCTTCCCTCCATCTTCGACCGCTGGACCTGCCTTGCTTCATATAGCAGCGCAGAACGATGGAACAGTCCTCCAACCATAATCCCGCCGACGATCCCGTCCATGCAGACGATGGCGCATGCGATCCCGCGGCTTCCCTCCATGAACTTCTCGAAGAGCTCCGTGGGTTGCCCCCATGGCTCACTCTGGCAGAGCTCATGAACATGGGCCAGTACATTGACTGGGATCAATGCGGACCCTCCCCGTCCACCTCTGGCTTGGATACTTCCTCGGCCATCGACTCTGCACCCACACCTTCGTTATCATCCTCCGTGACATCCCCCGCCTCCTCCTCGTGGTCGCCCGAAACACCCGCCCAAGCCTTTTCTCCACTAGAGGTCCTTGGATCTCCGGTCGGTGACTTTCAAGCCTTTTCTCAACCAGCCTCTCCCACTCCCGCTCGTCGACCCGCCGAAGAGAAAATGGAGTGCCCGGTATGTGGTAAACGTAACTGTACCAATACGCCGTGCATCAGTCGGGCCGCTGATGTCGTGTGGCAGTCATCACAAAGCACAATCTACACGCCCACTCCAAGACTCATGAAGACCTTCAGGACCGCAAAGTGTTTGCATGCATGCAGTGTTCGAACACCTATACGCGGACGAATGATCTCAAGCGGCACGTCAAGCAACACCACGCTCCGTCATAAGCGACCACCGCTCTACCATCAATTGACTAGTGAGTGCGCTATTGCATATGATCCGCTGGTCCTAGCCCACCAGCTTATGATGCAGTCTTTGTAGCCTCATCTCGGAACCACGGTCTCTCGCACTTCGAACCAATCTTGCTTACGACCTGTCAACGTAGCGCGTATCGCTGGTAAATTTTCCATCTTCCCCTCTTTCTGTTTAGCGCCAACACTCCAAGTACTCAAGTTTCGTGATTGCCATCCGGACGTCCACAAGTCTCGTCAATAGTTGCAGGGCCGATGATAAGCCCGCCGATCAATCGTCTGCCCGAAGATCAAGCATACTTACCACAAGAACCAGGACCACGGTCTAAGGCGTGACGGGGTCGTTCGGCGTCCGGAACATCCATCCAGCGCTCGATTTACCGCAGCATACTCCATCCAACTCTCAACATCTCATCGCACATCGATGCCGTCCTTGCCGCTCGTGTCTCACTGCCATCGTGCAGCCAGCGCGCGACTCCCCCCAATCGCAGGCATGTCCGCCGGTGCGAGGCCCGATCGCGACTCGCGACTCGGCACGCGACGGCACCATCTTATGCCGTCCACCAATGCCTTTGCCTTCCACATTCTCCACATCCCTCGCCGCTCCTATGTTAAACCCAAGATCTATCACACACGATGCGCCCTCACACCTGGTGGCTCCCGGGCCCGACGCGACAGTGTCCGTAACGCCTCATTACGATGGCTCCATCCGTTCATCGACGCGCTCCTGTACGCTCTTCTCGCGCTGCAGTGCCGACGATGCGCAGGCGCCCCGTACATGGCACGTGATGACGTCATTGCTGGTATGTAGGTTCGAACATGTGTCGCTGGGATGGGTTTAAGCTGACGTCTTTCCGCAGAGCCATTGTCAGCCCACAACACATGCCATGCGCACGGCTCAATATCGAGCAGTGCGCTGTTGAAGTCGCCTCACATAATGTACTACTACTGCTACCACGGCTGCTACCGTGGCACTGTCCTTGCTGTCTGGCACAAGCCGCCGATGCCATTTTTTTCATACACACCCAGAGACCGTCCGCCGTCCGTACACCCCTTTGACATGCGAATATTTGCAGCCCGCATACGCGCAGCGGGTTATGCCCCATCCCCCGGCGTCGGCCGCCAGTCTCCTTCTCGCAGCCCAAAGGGTGATTTATCAAGGGAACCATGAATATCGAAAGCCGCGGTTCTCGAACACGCCTCGCAGTACGGATATCAGGTGTTTGAATGACCTTCCGCTGGGTGTCATTAGGCGGGGAAAGTGTTTATTGACTGTGAATAGTGCATCAAATCCACGCCGAACAAAAGCGGGGAAGCACTTGAGGAGAGGTGGAAGCCTACTATTTCCCAACATCGCAGGCACACGAGGGGTTCCCTGAGACGAAGGGGTGGCCCCCAGGAGCAGAGGTACTTCGTTACCGCGTTCATGAGATCAGCTACACATTCTGGTCACTACATACACCATTGAGATAAGGTAAGGACGCGAACATACCTATACCTATACCGCTCGACTGACAGCAACTCTTCCACCTCCATGGCCTCTTCCCCGTCGTTATCTCCTTCCAAGGTGGACGCACAACCCTCCCCGACGGTCGCCATGCGCGCCGAGTGCCGTAGCTGGGGTTCGTGCACTCCGATAAAGCGAGTTGGTGAGGATACAAGTCCGGGGTGGGAGCGAAGCGAGGTACCGATCTTATCATGCGAGTTCCCTCCATTTCCAGAGTACTTGTTCGATTCTATGGGTCCGGAAACCAGTCCGAGGGGTGTGGGGTGCGAAAGGGGAAACTTCTCCAGCGAGACCAATGGGGAGCACAGAGGCGTGGGCTTGACCTTGCCTTCGGTGACAGCATCCAATATTTCATTCTTCGGGGACCAGGCGTTCTCGGGAGGATAGCTAGGCCACTGTTCCACGCGGACGGAACGCGAAGAGAGGAGTCCGGTGACGAGACAGACGACGGCTTGGGTGAGCACGGTGCATGGGCGGAAGACCAGCTGAAGTAGGCGTAGAGTGGTATCGGCAAGGAAGGCTTTTGCTGAATGGCGTAAAGACGGCGTGTAGAGGATGCAATGAACTGCCAAAAGGGACTGCCAGACGAAACAGAGGGAGAGAGAACCGACAGAGAGGAGGCAAGCGAGAGAAATGGTGGCCAGGCATTCGGCGGCGACGGGGCCTAGCATCACGGGGATGAGGTGACCTTCCATGCTTTTGTGACCAGATAACAGGGATATAAGACGAGAGTGCGAGCTGAGGACGGTCGTCGGTGAGTGCCCTCGCCCGCGGCAGGCCCCGGGCGGCTAATTGGTGCACGTGATCCATCATAATTTACAAGGCCGTTGCGCAACAGCCATGCTTCAAGTTCTCTGTCTCCCCTTTGGCCACCTCCCTCTTCTCCATCATAGCCTGGCCCGCTGCTGTCAAAACGGTGGCTCTACATGAAAGCAAACTATCGCGTACGGAACGGTCTTGCCGCTCACAACTCGGGCTGATCTTTTTTCAGTTCTCGAACCTCTGCGGCACGGTCTATAGACAGGGCAATGTTGTATTCACCCCAGATGGAAACTCGGTGCTAAGCCCAGTGGGAAACCGTGTCTCTGTTTTTGACCTTGTCAAGTGAGTTAATCAATCCTGCTCTGTTCGCCCTCTGAGCCATAGCAGCAACAAGTCTCGCACCTTCGCCTTTGAGAACCGAAAGAACATTGCCGCCATCGCGTTGAGCCCAGATGCTACAGTCCTGTTGAGCGTGGACGAAGGTACGTGGCCGCCTCTGTTCTTCCTTCTGCGTGTTCTCAGATAGCTCTAGACGGTCGTGCTCTCCTCGTCAACTTCAAACGCGGGGCCGTCCTTCACCACTTCAACTTCCACAAAGCCATCAAGGCACTCCGCTTCTCTCCGGACGGAAAGTAAGTATGTATCATGACTTTTTGTCTTGGTTCATTGGTCTTACAGACGACTTCAGATACATCGCGGTGACCCATGACTCTCACATCCAAGTCTGGAAGACCCCCAACCATCTGATCCGAGAATTCGCGCCGTTTGAGCTGCACCGGACATACACAGGTCACCATGACGAAGTTTTGAGCATTGAGTGGTCTCCGGACTCCAAGTGAGTACTCACTTCGAGCATATATAGACCGCTCGGCTCAAGAATACCAGATGCTTCATCACAACCTCCCGGGACATGACGGCACGCCTTTTCACGCTGGACCCGCTAGAGGGTTTCCGACCGAAGACGTTTGCGGGCCATAAGGATGCGGTCTTGGGGGCATATTTCTCATCTGATGCGAAGACTGTGCGTCTGCTCAATATACCCTTCGTTATTCCTGGCTGACGCGGCCGTAGATCTACACCGTCAGTCGCGATGGTGCTGTATTCACGTGGAAAGCGAAGACTCCCGATATGGACTCCGAAGACGACTCCGACAGCGACGAGGATGACGAGCCGGTCGCGTCAACCTCACAAGCGCTTTTCAGCGAGATTGCCAACACTCGGTGGGGGGTCCAGAAGCGGCACTACTTCAACCAGAACGGTGCCAAGGTCGTTTGCACCACGTTCCACCGGGGCTCGAACCTACTTGTCGTCGGCTTCTCAACAGGCGTGTTCGGGCTCTGGGAAATGCCAGGGTTCTCAAATATCCACAGTCTCAGCATCTCGCAAGAGAAGATCTCGTCCGTGGCGATCAGTCCGTCGGGCGAGTGGCTGGCGTTTGGTGCGAAGAAGCTCGGGCAGCTGCTGGTGTGGGAGTGGCAATCAGAGTCGTACGTGCTCAAGCAGCAGGGCCACTTCTTCGACATGAACACCCTCGCGTATTCCCCGGACGGACAGCACATCGCGACTGGAGGGGACGACGGCAAGGTCAAGGTGTGGAATACGACATCCGGATTCTGCTTCGTCACTTTCTCCGAACACTCCGCCGCTGTCTCGACTGTAGAATTCGCAAAACAAGGACAAGTCCTCTTCACGGCCTCGCTAGACGGAACAGTCCGCGCGTTCGACCTCATCCGATACCGCAACTTCCGAACCTTCACATCCCCCACCCCCGTCCAGTTCTCCTGCCTCGCCGTCGACCCCAGTGGAGAAGTCATTGCCGCTGGTTCGACTGACTCGTTCGAGGTCTTCCTTTGGTCGGTGCAAACAGGCAAGCTTCTGGACGTCCTCACGGGTCACGAAGGTCCCATCAGCACCCTCGCCTTCTCGCCCACCGGCAGTCTGCTTGCAAGCGGTTCCTGGGACAAGACGATACGGGTGTGGACGGTGTTCGGTCGTTCACATGCTGTCGAGCCCCTACAGCTTAGCGCCGACGTCCTCGCAGTCGCGTTCCGCCCAGACGGAAAGGAGCTCGCGGTGGCTAGCCTCGACGGGCAGGTCATGTTCTTCGACGTCAATGCGGGCAAGCAGACGAACCTCATCGACGGACGACGCGACATCTCTGGGGGCCGGAAGGCGGACGACCGGATGACGGCAGCGAACAGCGCGTCGGGCAAGGCGTTCAACTCTCTGGCCTACACCGCCGACGGGAACTGCGTCATCGCCGGCGGGAACAGCAAATACGTCGTGATCTATGACGTCGCAGAGGCGGTGATGGTCAAGAAGTTCCAGATCTCGGAGAACCTCAGCCTGGACGGCACGGAGGAGTTCCTCGACAGCCGGCGGGTGACGGAGGCGGGAAACTTGGATCTGGTCGACGACAGGGGCGACGACAGCGACCTGGAGGACCGGATGGACACCGCGCTTCCGGGCGCGCAGCGCGGCGACATGTCGAAGCGTCGGTACCACCAGGAAGCCCGAACGAAGTGCGTCCGGTTCTCGCCCACGGGCCGCGCGTGGGCTGCGGCGTCGACGGAGGGCCTCCTCATCTACGCCGTGGACGACAGCGTCACGTTCGACCCCTTCGACCTCGACATCGACCTCACCCCTCAAGCGGTGCTCGACACCCTCGCCCGGCGCGAGTTCCTGAAGGCGCTCGTGATGGCCTTTAGGCTCAGCGAACGGCCGCTCATCCTGAAGGCATACGAGGCCGTGCCGCGCGCGGACATCCGGCTCGTCGCGCGGGCGCTGCCGGTGCTCTACGTGGGCCCGCTCGTGCGATTCGTCGCGGAGCACATGGAGCGCAGCCCGCACGTCGAGTTCGACCTCCTCTGGGCGAGCGCGCTGCTCGGCGCCCACGGGCGGGAGCTCCGGGACCGGGCGGGGGAGTATGCAAGCGTGCTCCGGGTGCTACAGAAGGGCCTGGTGGACTTTGAGCAGCTCGTGTCGCGGTTGTGAGTATGAGCCTCTGTTCAGTGGTGGAATTGGTCTGACTGGTGACGTTTGGCAGATGCGACGACAACAGTTCGATGCTGGCGTTCTTGATCGACCAGCTGAAGGTGCAACGGAGAATGGAGGGCGCGGATGTCGAGACTGCAGTTTTCTGAGGATCGCGGCATGGTTCATTGGCTTGCACGTGCTAGCGTCCAGCTTTGTAGAACTGTGCGGTGTATACCTCGCGCCTAGGCAAAAGTACAATACATTGTGTATTCTTCCACTTATGTGCGTTGAATGACCTCTCGAGGCTGACACCGGTGAGTATGGAAAGGCAAACGGAACCTTCAATCGTACACCCCCGAACGGCACATACGGGATCTGTGCCCTTCCACGGACTATCCAACCTCTTCGCGAGAGACGGGCGAAACAACCAGTCGTGTCGTCATCGTCGAGCACGCGCCGCACCGGCAACACGTGTGCTTGGCGCGGCCACATTCGGCTAGCCGATGTCAGGCCAATTCCAACTCCGATAGTTCCTTTATCACCCATCTTTTGCTCGAGTCTTATCCGCTTCTCTCTCATCCTTTCGGCCTTTCAAACACTAACAAAACCTCCTCCTCCTCGTACCAGCCCTCCAGTCCTTAAAACCCCCCATGAGGGGTGCAAAACGAAAGGTAAGAGTACCCTGAACCAGTCTGTACCCCTCCATATCTCACAAACACGCCGTATCAGGGCCGCGGCCACCTCATCATGATCAGTAAAGAGCATTTGTGATGGCGCCCCTCTCTGCTCTTTACCCTGTATTGTCGGAGTCCGAATATCCGCACTACCGAGCTTCGACGCTCTTTACTTGTCACCCATCCTGGCTTCGACGCTCTTTACTCCGTCCAGGCCACGCCCGCTCGCTTTCTCGTTGGCTGCGACGCTCTTTACTAGGCCCCACCGACGCGCGGAGCTACTCACGCCTCTCAGTTGGACGTCGGGAAGATGGGGTATAAAATCCACAACGTCGGAGAGGGACATGGCCCACCAGGCAGTCCCTCATAGCCAACCCATCCGACTTCCGCGCCCTCCGCTCCACTATAGTCCTACGACCTGCAGTGCCAGCGTCCACGTCTCCCAACATGCAGTCAGCCTACGACTATTCCGTTGCCATGTATGTCCTGTCCAAGCTGGCCTACTCTTGACGAGGTTCTCACCGAAATTGATCTCTGATACAGGTCTCACCAGGTGCCTTTCACCTATGAGGACCTGGACATGTACACCTCCTCGATGATCACCGGACCACACCAGTACTATGTGCACGAGCCATGCGTGCAGGCGCACCAACTTCACTACAACGTCGACTTCGACTTTGACTCGGTGCCTTACGGGGCACCCTCCGTTGGTCCTTTATCGCAGGACTGGGCTCCAGAACTCACTTCGCTGGACCTTCCACCGTTCTTCGAAGACTTCGAGCGCTTCATAGACTCGGCGTACGCTCAGCTCCAGGCCCCCGACCACGAAGCGCCTCCTCGTCCAGCCCGCTCAACTATCGACCTGCCTCCCGCCCTCAGCCCTCCTGTGTTCGTACATCGCTAATTCGTGACGACGATCGATACTCATCGGAACTTCAGCTCCGGCCAAGGATCATCAACCCGTCCTCCCAAGGGGTCCCGCACCGCCCACGCGCGCCCTGCACCCACATCTCCCGTGGACGCGGACCTCCAACCCATACAAGTCTCCTCCCCCAACGACACTTATCCCTGTCCCATCCCGGGCTGCGGCGCCGCGCTCGCGTACAAAGACTCGGCCTGGCGCCGCCACTTCAAGACCGTCCACCACGCCGCGCTGTGCTCCACCTGCCCCGCGTCGGGCGCGGGGTCGCCGTGCATGGCGCGCTGCCCGGTCCCCGGCTGCCCCGACGCCCACGGCGCGTCCGGCGGCCGGCGGCGGAGCGAGGACGGGACGATGACGCTCGACAGCCTCGGGCGGCACTGGCTGAACGTGCACATCGGCGTCGTCTTCCGCTGCCCGCTGTGCGGGCACGAGGGGATGATGCGCGAGTCCGCGGCGACGCGGCACGTGCGGAGCTGCGCGCAGAGGCGGCGCGCTGGCGGCACGCGGGCGGCGACGCACTAGATCCCTTTCCGAGACCTCTGTTCTGTTGTACCGCACATTTTCGACGATTCAACGCGCGGTTGTGCTGTTCGCATTTCCACTGCGCCTCCACTACGCCCTCGCTTCATAACCGCGGACAGCACCGGCTTAGCGCCTCTCCCATTGGGGCCTCGACCGACCCCTCAAGCTTCCAGCTTGTGTTTCCCGGGAACATCGCGGAGGCGCGTTGTGATGTCCTCGGGGACGACGCGAACCGTCATGGCATGCAACTTGGAGAGCGTCCGAGCAAGAAAGTGAGCACAGACGGCAATGTGGCTCTCCAGTAGCGCGCGGTCTTCGACGGGGCCAACTATCGTGTTGTTGCCGGGTCCCACTATGTACTGTCTACCATTTTTGTGTCGTGCACTACCGTACGTTACGGCTATCACAGGGCTCTGTCGACATGAAATCCTCCCCGTATGCGCTAGCCCTCCCCGCTTTGTAATTACCGTACGTACCGCCTACCATAGGGCTCCGCCCTCACGGGCGATAAATGGGATACAAAAAAACAAACAAACAAACAGGGCTCTGTCATCGAGGGAAAATAACAGGGAATTAAAAGAATTGTCAACGTGCGCGCCTCCACGCGCGGAGTGTCGCGGTGTAGGAGAAGGTTCCCATAGCGGGAATGACGCTCTCGAGGATCGTGCGGAGGTCTAAGGCGATCGGCGCGAATCAGTATTTGAGGAGTCGTGGTAGGGGACAGGTCGTGACGTACCAGCTTCTGTGTACAAGTTGACAGGCTTGTCACCACTCGCCGCCCTCACGGCGTATAGCGAAACGCGGGAGCCTGAGATACGAGTGAGCTCATGCCGTCTGCCACTCGCCGCGCACTTACCTTGTCCGCGAGCTCGCGGGTGTTCACCATGGCGTCGCACACAGGCTTCCCGTACTTCTCGTCCCTCCGCCGGTTTTCTAGGTGGTAGTACACCTGCAGCGCAGAGCGGGAGCCGACTCAGCATGGCGCAACGAGTGAGAGAAGGGATGCCCCCGGCGCACCATGAGGACGGCGGCGACGGCGGCAGAGAAGAAGTGAAGGGCGCAGTTAACTCCGAAGCCTTTGCTGCAGCCCCATGTTAGCGACAACAAATATCCGGAGGCAATCACTACGATTACGAACAGGTAGCGGGGACCTTGGGTGAGTGGATACAGGTGGGAACCTAGGACGGCCCCGCACTGTCCGATCGCCATGTACAGCGCGGTACCGGCGGCCTTCTTTGATTCAGAGCCGAGGTTGTGACAGTCTGCGTGGATCATGATCAACAGACAGGCGACGCATGAACAAGCCGGGGTGCTTACACCACGCGAAGAGGATCGACCCCATGGAATATGTCCCGCTGGTGATACAGAACGTGGCGAAGTATCTCACGTGCTTGTTGTCTGCGACTGTGACCAGCAGACTGGGCAAGATCGTCAGTGTATGTGCAGATGACGTTGAACGCCAAGTTGCTCACATGTAGCCGATTCCGCTCAGAGAAGACGTCGCGATGACGAATGGGCCGCGCAGCTGAGAGCGGTCGGAGGCATAAGATACGAGGCAGAGAACGATCGAGCCCACGGCATAAGGCGGGACGGTGAGCAGCTGAGCGAGGGCATTCGCTGGGTATAAATCAGCCGTCGTCTAAACAAAGAACACGAGAGCGCTTACTGTATCCAAACGTGGTGATGATAGTAGGAAGAAAGGCGGCGATGGAACTGAAGGAAGCGGCAGCGGCGAGAAATTGTAGCCCTCCTGCGTAGACCTGAAGATCCTTAGGTGGTGGGCCTCGCAAGAGCCACGTATGTAACGCACCTTCCAGTCGGTAAGTGCCCCGTACACATGACCTATACAGGGCACCCGGTCAGCTGGAGCCTAGCGCTGTGAGACCTCAGCGACAAAAGCCAACCCACTTCGGTTGATCACCTGCCCAGCGTCCGCGCTAGTCCCTCGATTCGCGCGTTCCAGTGCCACCTGGCGTTCGCGCTCGTTGAGATAGGACGTCTGCTCGGGACGATCGGGTAGAAAGAACAAGGCGAGCAGCCCGAGAACGATAGAAGGTGTGCCCTCCACGATGAACAGTAGCCGCCAATTCTCGATCGCGATGTGCGCGTGCTGGATTCCGAAGGCGAGCAACCCGCCGAACGCGCCGGCGACACCGGCGAAAGCGGTGTAGACGGCAAGGCGCAGGCCTTGTTCTCGTGGCGTGTAGAAGAACGCTGAGCGGAATGTCAGGAGAATGATGACGATGAGGGGGAGATGATGCCATACACAGGTAGAGAGGGACGGTTGGGGAGAATCCTCCTTCGAACGCGCCTATGGCAAGACGCGAAACGAACAGGCCGGCAAAGTTGAACGATGTTGCCTAGGAAAGCTAGCTCGGTATGTGCACGGAAAACTTGAAAACGCGAGACACATACCATCAAAACTGCAGAGACTCCCCACCCCACAGCAACGAGGCAGAACCAAATTCGAGGCGGGCAGAGCTTGGACAGTACTGTGAGAGGCACGGGACACAGAACCTGCCGAAAGTCTATCAGGAAAGCATCTCGGCTGGAGTACGGACGACGTACAAATGAAAAGTAAAAAGCGGAATTTGCCCAGTCAAACAAGACACCGGTGGGGTCGCCACCAAGAATGTCCTGAGGAAGTCCTTGCAGGCGAGCGTTGCCGAGATTCACTCTGTCGAGGTCTAAACATAGTGGTAAGGATGGAGCAATAGCAAGAAGTGTAGGCACTTACAGGAGCACAAGAACAAGCAACAGATGAAAGGCATGATTCGCATGTCCAGCCTTCTGACCAAATGCTTCTCTTCCGCAGGCGTTGCCTTCTCATCTCGAGTGACTGCTTCACGATCCGGCTGAGGAGTGGGCGTGACCTCCTGCTCAGAAGGCGAGTCCTTCTCGTTCATCGACATCGTGGCAGAACGAAGGGAGGAAGAGGAGATAGCATGCGTTGACCTTAAATACGGTTTGCCGAGACGGGAGACGGCGTTTGGACGGCGGCAATGAGAGCTTAGAAATCTGATTAGCGAGGGCGAAAGCGACCAGAAGCAAGGTGGAAACCGAGCCAGATCCGGGAGTAAGTGCGTGTCGGGGCGTTCCCACTTGATCCCAGCTGAGCTAAATGAGAGTGTGCTTGCACGCTGCGCTTTCTCGGTCTCCTCAAGGGGTGCGCGGCTCACCTCATCTGAGGTGCGCCGCATGCGAAAGCGCAGTACACGGGATGCGGGCGAGAGCCCGGAATAGTCCATAGGACAAGGTGCACCGCGCTACGCCCCATCAGAGACACGGTCAAGCGACCGGCACAAACCTGCAACAGATATGTCTGCTTGCCCCTGTGGTGTTTGCATACTGGCGGCAAACAGAGTTACTTGTTATGGATGCACTGCACAGAAACCAAAAGTATATAGTGGATGAAGGCCGAAATGGATCCAAATGCAGCGTTGGCTACGAAGTAAAGGATGACGGCCGCATATGTCTTCTGACAAGCATTCCAAATACTGTGTCAAAGGTTTGCCGTACTCTGGACGCAAGGGAAATGCGTTTTCAGTGTCGGCCCCTATTCGGAGATGTATATGAACCACATACGCTTGTTCGGCACATGACTCGTGTCAGAGCTCGTCCCTCGATTGGGCTTGCACTCGAGTATTTTCTGCCAAACCGCTGCTCTGGGCGGTTCGGCAGAAAAACGAGTGCGACGACGCCGAGGATGATTGAGGGGGGTCCTTCCACTATGAGCAGTGTTCGTGATCGCAATGTGGGCATTCAGGATGGCGAAGGCAAGGAGCCCACCTAACGCGCCTGCCACTCCCTCGAAAGTGGTGTATCCGGCGAGATGGGGACCTTGTTCCTTGGGGTAAAAGAACGCTGGTGTGGAGGAACACCGTTAGATGCATGTATGCGCGCTCAGAAATCAACTGCGTACGAATATAGGTACAAGTGTAGAGCCCGCCCACCAATACTCTGAGGACAATCCGAGACACCAGCCGTCCGAGGAAGTTGAACGCGGTGGCCTGAGACGGTATGAGGAATGCATGAGGATGTGGCGTCGAGCAACTCACCACCACCGCGCATGTACCCCGAGCAAGAGCGACAAAGCAAACCCGGAGGTAGAGAGCGCACGGCTTCATGGGGAGTACGATAGGCACAGAGCAGATGATCTGTCCGGCGTGTTCGCGTCATCATTCGAGTATGCAATTGGAATGGGACGCACGTATGAGAGGTGGAAGAAGATGGCGCTGGAGTCTCCGTTGAGCACACCTTGAGGGAGTCCTTGCAACAGGTCGATCCGGTCGAGCTCTGCATGGCGCAGAGTGAAGGAAAAGGAGCCATGTCGGGCGAAAACACGTACATGAGCTTCGATGTATGCAGGATCCGCATGCCAAGCAGCATCCTTACTAGGAGCTGCTCCCCTTATCCCTCGTTTGTTGGTGCGCCATCTCGTTTGACTCCAAGCTCCGCCGTCAACGTCCTCTTTGGTATTGTCGAGAGCCAATTGGTAGCGGCAAGCCGGTGAATACTTGGAGAGGCGGGCATGCCGCGTGGAGACTGAAGCCCATCTCTAGCGGTATCGAGGCGATTTGACGGGGCAATGTGGAAGTAACGACACGGCTTGATAAAACAGCAGCACTGGGAAGATGGGAGATGGGGGCAACGGGGAGTGAATGAAGGTGTTGTTCTAGGGGTAGGTATATGAGTCTATGACGCATTGTCTCACTCTTGTCACATGACCGCGACGCGATCACCCTCACTAGTGTCATGGCCTCATAATGTTGCCGATCAGCCGCTAAGCGTAAGTACACAGCTGCATGTTCTCCCTCTTCCCTCCTGGCGTCCTTCCTCCGAGAAAAGGTGTGAGGCGTGCGCATCGCTCGGCGCAGCTCGCTGAGGAACGCGAGACCTTGCTCCGATTGGACAGGAACACGCGGTGGGAGTAATCTAGCCGCCAGTATCCTCGGCTTCCCGCGAGTCCAACCCCAGTCCACCACTTGCTTCTGCTCCTCATCCTCCTCCACCTGTCTACCATCTTGCCTTCCACTACGATTCGCAGCCCCTTGTTCATCATGACCCTCTCACAGAGTCCTCCTCAGCTCGACGATAATCTTTTGCTCGGCCTCGACTTGGAGACACAATCCCCCGTCGACTGGGAGGTCTGGAACACCATCCAACCGGTGTTGGACCAACGTTTCCGTACCGCTGTCAACTTCCCCGATGGTATGTTTCCTCATGCTTTACACCGGCTCTGCTCTAAGGAAGCCGTTTTGTACCCAGCCGTCGACGAATCCAGGGACGTCCGCCTGCAGCAGTCTGTGCTGCGGTATCACCCGGGAATCCAAGTCGACGGTTCGCCTTACCACCCACACAATCCGTCTTCGCAGTTCTCAAGTTGCCAAACATCGGCCTTGGATGGCCTGCTTTTGAGCCCTCTCATCAACACGACCGGTGCTTTCGTCAACGCCGGACCCCCAAACGACGGTCAGCTGTTACCCTTTCCCCCAATCATCGGCGTTCAGGGGGAGTCTATGTACGCCGGGGATAGCATGGGGGCTTCGTTTACATCGCTCTTCGACCCCGAGGAGCCTCCATCGCTCTACCCCGGCGATGTGTTCTCTCCCCCGAGCGCTGCGCCGGACGGTGTGGGGGATGCTGCGGTTGCGTTCGTAGCGCCCCCCACCCCCGAGGCACGAGTTCCGTACCAACCTCTGTCGGAGGTTGTGGAACATTCACCTTGTCCGTCGCTCTCGTCCCTCGTCTCCGACTGCGAGAGCTCCGAGAGTTCTCCCGGTCCGGCCACACCACCGTCCATTGGGGATCCACAGCACAACGGCAAGCAATTCCAGTGTGATATTTGCCTAGAATGTACGATTTCGATTCTCAACCCACATCCTGTGACGCTGGCTCATCCGTCTCCTCACAGGGTTCTCGACGAAGTTCAATCTCGGCCAGCACAAGAAATCCGGCAAGCACGCCGACATCAGGCCCTTCCCCTGCCCACGACCAGACTGCGGGCGCGCGTTCGCAAAGAAACACGACCTCACTCGGCACGTTGTCTCACACGAAGGGATCTCCCTTCGCAGTGAGCAGAAGAAGGAGAAGGTACGCGAGGCCGTGAAGAAGCAGCAGGTCAAGCGGAAGGTCAAGAACAGCCGTCAGTGACACCAAGCGACGTGTCCCAGTGCGTATCCCTCGTCTCGCTCTCCCGATTTCCGGCCTACTCCCTCATCCACCTCTCCGCCGCTGACTACCCTTCCGTCCCCACAGGCACGCAAGGGTCGCGTGCATCAGAAGTGCACCACTCCCAAAGCCCGGCACCCCACGCGAGCTGCCAGCCTCTATGAAGAGAGCGCTGCCGGCTCGCCTTAGGCGTCGGATTTTGAATGGGGGTGGTACAGATCTCATGGATGAGAAACGAACGTGTGGGTCTGCTCGGGGGACGGAACACCTAGCCCGGCGCTGGGTGGGTTCGTCCCGCGGTGGATGTACGCGTTCACGCGTGGGATACTCTCTTGTTCCTTACTATATGGCTCGTCTACGGTCTCTGTCTCGGTGTTTCGGTTTGCTGTGCCTGTATCCTCGTCTCTGAATGGCGACTGTTTCTGTCTGTTGTGGCTTCTTATGCACGTCATCGCTGTTTCTCGCCTCGCTCATTTCCCACACCCCACATCATGCCTTCTGCGCTCGTGTTCTGCCGTCTTGTTGTACTCGCTCTACCTTTCGATCATGCTGTGTGTTGACCTATGCTCTCCAAACCTCGTCTCTATAGCCCGTTGATGTTTGTAACATCGTTGTCCTATCTATATTCCGAATAGTCGAAGTGTACGCGTTCTTTCGACTGCTCCCCAGTGCTCACTCGAAACACGGTCACAATGACTTCAACGCATGGAGTACACAATGCACCCACGTCTTCAGCGCTTCATGGCCTCCTGTCTTCCCTCTGCCGCACAAGCCACCTCGTGACCTCCTGCACATTGGTCATCTGCAACCATGATCGGGGCTAAATTTCGCATGTCTTCGAAGTGAGACGAGGACGACGGACGTCCGCTGTGTTGAAGCATAGCTACCGCCCCCCGAAGGCGAGGCCATGGCTTCACGACAGATTGTTGTCAGACCTCTGGGAACGGAGACACAGCATTTGATCGGCTCATGCCCGTTTTCGTTACCATGTTCTTGTGCATGTGAGCAGCAATCTCTACTTCGCGCCGTCGGAGGCATCCGTACTTGGATGAAGGCCGCCAACCGCCGAGGGCGACGCTACCACCGCCGTCGTGCCTGGGGGCATGGCAGGGCCGGTGAGACTGTCGGCGCTTATAGTCGCTAGCCGAGTACTACAGCTGTTATCAGAACGATAGGCCGGTTCGAAAAAGTTTACACACAGAGTAAATCGAGCGGAGTCGCAATTTTTGACAGTTGCGAGACTTACCGGTGAGTAGCGAGTCGGAGCGACCTCTTCGCGCGAGAAGCGATGTCCGCGTAAAGTCGGTAATGGCGGAGTTCGGTTTGAGTTCGAAACTCTTGTGTGTGATTTTTCGATCAACAGGCCTATCGTTCTGATAACGGCTGTAATAGTGACGACTTATTCGCAGACCACGAATCACGACGCGGGTATGGCGCCGAGATGCCACCATCGCCACTTTTTACGCATGCTCTGTCGACATCACCTGGATGCATCATGCTGTTACGTATCATCGTCGCCCGTGTTAGGTCGTGGACTCCGTGGGCGGGGATATGGCTCGCGGTACGAGATGCGAGAGCGGCGGGGCTCGGGAGCAATCCCACGTGGAGAAGCGGGTGTGGGAGTATGGGTCGCACGGATCGCTGCGGGGGCTCACGCCCACAGGGCTCGGATTCTCCTGTGCACCAGCTGCCTTGTCGTACTTGCCGCCAATGTTCGCTTCAAAGTGCCCGCCATACGTCTGTTTTCACTCCGCGCGTCGTTCTACTGGTTCTCCAGGCCCGCTCCGCTCAACTGGATTTCGAATTCGACGACGTGGGAAGGAGACATCAGCACTTCAGCCTCTGTGGCGCGTTGCTTCTCCGCGGCGACGTCTCCATGAGAGAATCTCCGCATATGGTCAAGGCCAACTTCCTCGCCCCTGCGCGAAGCGTTTCGGGTATCTGCCGTCATAGAATATAAGAATGCTCTGGTTCATGGTCGCGGTGATACTGAGCACTCACCTGATGCTTGTGCCCTGCTCCGCGGCCCCAGCTTGATCTCAAACACCTCTTCAACGCTGGCCGCAGCTATGGAAAGTCCGATCACTCTGAGCGCGTACGTTAACTTCTTGCTGTTGCAAGATGGTACCGCGATTTCGCATGCTCATGTATGTGAGCCAGGCTTCAGAGTCGATGGGCGGTGGTCGGGTCCCTCGGTAAGTAGCATTTCTGGAGTACGAATTTGAAAAGCTACTCTGACGCATTCTCTCGTTCCCAGCCATCGTCGGCTACGACTATTTCCTCACACTTGATCGCGAGATTCAGTACATCTGGAAGAGGAAGATCTCGAGTGCAAGCGTGATCTATATCGTCATACGTTACTCCTCATTGGCCTCCAACGTCCTCACGCTCCTCAATTTCTTCTCCTGGCCGGGCAAATCAACACCAGTGAGAGCATTTCCGGACCCCGACAAATGCTAGACTTCTCTGACCCCCTTGATGTGACAGAAGTACGCACGCCGCCGCTCCCGTTCGCGCATCAGCTTTTTTGCAGTGCACACACTTATCTGCGCTACCGCCCCGCAGATGTAACGCGCTCGCACTGGCTTTCTCTGCAGTGGTTATCGCCATTATCGTGTGCTCTGCGGGTGGGTTCTTGATTCGGAACCTGACTTCTGCCAATGACTAATCACTGTGTGCCGCAGTGTTCTCGTCATTGCGAGCGCACGCGCTGTGCCAACGCAAAATCATCTCCTACCTCATTTTAGCGCTAGGGGTTGGGAACGCTGTTCCCTCGGTTGTGAGCACTCTCATCCTTTCTTTCAGCTTGACTGTGTCCAGCTCAACTCTGGGCTTTTCTCAGTATGGGGCGATCATGACTCGGGCCAGCTACAACCCAGGACCCGACAACATCAACGCCATGTGCAACATGGATTTCTCGCGATTCACGGTCTTCCGCAAGTGAGTGGGCTAGGTCTATCGTGAGGCAAGCTCGGGCTGATCACCTCCTTCCATAGTAGTCCGTTATCGCTTTTTCCCTCAGTAGACGTCTCTTAACTTATACTAAACAGCGATCTTGGTCGGGCGTTCCTGCGGGGTTATCGGCGACCTGCTGGTTCTTATTTTGACATGGAAGTATGCAGCACCGCGTAGAGGAAGCGCACACCAGAGGTTTACAGTTACATCGGCCTTTTTTCGCGATGGTAACTGCGTTGTTTTGTGTCATTGAGTCTGTGCGTTGACGCATCCGCTTCACTGCAGGTATTGCATACTTCGGGTGTGCCATACGTCCCTCCGTTTCGCGTTTGCTCTCCTCGCTCACACATTATACTTCCGACAGTGCACTCCTCGTTGTCAACGTCATGAACCTTGCCTTCATCGACAACCTTCAGGTAACACCGTGCCTCATGTGCCTGATACCACCGTCAAAGTGCAAGGCTGATGTCACCTTTCCAGCTCCTGTTCCTTCTCATCGATGCGCTCACTGTGTGCGTATTCCCGCTGTTTCGCCACGCTTTCTTTCCCTGCTGACGACGATGCAGCACGACCGTGATCTTGACCTGCCGCTTCGTCCTCGACTTATTCGAAGCGAGCGCGATCGCGCCCGCTGGCTCGCGCCCCACAGTACGCCTCTCGACCGTGCCCACTTCGCGGCCGACGCGCCCGCTCGCGCCCCGACACGTCGACGGTCCCGGCCCGACCAGCTCTTCACGAGGAATTTTCGACAGCCGGCGCAGAATGGAAGACAGCGAGAGCGTCTACAGCACCACGGATGACTACGACTTCGAGCTCCAGCCTGTGAGCTCGAAAGGACGAAAATCGAACGTGCGCCCTCTCGTATCGGAGCCGTGAGCATGTAGGACGTGTTTGTGAGTTATGTATATCCCGGAGCTGTAACTATGCATGTGTCTTGGAGCGTCCGAGTTGTGATATTTGCGGCTGTTTGGCACCGCAGAATGATTACTTGGGAGATATCCTGACGCGGCTGATCACCAACATGACAGAAATATGGGCATAGAAGCATGACGCACATATTCGGTGCTTGAAGAGAGGGGTGTCACATACGCAATGACAGTGCCTACACCGAGGTATCCGACTACCAGGAACAGTGCGGACGAATTTGAAAATCGTCGGCACCAAACATGTTGGATCTCTGAGCCGAGGGTCAGGATCCGGATATCACTGGAATATAGATTATGTAACACGTATGTGGTCGTGACGTGACTGAACGCGTTAAGTCACGCGATGCGCTCCAGCCCGATGAGAGGCGCCGGCTCCGACCTCTCCCCGCACCGTTCACGCTGTTTTCCAGTCTTACAACTCTCGCGCACCCTCGTATTCTGCACCGTCAATAATGGACAGCGTGACCCTCCGCTCCCAAGCAACAGACATGATATCGAAGACAGCGTACTAGTCGACGACTGTAAGCCTCGCGTGTCTAACGCAGCCCATTGCTCAGCCGCTGACCGAATGGACGCCTGTCTAGGCGTGAAGCTCTGCGAGAATCACAACATTTCTGGCGACGATCTCTTCTACAAGACAAGTGAGAGGCCGTCCCCTTCAGCCGCGGCCCCCGCCAGTTCAGCGGGCAGGACCTTAACGACGACCCGGCGCGACCTGGCGAAGCGTGTGGGGGTACACAAGACGCTTTTCTCGCGCGGGAAGCACTCCGGGCTCCAGCCGCGCAACTTCGGCGGGCCCTCGGCGGTGGCGGCGCGCGGAGGGTGTCCGCCGTTTGGGACCCTGGGCCCGATGGGGGCGCCGGTGAAGGGGAAGGTGCCAATCCCCGTGGCGAGAAGGATGTGTTTGATATGGTGCGGGTGGGGGGGGAGGAGGACGCCGGTGGCTGGACCGAGCAGGGTGGACTTCGTGAGTCCGGCGATGGACAAGAATTCGAGGAAGAGGCAAACCTGTGAGTGTCTTTCTTGAGAGGTCAGGCGAACTTGCTGAGCTCTGGAGCGCTGTAGACCATTACATGAAACCACTGGGAAGAAGTGAAGGTACGTTACGTACTCTCTGTTTTGGGAATCCTCAATCAACCTCTGGCAGTCCTGGACCATAGGATCGACTACTTTGGAGAACAGGTGAAAGAGCCCTCTAACATAGCGGAGCTATCTGCAGTGATGGATGTGCGTGATTCGCATATTTTCCCTTCTATCTGTATTCATCTTCCTCAAGGACGACGTCGTCGTAGTCGGTCGAATCGCTCAGGATTCCGAGTCGGGATCGGGGACCTCGCCGAGTCGTCACTGCTTCTCCAGTCATCATGATACATGGGTTCGGGCGCGCGGATTCCCCTCCACTTCGATTCCGACCCGAAGATGCGAAAGGGCAAGAAGGGACTCGCGGGTCACGGGCTGTTCCTGGGAGTTAATATCGCACTGAAGGGCAAGAACGAAGGAAGCGGCTCGTTCCTTACTTCAGAAGCTCTGTGGGTGAGTGCATGACATTCTAGACCTGTGTGGTGGTTAATGCTCGTATACTCAACTGGCTCCCCTAGAGCCTGCGCCCCCTTCGCTATGATGCCCAGCAACTAGTTTGAAGGCTACAAAGCCTGCCGTGGTCCTCCTGGTAAGCGAGGTTTCATGCGTACTGAACGCAACGATTACTGACTCTGACGGTCAGCTGTTTATTGATAGCATGTATCCTATGATCAAGGCGGGGGACGTTGACTCTACGCCTGAAGATATGTTCGACGCGCCCGAGGTCACCCTGGGCCAGCCTCCGACGGCCGCGGCGTCGAACCTTTGCCGGCACATCCTCTCGCAGCGGAGCTTCCCTCTTCCCACTCGCGGCCGCGCACGAAGCCAACCTCGACGTGACGCATGCAGAGCTGCTCAGCCTCGCGCTCGAACCGGACGACACGGATGCCGACGCGGAGCCATGCCCGGGGCGGCGACGACGACTCGAGCATAACGCGGTGCGCTCCGGACGCTGCCTTGTCGGCTGAAGCATTTCTTCAAGGTTAGTGTCGTATTCATCGCCTCCTGCTGCCTTAGCCCAATGTAGATCGGGGATGATACAGTTGCGATCGACTCTCCAAGTTGATGTATGCCATCGTCGAGGTCGTAGACTATACAAGCGTTTGTGCTTTAGTCAACAGAGTGTAGGCTCTACAATGTCGTTATCTGTGCTGTGCCGATACCACGATTTTAGACCTTCTTCCATTGTATGTATGTTTGAATTTAATGACGATGGTGGTTGCAAAGGCACATAACTAGTGAGGAGTCAGGCATGTGCAGACGATGGAGTGGAAGTCATCGAATGTGTGAGACTGTCATGTCTGAGAATCATAGATAGCAGTAGTGCGACAGCTATTGTTCAAGTACGTATCGAGGCAATAGGACGTGATCATCCAGGAGGGCATGATAGGATCTGGCAGCTACCGTTGAGCAGATCTCAATGTAGGGTCAAATCACAATGCGGCGACTGGTAAGCGTGAGTATTTTCGCAACTCCACTCTACATCGGAGATGGATGAGTCGGCTGCCTTCGCGATGCGCACGACGTTCTTGGCCTGTACATGTGTTTGGTCAATGAAGCTCGTGCGCTAGAAAGAAGACCGGGCCACATGCCTGCTTGATCATAGGTACGCCAACCATCTCCATGCCTCCTACGATCTTGAAGTCAGCGGCTCCCCGGTTTGTACCTTTGAAACCTGGCAAAAATGTGGACTGGACTACTTCGACCTGGGTGTGAAGGATTACTCGCTGTGGACTGGTGCTCCACCCATCCCTCACTCGGCAAGGGTCATCTACCCCACACCCACCGCCCCTACGTTGTGCCCGTCTTCGCATCCAGTCGAGGTCTTTGTAGTTGACACACACCTTTGCGGTGTCAGCAAGCGATATCACGGACTTCCCATGAACACAGAACAGGCTCACCGTGTCAATTACACCGAGCCCGAATGCTTTCACCGTGACGACATGAGAACGAATCATGCTCTCGTCCGCGCAGTCTAAAACCGTGGCCCGCAATCACAGACCCTACACCCACAATCTTCCGCAGCGGACTATTTAGGCCCAGCCGAGACTAAGTTTCCCGTGCTGTAGTCAAGACATGCAAGAAGGACACACCAGTAATGCCGACATCTTCCCTCCCGTACCCGGTCCCCAAGTCGACTCCTACGCCGCGATCTCGCCGAGGTTGTACATCGCCCGTGCGCTCTCTACGCTCGCTACGAGTCTCACAGGCGGTGATCCCGACCTTCGGAAGGTGTGCTTCTGGGATGCGGCGTGTATCTGCTCCGAGATCTAGTCTAGGTCTTGCGCGGAGTGGTTGTTGGGGAGGACGATAGTGCGCACATATGGAAGGGAGAGCTGTCTCATGTGAGGGACACATGAGCCTCATGCAATCGAATCAAAGGGATGGATATAAAAGGGGACGAGTTACTCACCGTTGCTGGGTATCATCAGGCTCGAAAAACGCCGTTGCACTCGAGTTCAGTCTCGCGGAAATCCGTTCGGGCAACGGAAGGCTGTCTAAAGGCGTGTGTATGGATATGAGCTTCTATAACCCTCTTGAAAGCGCATGTAGCAAACGCACAGACAGGAAGTGGTGAAGCCGCGCTCTTGCGCTCTTCTTATCTTCGGGGGAGGCGTACGCTGTCCTCCGGTCGTATGTGATCGCATCCGTGGTACTAGTCAATGGCCCCTCCAGCATGAGTCCCACTGATGAGATACGACACAGGTTTTCATGTTGAGATGGACTTGACGAGCGGGGAATACATACTGGTGGAGAGCGCGGCAGAAGAAAGACTGGTCCCGGAAAGGCAAGAGATGTTTTGTGTTTGTTAGAGAGCGGGCCAAAGCAGGGCAGCGAGATGGTGTGAACGTTGGAGATGGCAGGAATCAGGATGAGGGGCCACTGGTGATCCTGGGGCACTGGACGAGCGCTTCGAAACTTGTCCTCGACACCTTTCCACTGACTTCGACAACTCACACGTTCGAAGCAGACTCGCTCACCGAAAGGCCCGCCGTCATTCTCCTACCCGAACCGAACCGTCGCTCCCGTGTTCTCCAAAAACACGACGGCTGCAACAGTGCCAGTGCAAAGCGTCCCTGATCAGATCCTTCGACGTCTTCGGGATTCTCTCCTTGCGGTCACGCAGCCTTCGGTGCAACTTCAGCATGAAACTCAAGCTGCTAGCCGAAGATCAGGCAGGCACCCGAAGTAAGGGCTGGACGCGGGGTTAAAGGCCCCGCCCCACGTTTCAAACGAGTATGGCACGGACCTCCGAGCGCCGCGTCGTCTGCTCCAGGATCCCGTGGACTTCGGAGAAGTAGGGCTACGCATTCGCAAGTACCACCGTGCAGACTACGAGAATGTGACGCAGTGCATATGCGTGCCGTATACATTCTCTTGCCCGAGGAGCCATTACAGGGTGGGTTCTCTCTTCACAGGAATGGCTCGCAGTTGTAAACGAGAAGCTGAATGCCAGTGGTCAGGTGTGCGTTTGACCCGGGACGGCCCTGACCGGGTTCAAGTTCGCCGACACCATCTAATGTCAACGCTGAGATGGCCCTCCCATTCTATTTTCTCTCCGTTGGGTACGTGAGACAGCAGTAATGTTCCTCGTTAGCTCACTGCCGCCCGAAGGATCCCGTGGTCAACCATAGAGCCGCTCTCGCAAAGCTGAGCCCCAGCGTCGAGTGTATTGAGAGGAGTGCTGACCACCATGTGGTGCTTTGCTGAAGCTGTGGAGGGTACGGTCCCACTATGAAGCTGTGAATAGCAACGAGATGTCTCGACGCCGCCTCCAAAATTGCGTGCACTCTTCGACGACCCGTCTGCAGTCCTGTTCATCAGGTCTGGACCAGCCTGTGGTCCTCGATTCCTGACACTCGCATCATTCTGTACGTCTTTTGTTCTCACTAGCGTTAGGCTGAGTCACGACTCCGCCACAGAGCGTCCTAACTTTCTCGCAGGCTTAACTCGGGCAGCGAATACGAAGGCTGGTTGCCGCGCATTCTGTGACACACTGGAGCCTTTCCTTGACCTATTGATCTTTCGTGCGCGTGCAGTTCTGACGCCCCGCTCTCTATGACAGCTGTCTCTACCCGCCATTAGAAGGGCCTCGACTGCCGATGTACCGGGGCCCCCCTGGCCGGCCTTCCGTAGTGTCTGCATAGACACGACAAAAATACTCGGACAGGCCAGATATGGACGTGTCTCCGGAGGATTCCACCGAGTGCTGGTGCGCTTGCAAGCTCTTCCGTTGAGGTACATAAACACGACGAAGGGGCCACTGTTTCTCTACCCGCTCACCAACTCACCAACTCCCTCCACACTCCTGAATTCTTGCAATCATGTGCTCCGACGAGAACGGCGCTCACCACACGCTCTTGTACCTCAACGCTCAGCTGGAGGCTTTGTACAACAGCGCGAAGCATTGCCTCGCTGAGCACAGTGGGTCACGCCGCCCAGAGAGTCGTATGTTCAGTGTCATTGTTACCGCCACCATTCCTGCATTAACAGAGGATCTCCAGAGCACAACTACGCCCTCGCGAAATATAGCGCCTCTGGCTTGGACGGTACCTTCGATGTCGCTTTCCACGCCACTTTTGGCAGGCCCGTCCTGCAGTTTATCTGTGGCCACGACGCCGTCCTTCACCTCACTCTGGATGAAAGCCGCTTTGTTGTAGGCGGGTAAGTTCGCATCATGGCTCAGTATATGAATCCCAGTTCATACTGTTAGCAGGGTCTCGACGCTATACCCGACTCCTCTCAGGGTTACTTATCGCATCCCCTTCGAGAGACGCTCCATCTATGGGGAAACCCTTCTCATTGGTGAATATGAGAGCGCGATCAACCTACTGATCCTCGACTTCGAGAGTGAGTGCTCATCCGATCGATTTGCTTTGCCTCTTGCTCAACTATGTTCCTTTTCAAGACTCGGTTCTTCTTTCTACCTTGCCGCATGTTTCATTCGGGAACGTCCAGCTCACCCGTTTCCTCGCGGGCTATCTTCGATTGCTCCAGGAAGCTGGCAACCATGTCTTCTTCTCCCCTCCGAAGTTTGGTCCCTACAGCCCGGTGATGATCACCGACTACGCTCTCTTGGACCTCCCTGAGGCTTTCTTCCACAACTCCATCCGAGGGATCAGCGTCGACAAGATCAACACCTATCTTACTTCGATCTGGCTCAAGTCGTCCATGCTTTCTTACCGCGGCATCAACGGCGAGAAGGTTGACTGGCCTCTTCGACTCCTCGCACAGTTCAACACGAGGTCTTACGGGCAAGGGACGTACGGTCGCTTCCGTATGGGACTGGAGCCTCCTACCGTTGAGATCGTGTGCGACAAGGAGCTCATCGTTTACTTCAACATCGACGAGCTTGATTGTTTCGATCACAATGGGTGTGTAGTTCATTCATCCGGTTCCTCTCATGTCAGGCTGACCCGTTGAATGAAGGAACGTCACTCACTCTTTCAAGGACTGGAAGATTGCTCTAGTCGTCGACGTTTTGTACCTTAACGAAGCTGACAGTCGCGTTGTGACCCTTCGGCTCGACTATGACAAAGGTACGTTCTCACTGACTGATCACATCGTGGAGTGTGACTCAATGTTTCTTTGACACACTTAGAGCCGCGCTACCATGATTTGAAGTCATACTTCCCCGGTCTCGTCGAGGACGATGCGGTGTGCGGCGAACAGACGGAACTTCTCGTGCGATTCTTTACCAAGGAATACCTCCGCCTCCTGAAGGACGCCCACTACGACATTCTGTACACCCACGACACCCGCTGGGAGACAGTCCACAAGCCTCTTGAGCACCCCTCCGGTGGGTGGGAAGTCGGTCTTCCGGATCACTCTCGTGACTCGATCCGGCACACGCACATGTACGGCTTCGACCAGGTCACCGCGCTCTCGCACGGCTCGCTCGACGCGCACTTCGCTTCGCTCCGCAAGAGGACGCACGGCATCCTGCGCAAGTGGAACCACGACAAGTTCTTCAGCGCCAGGTTCAAGCCGCTCACGGTCCGTCTTCTAAGCGACAACCGCGCGATCGTGTGGGTGCACCTCAAGGGCGGCATCCTCACCACACTCCGCGAGTGGGTGCCGTCGCTGGAGCCCGACGCGACCGCTACTTTCGGGGAGTGGCGCCTCGCCTTCGAGGTGCCACTGAAGAAGTGCACGCAACAAGAGCTGGAGGGCTTTGATTCGGTCGAATACAAGAACACCGTGGCCTTCGAGAAGCACGGTGTCGCCGAAGACTTTGAGCTCAACCACGTCTATCTCGACCTCCAGAGTACGTTTGAACTGCATCGATGTTTTGTCATGTTTCAGCCACTCACGCTCTTTGCAGACGCCGATTACATCCACGACTACTCGCTGTTCGCGGACCTCACCCACGACAAGCAGGGGATCCGCCACTCCGTCCTCAAGCTCCAGGCGGCCATCCACTACATGACTCAACACTACTTCCCAGCCCTCTGCGAGCACACCTTCCACGTCCTCACCAGCGTCCCCGTCTGGAAGGCGAACACGACTCTCCCCTCCTCCTACGCGCTCACGAGCGTCGACTTCCAAGTCTACTCCTCCGCGCCCGTCACGCGCAAGAATTGGGCGCACGTCTCGGCCGGGCACGAGCCCGTGCTCGTCGTCTTCGGCATGACCGCGCACCGCCCCCCGCCCGCGCACCACCTCGACTGGTCCGCGAGCTGGGTCGTGCACGCCGACGCCGCGCGCAGCTTCTCCCACGGGACGCTCAGCATCGCGCGGCGCGTGTTCATGGACGAGCGCGTCCTCGCGCTCCTCGCGCGCGTCAACGTGCTCACCACGCTCGTCCCGCACCGCGCGGACGCCCTTGAGCAGCCCGACTTCCGCGGGCTCCAGCTCGTACCCTGGGCCCGCCATGAGCAGCGCAAGCAGTGGCCGGCCGAGTGGGTCATTCAGCCCACGGCGGACGACGGCACGCTCCAGTACCTCTGGCAGCATGACGAGCGCTGGCAGTACGACTCGCGTGGCAACGCGAACCCGACGAACACCTCGCGTGGCGTGTCTTGTGAGTTTGTGCTCGGGATCAGTTGACGCAGGATGTTAATGGGACCCATCAGGCGTCACGCGCAATTATGTGGAGCTCCCGACCGCCGTCAAGCAAGGCGCTCTGAGCATCAGGATCGGCGGCGAGGTCCAGCTCAGTATTTCGCTGCAGAACGCAAGGACCTACACGTACGCCCGCGTCTCCCGTCGTACCGCTCCCACCGTGCTCACCACTCCCATCCCCTTTGCAGCGCGCGCGCCTCCGTCAGCTGGTCGACGCACGTCACCGTCCACACGCTCGGGAACACCATCACGGTCGACACCGTCGGCTCGCACGACCCCGCCTTCACCCCCGCCACGTACGCGATCGGGCTCGACGTCGTCCCGCTCGCCGAGCTCGAGCTCTCCGCGACGCTCGCGGACCCCGCCAAGCTCCTCGCCGACGCGTTCCCGCCCAAGGTGGACCTCGACGGGCTCGTGCGCGAGCTCCGCGCGTTCGAGGGCGCGTGGCAGTACTGCTTCCCGCTCGCGGGCGCGGGCGCGTACGCGCTCGCGAGCCCCGTCTTCAACGCGGACGGGGACCTGCTCTTTGAGCTCCGGCGGCACGGCGCGGGCGCGGGCGAGGGCGAGGGCGGGCGGCGGCTCCGCCAGAAGCGGGCGCCGCTCGCGCTCACGAACGGGAGCGCGCCCGGGGTCACGAACGGGAGCGGGCTCAAGTTGCTGCAGCTCGCCACGCCGCGCGTTGAGAAGGTGGCGGATGGGAACGCGCCCGAGACCGCGCCGGAGTCCACGAACGGGAGCGCGCCGGAGGTGCTGCCGCTCGCCACCCCGCGCATCGGGGTTGAGGTTGAGGCCTTGAAGCCTGAGGTCGCTGAGGAGGTCGCGGGCGGGAATGCGCCCGAGTCCACGAAGGAGAGCGCGCCGGAGTTCACGAACGGGAGCGCGCCCGAGTCGCTGCAGCTCGCCACACCGCGCACCGGGGTTGAGGTCGCCGAGGAGGTCGCGGACGGGAACGGGGCGTACAACGGCAATGGTGAGTGCCCCGCTGTGATGATTCTCTGGGAAATGCGAGCTGACGCGTGGCTTTGTAGGGAACCCGATCTTGAAGAAGTCGATTGGTGCCGCCCCGGAGTCCTCGGAGTATGCTCCGAGTCCGAGCTCGCTCGAGGTCGGGGATGAGTCACAGGCCTCCATCAGCGTCGCAGAGTGAGTATCTGCTCCGCGGCAACGTGTCGATGGAAGTGGGATGCAGTTCAATAGTTCCGCGAGTATGTCTCTGAACACGTCGGGAAGATGAGAGTTTGTTCCCGTTGTCGTATTGTACGCACATCGTAATCATGAATTTTGAGTGGTTCACAACAGCCCCGTTAGTTGGTTCTTGTCCGATCTAGTCCCTCGAACATGAGCTTGCTAGTAGTGCATACGGCTGAGCAAGTACTCAAGCGAACTCGGCCACTCTGGCAGGACATCGTGGATCTGGCGCCCGTAGCTGTTGGAGACACCGTGTGGCTCACACACAGCGCTGTGTCGCGCGGGAGCACGCCGAACAACTTGATATTGGAGGTGGAGACGAGACGAACGTGCTCATCACCGCGACCAGGTCACCGCATGGGGACAGCGCGAAGCCTGCCCTCATGACTCCCAGGCAAACCCATCCCTTCGCGTTGAACGCCGGCGACCTCGTTGATGTGGGCAGCAGTGTGGGCATCCATTCCCCTCTGAGGTCGCGTCAGTTCTAACGCGTCATCCATTTATCAAAGATAATAATAATAATAATCCGACGCTTTCTCCCGGGGCCCGGGATTGAACGATGGACGATTCAAAGTCAATGTTCCCTTGTTTGGTGAGTGCTGCAACAACCGTCGGCGACAGTTGGGCCCGGAGACAGCGGCATGTACCGTCAGGCCCAAGGGCTTGCAAGAGCGCGACGCGCAAGGGCGGCGGACGAACGCTGAAACAACCATGCACCCGCTTCTTGGGCGCAAGTGCTAACGCAGAAGGGGCTATACACGCTTTTGAAGTGCGCATCTAGCTCGCGCGCGTAGTCAACGGCGACGCGCAGCACGACGAGAACAAGGCGGGCGACGAGCAGAGTCGGCTGGCCATGGAGGCAGCGAAGATCCAGGATCATCCAACTCGACTCCGGTCGGGACTTGGCGGTCTCGCCTCCTTTGAGAAGGCCCCATGAGCGCCCGCCCCTTCGTGTCACCGCGACGATGTATGAGTGACCGATCCACGTGCGGCGGCAACATACGGCTTGTAGCCATGCCAAGATGCGGGCCTAGAGGCTCAAGGACGACGCTCTCGCAGCGATCTCATCATCTCAGCGTGACCGAAGCGTGTCTTCGATTGCTGCTTGTCCAACGCCCCGAGCGCGGGTGGTTGTCGTCGCCCGGAGCCGAGGGGATGCTGAGAGTGCAGGCGGACCCGAGTGGTGCCGGTGAGGTGCGCGGGAAGAAGCGCAAGCCGAGGCGGGAGTCGTGGCCAGCGAGACGGTGGGCGCTTGTTCGGGGGAGTAGCGACGACTTCTTTCGGATCACGCGGACGGGCGACTCTCCGACTGCACCAGTCCTACCATCCGAGTATCCTCACCCAGATCCTCCCTCCGTGCATGAGCCAAGTCTTGAGCCGCGCGGTGAGCATGGCTCGCAGTTCTCAACCGGATTGCGAATTCGGTGACGTGCGCGCCTTACTAACCCCGCAACATCCCTTTCCGTGGCAACGTCTAGATGAGAGAATATCCGAATATGGTCTACTCTGGCTCGCTCGCTCCTGCGCGAAGCGCTCCCGGTACGTAACCTCATCCAGGTCAGTCCAGGTCTGGTGTGTATAAGGACGCGCCGGTTCTTGATCGCGCCCATACAGAGCACCCACTTGACGTTTGCACCTACCAACGCCTCTCCGACGCTTGTCGCAGCTATGGGCAGTGCGTACGTACGAGTCTTTTGATTGTAACACGAGCTCGCGTGCTCACGTACTGCCCGAGCCAGTCTTCAGAATAAGTGGGTGGTGATCGGAGGCGTCAGTAGGTGGCACACCCGGAGTACGAATCAGAATCGGCTGACCTCTTCTCTCTCGTTCACAGCCGTCATCAGCTACGACTACCTCCTCACTCTTGATCGCGAGATTCAGTACATATGGAGGGGGAAGATCACCAGTGCAAGCGCGATCTACATCGTCACACGTTACTCCTCATTGGCCTCCAACGTGCTCACCTTCCTCAATCTCTTCCCTTGGCCGGGCGAATCGTCATCAGTGAGAGTCTTCCTGAGCCCCGACAAACACAAGTTGACGCCTCTGACGCCCTTGACCTGGCAGATGTACGCACCCGGCCGCGCCTGTTCGCGCCTCGGTTATTCTCCCGTGCACACACTAATCTGCGTCACCGCCCCGCAGGTGTACCGGGACTACGGCGGCTTTTTCTGTAATGGGTGCCGTCATTATTATGGGCGCCGCGGGTGAGTTCTTGAGTCGCAAGCTCGGATCTGCAGTGAACTGTATGCCGTAGTGTTCTCGTCTCTGCGAGCGCAAGCGCTGTGCCAATGCAAACGCATGTCCTACTTCGTTTTAGTGCTAGGGTCCGGGAACGCCGTTCCCTTGGTTGTGAGCATTCACATCCTCTGTTCCCCCTAGCTGTGTCCAACTCAACCTTACTCAGTATGCTGCGATCCATAACAAGTCCACGTACAACCCAGGACTCAACAACGTCGACGCCATCTGCGACGTGGATCTATCGCAGTTCATGTCATTCCGCGAGTGAGTGGGCTAGACGTGTCGTGAATCAGGCTCGGGCTGATCACCTACTTTCACAGGGGTCCGTTATCGCTTTCTCCCCCAGCAGACATCCCCTAACTTGACGCCACACAGGGATCATTCTCGGGCGTGCCTGCGGGGTTGTCTGCGACTTGCTGGTCCTTCTGTTGACGTGGAGACATGCAAGGCCGTGGAGAGGAAGCACGCATCAAAGGTTCTCCCTTACGACGGCGTTTTTTCAGAATGGTAACTACGTCGTTGTGGGTTATCGAGTCCGTAAATTGACACCTCCGCTACATCGTAGGTGTTCTATACTTCGTGTGAGGCATACGTCCCTCCCGCGTTTGTTCTCGTCGCTCACACGTCAAGCTTCCAGCGTCCTCCTCCTTGTGAACGTCCTGAACCTGTGTTTCGTCAACAACGTCCAGGCAAGGCTGCATCTAATGCGCTCGGTGCCTCCACCAAAGTTCGAACCTGACGTTTCCTTTCCAGCTCTCACTCGATTTCATCGGTGCGCTGAGCGCGTGGGTTTTCCTGCTATTCTGCTCCGTTATCCTTGCTGACGACTTCCCGGTGCAGCACGGCGGCGGTGCTGACCTGCCGCTTCATCCTCGACTTGTTCGAAGCGAGCATGCGGACACGCTGGGCCGGCACCGGCCCGACACTACACCTCTCGAACGTGCCCACTTTAAGGCCGTCGCGCTCGCTCGCGTTCGAAGACGCCCGCGGTCCCGGTGCGACTGGACATTCCCAACGAATATTCAACGCGGACATCGTCTGGCGCAGAGCGGAACTTGACAGCGAGGGCGTCGACGGTACCACTGCGGACGACCACGACTTCGAGGTCGAGCTCCAGTCTGTGAACCCGGAACGACGAAGATCGGACGTGCAGCCGCACAGATCGAGATCGCGGTCGTGAGCATGTGACTAAGATCCCGAACCTATGCTTAAATTATTACTTATGTCTCGGAAGCGTCGTGATGATGTTTGTGGCTGCTTGTCACCACAGAATGACTGCTCAGCAGGAACAGTAACGATATGCCGTCATGCCGATGACGCGTCCTTCCACGCGCCGACCCGACCCGAGCGCGGAGTCGGGAGCAAAGAACAAGGTCGATAGCTCCGTACTGAGCGAAGACCAGTGGTGAGTTGGACGGAGTCAAGTGAAAGAAACGATGGGAGTGCTCACAACCGGGGGGAGGGCGTTACCGGCCCCCGGCGTTCAAACGAGGAAGGAGATGGGTTTGCGTCGGCACAGCGCGCGCGCGCAATGACGAGAGCACTGCGGTATATAGCGATTAGTCACTGCGGACCTCAGCTTTCAAATCAAACGTACAATAATCTAGCTGGCGAGAGAAGAGATGCGCATACGGGACGGATGATATGTCGGCCCCCCGCGTGGATCGGGGAGAGCCAGAGGAGTCGCGGATTCATGCAAGGCCTTCAGGACAGGCGCCTCTCTGGGTCCGCGTTCGGGACGACGACGCTTTATTTGAACGAAGCCTGAACAGGGGAGACTAGACACAGGCCACGTGTGCGGTTCGGCATGCGGCCTTCAACGTTTCAACAACTGGGCAAATTCCCGGACATCCACAGTGGTCGAGCTAGCGCACCCTTTTCGATGTTCGCCCTCTGACGCGCACGTTGTTTTTGGACTGCACGGGTGTGCTGATGAGTCTCCGTGGCCGGAGGGCTCCTGTTCTGTGCCCCCGGTGCGTTGAAGGCCATGATTGCTGTCGTTGGCACAGTGACGTCATATGGTCGCCGTTTCTTCTGAGCAGTCATTTCGTGGTGACAAACAACCACAGACGTCACGACGCTGCATCCAAGCCACATGCATAACTTCGGGATCTGAATCGCAGGCCCCCCCTACATGATCACGAGTCCGATGGGTGCACACCCGATTTTCGTTGTTGCGGGTTCACAGAGTGGAGCTCGAAATCGTAGTCGTCCGTGGTGCAGTAGACGCTCTCGCTGTCTTCTGTCTTGCGCCGGCTGACACCCCCGTCGAAAATTGCTTGAGAATTTCCAGCGGCGCTGAGACCGCCGAAGTGTCGGGACGCGAGCGAGCGCGAGGGTACCATGCTGGGCATGGCGGAGAGGCGTATTGTGGGGCCAGTGCCGAAGCGTGTCCTCGTGCTCGCCTCGAACAAGTCGAGGATGAAGCGGCAGGTCAGCACCGCCGCCGTGCTGCACCGGGAGGCCATCAGCAGAAATAAAGGAGCGGGGTGGCGAGAAAACCCACGCGCTCAGAGCACCGATGAAATCGAGCGAGAGCTGGAAAGAAAACATCAGCTTTGGAGGCATCACGCGCATGAGGTGCAGCGTCACCTGGATGTTGTTGATGAAGGCAAGGTTCGTGACGTTGACGGCGAGGAGTGCACTGGAAGCACAATGTGTGAGCGACGAGAACGAACGCGGGAGGGACGGATGGCTCACACGAAGTATAGAACACCTACGGTGGAGTGGAGGTGTCAATTTACGGACTAAATGACCCACAACATTGTAGATACCATTCTGAAAAAACGCCGTCGTAAGGGTGAACCCCTGGTGTGCGCTTCCTCTCCACGGTCTTGCGTATCTCCACGTCAACACAATGACCAGCAAGTCGCAGATAATTCCACAGGAACGCCCGACGATGATCGCTGTTTAGTATCAAGTTCAGAGACGACTACCTATGGAGGAAGTGATAACTGACCCCTGTGCAAGTAAGTGATTAGCCAGACCTTTATTCATGACACGCCTAGCCCACCCACTTGCGGAAGGATATAAAGTGCGAGAAATCCACGTCGCAGACGCCGTCGACGCCGTTGATTCCGGGGTTGTAGATGACCTTATTCTTGATCGCTCCATACTGAACGAAGCCCAGGGTTGAGTCGGACAGAGTCAAGTGGAAGCAAAGATGGGAGTGCTCACAACCGAGGGAACGGCATTACCAGCGCCTAACGCCAAAACAAGGTAGGAAATGAGTTTGCGTTGGCACAGCGCGTGCGCTCGCAGTGACGAGAACACTGTGACATACAGTGATTAGTAATTGCAGAATTGAGCTTTCCGATCAAGAACCCACCCGCGGAGGACATGATAATGACGGCAGCTGTTGTAGAAAAAGACAGTGCAAGCGCGTTACACCTGCAGGGTGGTAGCGCAAATTAGTGTGTGCATTGCAAAAAGGCTGACACGCGAACAGGCGCGGCCAGGTGCATACATCTGCCGGATAAAGGGGGTCAGAGGCGTCCAGCATTTCTTTCAGGCTAGGGAAGGCTCTCACTGTTGTTGACTTCCTCGGCCAAGGAAAGAAATTGAAGAGCGTGAGGACGTTGGCGATCAATGAGGAGTAACGTATGACGATATAGATCACGCTTGCACTCGTGATCTTCCTCTTCCAGATGTATTGAATCTCGTGATCAAGTGTGAGGAAGTAGTCGTAGCCGACTATGGCTGGCAACGATAGAATGCGTCAGAATAGCTTTTCAAGTTCGTACCCCGGCGGGAATACCACTTGCCGGTGGATCCGACCACCGCCCATCGACTCTGAAGACTGGCTTCCGTACGTGAACATAGGAACTCGCGACAACATCTTGCAACAGCTAGGACGTACGCGCTGAGAGTGATTTGACTTCCCATAGCTGCGACCGACATTGAAGAAGTGCTCGAGATCAAGCCGGGAGCAGGGTACAGCTGCGTCAAGTATAGCCACGACCAAGAACCGGAGCGTTCTTATACACCCAGACCTTCATCACGGCACATGCCCGAAACGCTGCGCGCAGGGGCGAGTAAGTTAGACTTGACCAAACGCGGGTATGCTCTCATGGGGACGTCGCCGCGGGGAAGTAAGGCGGCGGGAAGGCCGATGTTTCCTTCCCTGCTGCACGCAAGCCGCACGTCATCGAATTCGAAATCCGGTTGAACGCTGGTGGGATGAAACGGAACAACGGGTAAAGTCAGAATATACGCATGACAGCCGCTTTGAAGCGAACATACACACCACTTTTCACTGTGGCAAGCTTGCACCGCGCGGAAGGCCACTGATGCACAGGAGAGTCTTGCGGTGCGGACGACGATGCTACGTAACAGAATAATGCCAACCTGTATCGGGGTGACGTATGGTGACAACTCGTCGCCACGCGCACTGGGAGGGGAGCACGTTGTGGTCTGGGAATAAGTCGTCCCGACCATAAGCGCCCTAAGTCTCCAGCGCTAGGGGCGCCGCGATCTAAGGCACACCTAGTTGCCCTGAGAGAGAGACTCTACCCCAGGGCCCCCTAGGCACGTACGACGGACGACGGACGACGGTGGATTGCCCTCAGCTCTCATGAGCTTTGCGGCCTTCAAATTCAAGTGCGGACCCCGTTGTCCGTCGTTGCGGATGATCATTGTGTAGGAGGTGGACTAGGGAAGACAGTAGGCCAGAGGAGTCGGTTCACGTTGATCATGATGCCGTCGTGGTGGGTGTATTGCATTGTTGGAGCCACTGTGACCGTGTTTCGACGTGAGCGCAGGTGAGCAGTCGAAACAACGCATGTACACTGCGACTATTCGGAATATAGATCATGGGACAACAATGTTACAGACATCAACCGAATACAGAAGAGGTGTGGAGAGCAAAGGTTGACACGTGACATTTTGTACAGGCAGTGCAACAATAGAGCAAAACACAAGCGCAGAATGCATGCTGGGTGCTTGAAGGGAGGAGACAGCAATGATGACGTGCACGAGAAGCCACAGCCGACGGAAACAGTCACCGTTCCGAGACGGTGACACAAGGCGCAACAAACCGAGACACCGAAACAGAGAACGTAGACGAGCCATGCAGTAAAAACAAGAGAGTATTCCACACGTAAACGCATACATCCACTGCGGGACGAACCCACCCAGCGCCGGGCTTTGAGCAATTCTGATGCATGCGACACTTGCGTGCCTGTGGGAATGGAAATGTGGTCAACGGCGGCGAGGTCAAGTAGGGAGTAGGCCAGAAATCGCGAGAGGGAGATGAGGGATATGCGGCGGCATCGGCAAACACGAAGACGTACCGTGCATCGGGAGATCATGACACCGTGGGAGGTGGGCGCGAGCTCGTCGAGGAGGAGGATGTCGCCCACTTGCAAGACGGATTGCCAAAAGGAAGGGTTGACATCGTGGCGGAAATGCTGCTCGAGCTTGACGTACAGCGGGATATTGGACGGTTTATAGAAACAACACACCTAGTATTGATTGTATGCACATCCGCCTGATAAATTACCGCCCCACACGGCCAAAGGAAGGGTGTGGTGGGCCTGTTGAGGCGTCGAAGTATGATCAGAAATGTGTTGGATAGGACATTCGTCGGACACACCTTATCATGATCCCGGCCATCGCATGAAGCCCTCATATGAACTTGGGCAAGGTTTATTTCGCCTTTTCAGCATACTGAGAGTGTTGTGACTTGTCCTCAGGCGACGTGTCGAATGGTGCAAATGCAGTGGGAGGTGAGAGGCGACTCGTATTTGGCGCCCGTGTCCTTCGCGTCTCGAATCTCGATGGCCAACACACGCTGCCTTTCTCATCTCTCTTCTTGACCCAATCTCGTTCTTCCTTCCTCCATCCCCGCATCTCGCCTCATATCGCGAGTATGTGATCATACTTAGTGCCACTCCAGCTGTAGGAGCGGCGGCACACCAAGCGCGAGCATCGCTCAAGAGCTCAGACGTGCATTTCAAGAAGGCTTTAGTTTTTCGCGGCGGATGAAGCGTGGATCGCTGAGTACTTACTTGTCCTCACGCGCTATCCGCCCGCCCACCACCTCGACTGGTCCGCGTCCTGGGTGGTGCACGCCGAGGCCGCGTGCAGCTTCTCCCGCGGGACGCTCAGGCGCGTCGCGCGGCGCTGTTCATGGACGAGCGTGTGCTCGCGCTCCTTGCCCGCGTCAACGTGCTCACCACGCTCGTCCCACACCGCGCGGACGCCCTCGAGCAGCCCGAGTTCCGCGGATTCCAGCTCGCGCCCTGGGCCCGCCATGAGCAGCGCAAGCAGTGGCCAACCGAGTGGGTCATTCAGCCCATGGCGGACGATGGCACGCTCCAGTACCTCTGACAGCACGACGAGCGCTGGCAGTACGACTCGCGCGGCAACGCGAACCCGACGAACACCTCGCGCGGCGTGTCTTATGAGTTTACGCTCGGGATCGGTTGACGCGGGATGCTGATGCACGAGACCTATCAGGCGTCACGCGCAACTATGTGGAGCTCCCGACTGTCATCAAGCAAGGCGCTCTGAGCATCAGGATCGGCGGTCAGGTCCAGCTTAGCATCTCGCTGCAGGACTCGAAGTCCTACGCGCACGGCCCCGTCTCCCGTCCTACCGCTCCCGCTGTGCTCACCGCTCCCGTCCCCCTTGCAGTGCGCGCGCCTCCGTCAGCTGGCCGACGCACGTCACCATCCACACGCTCGGGAACACGATCAGGGTCGACGCCGGCGGCTCGCACGATCCCGTCTTCCCCCCCCCCCGCCACGTACTCGATCGAGCCCGATACCGTCCGTTCCGCTGGCCGGGCTCGAGCGGTCCGCGACGCCCGCGGACCCCGCCAAGCTCCTCGCCGACGCGTTCCCGCCCAAGGTGGACCTCGACGGGCTCGTGCGCGAGCTCCGCGCGTTCGAGGGCGCATGGCGGTACTGCTTCCCGCTCGCGAGCCTGGTCTTCCACGCGGACGGGGACCTGCTTTTTGAGCTCCGCCAGCACGGCACGGGCGCGGGTGAAGGCGACGGCGGGCGGCGGCTCCCCCATCGGAAGCGGGCGCCGCTCGCGTTCGCGAGTGGGACTGCGCCCGAGTTGCTGCGGCTCGCCACCCCGCGCGTCGGGGCTGGGGTGGCGAACGGGAGCGGGGCGTACAACGGTAGTGGTGGGTGCGTCAGTGTGATAAAGCTGGGAAGTGCGAGCTGATGTGTCGCTCTGTAGGCAACCCGATCTTGAAGGAGTCGATTGGTGCCGCCCTGGAGTCCCCTGAGCATGCTCCGAGCAAGCTCGAGGTGGGGGACGAGTTGCAGGCCTCCATTAGCGTCTCGGAGTGAGGACCTGCTGGATGCCAGCCTATCGATAGAACTGGAAGCAGGATGCAGTTCAACTGTTCCGCAAGTCTGTCACTGAACCCGTTGTGGAGATGAGAGTTGTGTTCCCGTCATCGTATTTTACGCACATCGTAACTATGGATTTTGGGTGGATCACAGCATCCCCGTCAGTTCGTTGACATCTAACGTAGTCCTTCGCAGCTGAGCAAGTACTGGAGCTGGCTCGGCCACTCTGACAGAACATCGTGTATCTAGCGCCCATGGCTGTTGGAGACACGGTGTGGCTCACACATGGAGCTGCGTCGCGCGTGAGCACGCCGAACACCTGGGTGTTGGATGTGGAGACAAGATGAGCGTGCTCATCACCGCGACGATCGATAGCTCACTGCATAGGGACAGCCCGAAGCCTCCATCTGCCTTCGCCCTTGGCAGTGCCCTCACGACTCCCAGGCAAACCCATCCCTTCGCGTTGCATGAAAGCTAGCGACCTCGTCGACGTGGGCAGCATTGTGCGCATCCATTCCCCTCTGAGTTCGCGTCGGTTCTGACGCGTCATCCATTTATCGGAGTTAATGTTCCGACGCTTTCTCCTGGGGCCTGAGATCGAACGATGGACGATTCAAAGTCAATGTTTCCTTATTTGGTGAGTGCTGCAACGACCGTCGGCGACAGTTGGGCCCGGAGACAGCGGCATGTACCGTCAGGTCCAAGGGCTTGCAAGAGCGCGACGCGCAAGGGCGGCGGACGAACGCTGAAACAACCATGCGCCCGCTTCTTGGGAGCATAGCTACAATATAAGTGCTAACGCAGAAGGGGCTATACACACTTCTGAAGTGTGTATCTAGCTCGCGCGCATAGTCAACGGCGACGCGCAGCACGACGCTGATGATGATGATGAACTCATGCAAGAGCCCTAAGTATCTTCGTAATGCTAAGTACGAACTTCCTCAGAGACGGCGGGCATCCCGCATTCGGTGAACTACGTGCAATGTAACGGGGCCACGGCCTTGGCCAGTGTGTGGCGGGTGCAGGCCCTGCAGGCGGCCGTGTGACGCAGCACGACGCGAAGAAGGTGAGCGACGAGCAGAGGCGGCTGCCCGCGGAGGCGGCGAAGATCCAACTCGAGTCCGGTCGGGACTCGGCGGCCCCGCCTCCTTGGGGAAGTCCCCGTGAGCGCCCGCCGCTTCGTGTCAATGCGACGATGTATGAGCGACCGATCCACGTACGGCGACAACATACGGCCCGTAGGCATGCCGAGATGCGGGTCCTGAGGCCTGAGGACGACGCTCTCGCGGCGATCTCATCATCTCACTGGCGTGGTCGAAGCGTGCCTTCGATTGCTGCTTTCTTGTCCAACGCCCCAAGCGCGGGTGGTTGTCGACGGCATGTGGCACTGGATCCAGACCCGGAAGGATGCTGAGACTGCAGGCGGACCCGAGTGGTGAGGTGCGCGGGAGGAAACGCAGGCCTAGGGCAGGCGGGACTCGTGGCCAGCGAGACGATGGGCGCTTATTTGGCGCAGCAGCGACTTACGTGGACGGCGTCGGGCGACGTCCGACTGCACCACGGCGACGAGCTGTCATCGGCACCAGTCCCGCCATTACACCAATGTATCGTCGCGCTCAAGATCCCCCCTCCGCGCACGAGCCAAGTGTTGAGCCGTGCGGTGAGTATGGGCCCGTCAGTGTTCACTTCCGAGATGTGGCTGCCATGCGTCGGTTGCGACTCTAACCTTCCATTGCCTCTCCAGGCTCGTACTTCTCGACCGGATTGCGAATTAGATGACGTGAGTGGAAGAAAGACCCTTAATATTAACTAACACCTCTCCGCGGCGACGCCCAGATGGGAGAACCCCCGAATACGGTCCATTTTAGCTCGCTTGCCCCTGCGCGAAGCGCTCCCGGTACGTAACCCGGTCCTGAAGCTCTGGTGTGTATAAGGTTGCGCTGGTTCTTGGTCGTGGCCATACAGAGCACTCACTTGACGCTTGTCCTCCAACGCCTCTCCGACGCTTGTCGCCGCCATGAGCAGTCCAGTCACTCTGAGCGTGTACGTACCAGGTGTGGATCGTAACGCGAGCTGGCGTGCTCATGTACTACGCGAGCCAGTCTTCAGCTTAAGTGGGTGGTGATCGGAGGCGTCAGTAGGTGGTATACCTTGAGTGCGAATTTGAGCTGTCTGACCCCTCGTTCCTTGTTCCCAGCGCTCATCAGCTACGACTACTTCCTCACTCTTGATCGCGAGATCCAGTATATCTGGAGGAGGAAGTTCACGACTGCAAGTGCGATCTATATCGTCACACGCTACTCCTCGTTGGCCTCCAACGTCCTCACCTTCCTCAATCTCTTCCCTTGGCCCGGCGAATCGTCATCAGTGAGAGTCTTCCTGAGCCCCGACAGATACTAGACACCTCTAACGCTCTTAACGTGGCAGATGTACGCACGCAGCCGCGTCTTAGCTCCCCCACAGTGCACACACTAATTTGCGCTACCGCACCGCAGATGCAACGGGACTACAACGGCTTTTTCCATAATGGGTGCCGTCATTATTATGGGCGCCGCGGGTGAGTTCTCGAGTCGAAAGCTGGGATCTTCAGTGACTAATGACTGTATGCCGCAGTGTTCTCGTCATTGCGAGCGCACGCGCTGTGCCAATACAAACCCATCTCCTGCCTCGTTTTGGTGCTAGGGTCTGTGAACGCCGTTCCCTTGGTTGTGAGCACTCACATCCTCTGTTCCGCCTGGCTGTGTCCAACTCAACCTTACTCAGTATACAGCGATCCACAACAAGGCCACCTACAACCCAGGACTCAATAATGTCAACGCCATCTGCGACGTGGATCTGTCGCCGTTCATATCCTTCCGCAAGTGAGTGGGCCAGGCGCATCGTGGGTGAAGCTCGGACTAACGGTGCACCTACTTTCACAGGGGTCCGTTGTCATTTTCTCCCTCAGCGGATATATCTTAACTTAATTCCTAACAGGGATCATCCTTGGGCGTTCCTGTGGGGTTGTTTGCGACTTGCTGGTTCTCATGTTGACGTGGAGACATGCAAGACCGTGGGGAGGAAGCCCACACCAGAGGTTTACCCTTACGACAGCTTTCTTTCAGAATGGTAAGTACGCTGTTTTGGGTCATCGAGTGTACTCTGACGCACCCACTACATTGCAGGTGTTCTATACTTCGTGTGAGCCATACCTCCCTTCCGCGTTTGTTCTCGTCGCTCACACATTAAACCTCCAGTGTCCTCCTCTTGGTGAACGTCCTGAACCTGTGTTTCGTCAACAACGTCCAGGCAAGGCTGCACCTCATGCGCTTGATGCCTTCACTGGCCAAGTTCGAAGCTGATGTTTCCCTTCCAGATCTCGCTCAATTTCATCGGTGCGCTGAGCGCGTGGGTATTCTTGCTGTTCCGCTCCGTTATCCCTGCTGATGACCTCCCGGTGCAGCACGGCAGCGGTGCTGACTTGCCGCTTCATCCTCGACTTGTTCGAAGCGAGCATGAGGACACGCTGGGTCAGCACCGGCCCGACACTACACCTCTCGAACGTGCCCGCGTTGAGGCCGTCGCGCTCGCTCGCGTTCCAAGACGCCGGCGGTCTCGCCGCGGCTGGACACTCCCAACAAATATTCAACGCGGACATCATCTGGCACAGAGCGGAACTCGACAGCGAGGACGTCGACGGTGCCACGGACGACTACGACTTCGAGCTCCAGTCTGTGGACCCGGAACGGCGAAGATCGGATGTGCACCCTCACATATCGCGGTCGTGAGCATGTGATTTAGACCCCGAACCTATGCTTGTGTCTCGGAAGCGTCGTGGTGATGTTTGCGGTTGCTTGTCACCACAGAATGACTGCTCAGCAGAAACGGTAGCGATATGACGTCATGCCGACGACGCGGCCTTCCACGCGCCGACCCGACCCGAGCGCGGCGTTGGGGGCAAAGAACAAAGTTGATTGCTCCACACTGAGCGAAGCCCGGGGTTGAGCTGGACAGAGTCGAGTGGAAGAAACGATGGAAGTGCTCACAACCGAGGGAAGGGCGTTACCGGCCCCCAGCGCTGAACTGAGGAAGGAGATAGGTTTGCGTTGGCACAGCGCGTGCGCTCGCAATGACGAGAACACTACGGTATATAGCGATTAGTAATTGCGGAACTCAGCTTTCAAATCAAGAAACCACCCGCGGAGGACATGATAACGAGGGTGGCCATTGCAGAGAAAGCCAGTGTGAGCGCGGTACACTTGCGAGGCTGTAGCGCAGATTAGCTTGTGCATAGCTGGCTGAGAAAAGGCGCGAAGAGGCGCGGCCGCGTGCGCTCCAACATGTCGATGGACGTAGGATGGAATTGAATGGTTCTGCGAGCCTGTCTCTGTACCACTCTCCGCTCTGGGTGGAGACGAGACAAGTCACCTAGTTTGTTCCCATCACCGCGACGAGCTCACCATCTGGGGACAGCCCGAAGCCTCAGAGTGCACCGACGCCTCACGGCAGGGAAACTCATTCCTTCGCGTTAAACCCGCGACCTCGTCGACGTAGCCAGCAGTGTACACACCCATCCCGCTCTGCGTTTGCGTCGGTTCTGACGCGTCCCTCGTGAAGTAGATCGTCGGCATGTGATCCCCTTCCCCCACCACTTGTTCGACGCGTTCTCCCGCCTGCGATTTTTCGGAACGCTGGACGATTCGAAGTCAATGTTCCCTCCTTTGGTGAGCGTTGCAACGACCGTACGTACACTGTCATTAACGAGCGCGGCTGAGACACTCGCGGCTACTGTCCACTCCGGTGATCGAAGCATCGTCGACAATCTGGGGCGCACATTCCACCAATGTAGTGTCGGACCACTGAATGGTATCTAGGAGTACGTACCCGGACTTCCAAAAATAATGCCAGCTCGGAGAGGCGGTCCACTGGCATTCAAAATACACGCCGGATGACTCAGTGCTCCTGCCAGTTCGTTCAGATGCTAGCGAAACGCGGCGCAGCACTCGATGCTCGAATGAAATCCATTTGTTCTGCGACCGGCTTTCTGTAAGGCAGATCCGGAACGGAGACCCGTATCGCGGCTCGCTCGTGCAAAATATAGCTCTAGCGGGCACGGCTGCGAGGAGTCAGGACTCCAAAGCTTTCGTTTTCCGTTCGACTGTCGCACTTGGGGAGAGATGCCGGCGGGAAGTAACCATCCGACTGTCGCGTCAGTGCGTATGACGGAGTTTCGTCCACATAAGATGCTCACCTGCTCCGGCAGCGGCGTACTGCGAGAACGAGCAGACTTGGTTCGGGCGACGGGCCAGCGGATGAGAGGCATAAGCGCACGCCGCGCTGCGCGGGTCTGACGGAGCAGGACGGACCGCTCACGGCAGTGCCCGGCCGCTGACTCAGCCATGCTACAGCCTACACGCTGCCCTTCTGTTCTTCGACCCCCCTCAACCTCTGCCAGATCTGAGCGCTGAGCAACACCCCGCAAGCCGCCGGTCCATCGAATGCCGCTGGAGGCTGTATCGACAAGGCCTTGCGTGCCTTGCGAGTCAGGTGATGATTCAGAGCCGGCATATAGGTACCCTCGATAACAGCTGATTGAAAATTTTATGCTCGAACAAATTGACAGCGCCGAAAGACGACTCGCTACGTCTGCAAGAACAACTCGAGACCGACGCGGACTCGGCCGACGCGGGGCTAGAGCTCGTGTCCGGCCATGGCTGCGGTTTTCGCGATGGGTATGGCTGCAGATTTCGTAGTATCCATCCAGGTTGCGCGGGAAACGGTTCAACCAGCCAAAGGGAAAATGAAAGTTCACGAGTCGCACCATTTACGAACGTCTGGCACAACCGGCACCCTCATGCTCGCGTAGAGACCTCCAAGCTCCGGCGTCCAGCTCCTCAGCATGAGGTGTGGCAGACGGACTCGCGCGGTGAGCATGATGTACGGTGAGTATCCCCTTGGTTTCCCCTGATGCCCCTTGCTCATGCGCATTCTGCTTTTCTAGGCCCGCCGCTCGGTCACCGTCCCGCCCTCCCGGTCCCCACCGGCACCTCGGACCTCAAGTAAGCGTGCGCAAGGTCATACCAAGCGCGATTCAAGATTGTGCCTGCGCCTCCCATCGAGTCTCAGGATGCCCAGCGAAAGAATTCTACGCACATGCGCCTCGATCTTTTGCGGGAGCGGTACGGCGCTTCCAAGTGTTTAGTTGTAACGACAGCCTTACTTACCCGTTTGTCTTTTCTGAATATAGGTGCCGACGGGCGAGGCGCTTTAGTAGTGAGAGTCCTGGATTTTGGCTTTTAGACAAGGCTTGAACCAAGGCCTACTAGAGTCTAGAAGAGACCAAGCTTGGTTCTCGCTCCGGGAGTCCCAGCTAAGTCTGTCGCCGAAGACGCCGCGACTTCAACGCCTTTGTAGGCGACCATAACGAGATCAAATGAGGCCCGGCTGTCGGCTCTACCGACCGATGACTTAGGCTGGGAGGAGAGATCTCATGACTGAAAGCCTCGTGAGTCTTTGGCGTTAACGCCGTTACACCAAGGAATCACGATGGGTCAGCTGACAATCACATTGTTCCTGCTCTTTTTTTATGTGGCTCCTATACCGGACTCCATCACGCCCCCTCCACGTGACGGTTTAGGTGTTCCTAGTGCAAGGGCGAAATATCAGACGTCGCGGCTCGTGACGATGCATAGCGGGCCCATGACCATGCAGCTCGACGGCCATCGGCCCATTCGACCGCGTCGAAAAGCATCCAAAAGGCGAGCGCCCACGCACAGTCCTCTCCCGGTGCTCTTCCTCCCGATGTCCTCGATACTCTCTCTGCTCGTCCTCTCGGGGCTTTTCGGCCTCGGCGCGCCGTTGGCTGCGGCCGTTAACGTATCCGTACCGCTGTCGCTCCCCGGAAACTCACAACCATTGTCGCCCACCCTTGTCTCCTTCTCAATCGAACAAGACCGCTGGCCAGAATGGGTCGGCATCGACACCCGCAACGACTTCACGCATGATGCGCTCCTCCGCCTCGCTTCCTTCACCGGTGTTCCCCCAAAGATCCGCGTCGGCGCCGACTCCGAAGATCACACCTTCTGGTCGCCCACGATGGCCGTGTCCGAGGCAGAGTTCTCTCCTCCGAGCACTATCATCCCCTACCCCGAGGCGACGAAGGTTACGGTGGGCGACAAGTACTACACTCTCTCGCACTGGCTACCCCGCGGGACGCACATGACGTGGGGCGTCAACCTCGGGGCGGACAACGCGACGAACGCGGTGAACATGGCCAAGGCGATCGTCAGGGCGTTCAAGAGCACGGTCGTGAAGGCGTCGGGCGTCGTCCTGGACTATATCGAGGTTGGGAACGAGGCGGACCTGTTCAGCAGGAACGGGCTGCGGCCGAGCAACTGGACGGTGGAGGAGTACGTTCCGGATTGGATCGCGATCGCGGGCGCGGCGGCCGACGCTGCGGGCATCCGGGGCAAGCATGGACCGGTGTCGCTGCAGGGCGCCGCTTTCGCGCAGCAGCAGTTCACGCCGCGCGCGATCTACGACCTCGGGATTCTGGACAGCAAGCCAGGGAAGGCAGTCTCCATGTGCGTACGGATGTTTTTGCACGCATCTAGCCGGCTCACGCGCGCGGAACAGCATCTCGCAGCATCAGTACTCGGCTGCGTTCTGCAACGGCGGCGATTTCCCGCTCACGTCGTTCATGAGCAAGGCCCATGTTCGAGGGAACCTGTCGCTTTTTATACCTGACATCGAGGCGACCCACGCTCGCGGTCTGCCGTACATTCTCGGGTGAGTCCATTGCACTCGCCACTCGCCACTCGCCACGAGCGCTGAACAGCCGCATCGCAGGGAGACCAACAGCATCGCATGCCATGGCGCGCCCGGGGTCAGCAACACGGCCGGTGCCGCGCTGTGGGCGATCGACTACACTCTCCAGGCGGCCACGCTGAGCATCGCCGAGGTCTTCTACCACGAAGGCATCGGCTACAAGTACAACTTCGTACGCCGAGTCCCCTCTGCCTGCGTACCGGCCCTCTGCTCACCTCGCACCCCAGCTTCAGCCGGTCGCGCTCAACCGGTCCATCGTCGACGGTTCCGCGCTCGACACGCCGCTCCCGCCGCACATCCAGCCGATCTTCTACGGGGCGATGGCGGTTAATGCCCTCATCGGGCGCAGCGGGCACGCGCGCGTCGTCGAGCTCGACGTCGGCGACGACAACGTCGCGGGCTACGCCGCGTACGAGGATGGCCGGCTCGTCCGCGCCGTGTTCGTCAACCTACACGCCTGGCTCGCGTCGTCCACCGGGGCGCGCCCGAGCGTCCACATCGACCTCGGCGTCGGGCTCGGCGCGGGCGCGGTGGAGGACGCGTTCTGGCGCGGGGGCGGGAAGGCGCGCGCGAAGCGGCTCGTCGTCGGGCACGCGGACGACACGGAGGGCCTGACGTGGGCGGGGCAGAGCTACGAAAAGAGCGGGGACGTGTCGCCGACGGGGCGGATGGTCGACGAGGAGGTCGTGCTGAGCAAGGGGTTGGATTTGCGCTCGACGGAGGCGGTCTTGTTGCTGTTCTGATTGGGGGTGAAGACGATCGGAGAGCTGTAGACCAAGTAGAAAGGTAGACCGATATTTGTGTATCATTGCATGTACATTCAGCACCCACGGGCTACACCACACTATGCGACTCTCGGCTTGTAGCAACTGGGAAATGTGACCGTAGCTGAGAAGTCAAAGTTCGTAATTTGGCCAAGCCTTGCGAAATCAGTGCCTGTCTCCGGGTTCCGACACGATCCGCAGCGCCATCTTCACGTCTCCCTGGACCTGCTGAGCAAACTCGTGGCGAACGACACCTCGAGCGCCCCTCGGCCGGGCCCCCGCGGGACCGTCCGCGTCCACCGGTCCACCCGCGGGTGTATCATGTGGTCCCTCGCGGAATCGTGGCCCGTCGACGCCCCGTGGCGAATGATGCCCCGTATCGCCTTCTAAGTTGTCATTCTGTGGTGATAAACAACTGCAAACATCACAGCGACGCCTTGAGACACAGACACGTTCTACATGCTCAGGACTCAGATACGAGAGGGTTCACATTCGATTTCTGTCGTTCCAGGTTAACAGGCTGCAGCTCGAAGTCGTAGTCATCCGTGGTGCAGTAGACGCTCTCGCTGTCTTCTGTCCTGCACCAACTGACATCCGCGTCGAAAATCCCTTGGGAAGAGCCGCTCGCGCCGGGATCACCGACGTGTCTGGACGCGAGCGAGCGCGAGAGCACCATGCTGGGCATGGCCGAGAGGCGCATTGTGGGGCCCGTGCCAAAGCGCGTCCTCGTGCTCGCCTCGAACAAGTCGAGGATGAAGCGGGAGGTCAACACCGCTGCCGTGCTGCACCGGGGGGTCATCAGCAGAGATAACGGAGCGAAATGGTGAGAAAACTCACGCGCTCAGCGCACCAATGAAGTCGAGCGAGAGCTGGAAAAAAGGAAACATCAGCTTCGGGCTTTGGTGGAGGCATCAAGCGCGTGAGGCGCAGCGCTACCTGGATGTTGTTGATGAAGGCGAGGTTCATAGCGTTGACAAGGAGGAGTGCACTAGAAACATGACCGTGTGTGAACGACGAGTTGAACGAACGCGAAACGCACGTATGGCTCACACGAAGTATGCAACACCTGCAATATAGCGGGCGCGTCAATGTACAGACTTGGTGACTCAAAACAACGTGGTTACCATTCTGAAAGAAAGCTGTCGTGAGGGTAAACCTCTGGTGTGCGCTTCCTCCCCACGATCTTGCATGTCTCCAGGTCAATGCAAGGACCAGCATGTCGCAGACAATCCCACAGGAACGTCCGAGGATGATCCCTGTGTACTATCCAGCTAAGAGACAATTATCGAAGGAGAAAGCGATTACGGACCGCTGTGAAAGGAGGTAATTAGCCCGAGCTTGATTCACGATGCACCTGTCCCGCTCACTTGCGGAAGGTCGTGAATTGCGAGACATCCACGTTGCACATGGTGTTGATATTGCCGGGTCCTGGGTTGTAGCTGGCCCGAGTCTTGACCGCCCCATACTGAGTAAAGCCCCCAGGGTTGAGTTGAACACAGTCAAGCTGAAGAAAGGATGAGAGTGCTCACAACTGAGGGAACGGCGTTCCAAACCCCTAGCGCTAAAACGAGGTAGGAAATGAGTTTGCGTTGGCACAGCGCGTGCGCCCGCAATGACGAGAACACTACGGAATAGAGTGATTAGTCGTTGCGGATGTCAGCTTTCGACTCAGAACCCACCCGCGGAGGATATGATAATGATGGTGGCCGTTGCAACGAAAGCCCGTGTGAGCGCTTCACACCTGCGGGGCGGTAGCGCAGGTCAGTGTTTGCGCGAGGAGCCGAGGCGCGAAAAAGGAGTGCATACTTCTGCCGGGTCAAGAGGGTCAGAGACGTCTAGTATTTGTCGGGACTTGAGAAGGCTCTCACTAGTGTTGATTTGCCCGGCCACGGGAAGAAATTGAGGAGGGTGAGGACGTTGATAGTCAATGAGGAGTAGCGTCCGGCGATATAGATCACGCTTCCGCTCGTCATCTTCCTCCTCCAGATATATTTGATCTCGCGATCAAATGTGAGGAAATAGTCGTAGCTGACGACGGCTGGGAACGAGGAACGACGGGTCAGACAGTTCAAATTCGTACTTCACTGAGGTGTACCACCTACTGATAACTCCGACCACCGCCCATTGATTGTGAAGACTGGCTCGTGCACGTGAGCATGCGAACTCTCGGTATCATCTTTCAACAGCTAGTACGTACGCGCTGAGAGCGATTTGACTGCCCATAGCTGTGGCCAGCGTGGGAGAGGTGTTTGAGATCAAGCTGGGGCGCGGAGCAGGGTTCAAGCAAGCGGTCAGTGCTCTGTATGGCCACGACCATGAACCAGAGCGTTCTTATTATACCCTAAACTTCATGAGGGTACATACCCGAGACGCTTCGTGCGGGGGCGAGCAAGTTAGAGTTGACCAAAAACGGATATTATCACGTCATCGAATTCGAAATCCTGTTGAGCGGTGGGAGCCTGGATATATGGGTAGAGTCGGAGATAGACGTATGACAGGTGCTTTGGGGCGAACAACATACACACCCCGGGCGGCCCCAGCACGGTGCGGCTGAATGCATAGCAGGGCTGTTGCATCGCAGGAGGTCTTGCGGTGTGGGCGACAATAACACGTGGCAATGGTGACGGAGCATGGGTAGAAAGTGGCGATGGAGAAAGCTCGTCGCCGGCCGTTACACAGTGGGAGGGGAGCACGTCGTTACTCGTAGTCTGAGAATAAGTCGTCGCTGCTGTCATCTCAACTGGCGTTTCGCTGTGTCCTTAAGCGCCCACGGCCTCGCTAGGCCGAGCGTTGGCTCGCGGAGGGATCCGCCTTCAAGCTTCAGTCTCGCGATCCAACTTGGCCTCACGCTTGTGTCGCGGAGTCTACCCTCGCCCTTAGCCCCCGTGGACTTGGCGACCTTTGTCCAAGTACGGATACTTCCGACGACGCGTTGTCGTTGCTGCTCACAGTGACACAAGAGCATGGAAGTGAGAACTCGGAGAGGAGGTTCGTACTACTCCGCGAACCTGCCTGAGTCCGCCGGTGGTGCTCATGTGTTCGCCAGCACAGGAGATTGGCGGCAAACTCGTCCAACCGTGTATTGCGACGGCTGAGCCTCCCGCTCTATCCCACTCCCACCACCGGCGACTAGATCGAATCTGAGCTTGAACCCACTCTACGCTTTGATGGGCCGATCAAGTCCTGCGTCAGGGGTTTGGCGACAGCCTGTCCGAGTGGAGCCATGGCTTTGCATCCCGGTGGTCGCAGTCCTCTCTTCCGGTGTACTCCAAGGCAATTTTGGCAGACGTTATCGTCCCCGACAGCAGCCGGCGGCTTCAAAGACGGGCAAAATTTAGCCCTGATGATGTGTCATGCCCGCCCATCCCGTCATCCGTCGTTGCAGATGATCTATGAGGAGGTGGACACTGGGCTTGTGCGGCAGAGAAAGCAATAGGTCATAAGGGGTCGAATCGCGTTGATTGTGCCGTCGTTGTGGGTGTGTTATGCACTTAATGTGTTGTTGGAGTCACAGTTTCGGGATGAGCAGTCGAATTTACAGTTCGAGTACTATAAATATAGTAGGGACAACGGTGTCAAAAGCATCAACGGACTCTAGACAAGGTTTGGAGAGCATAGGTCAACGTACAGCATGATCGAAAGGTAGAGCGAGTACAACAAGACAGCGGAACACGAGCGCAGGAGGCATGATGTGGGGTGCGGGAAGCGAGCTAGGCGAGAGACGTGCATAAGAAGCCACAGTAGACAGAAACTGTCGCCATTCCGAGATGAGGCAAACCGAGACAACGAGACAGAGACCGTAGACGAGCCATACAGTAAAAACAAAAGGGCATCCCACGCGTGAACGCGTACATCCACCGCGGGACGAATCCACCCAGCGCTGGGCTAGATGCTCCGTCCCCCGCGCAGACCCACACGTTCGTTTCTCATCCATGAGATCTGTATCACCCCCATTCCAAATCCGACGCCTAAGGCGAGCCGGCAGCGCTCTCTTCATAGAGGCTGGCAGCTCGCGTGGGACGCCGGGCTTTGAGAGTGGTGCAATTCTGATGCACGCGACCCTTGCGTGCCTGTGGGAACGGAAGGCTAGTCAGCGGCGGAGGGATGGAGGAGGGAGTAGGCCGGAAATCGGGAGAGCGAGACGAGGGATACGCACTGGGACACGTCGCTTGGTGTCACTGGCGGCTGTTCTTGACCTTCCGTTTGACCTGCTCCTTCTTCACGGCCTCGCGTACCTTCTCCTTCCTCTGCTCACTGCGAAGGGAGATCCCTTGGTGTGAAACGATGTGTCGAGTGAGGTCGTGTTTCTTTGCGAACGCGCGCCCGCAGTCTGGCCGTGGACAGGGGAAGGGCCAGATGTCGGCATGCTTGCCTGAATTCTTGTGCTGGCCGAGATTGAACTTCGTCGAGAACCCTGTGAGGAGACTGGTGAGCCAACGTCACAGAATGTGGGTTGAGATCGTACATTCTAGGAAAATCTTACACTGGAAGTGCTTGCCGTTGTGCTGTGGATCCCCAATGGACGGTGGTGTGGCCGGACCGGGAGAACTCTCGGAGCTCTCGCAGTCGGAGACGAGGGATGAGAGCGACGGGCAAGGCGAATGTTCCACAACCTCCGACAGAGGTTGGTACGGAACTTGGGCCTCGGGGGTGGGGGGCGCTACGAACGCAACCGGAGCATCCCCCACACCGTCCGGCGCAGCGCTCGGGGGAGAGATCACATCGCCGGGGTAGAGCGATGGAGGCTCCTCGGGGGCGAAAAACGATGTAAACGAAGCCACCACGCTATCCCCGGTGTACATAGACTCCCCCCGAACGCTGACGATGGGGGGAGAAGGTGAGAGCTGACCGTCGATGGGAGGTCCGGCGGCGAAGGAAGCACTGGTTGTGTTGACGAGAGGGCTCAGGAGCAGCCCTTCCAAGGCCGAGATTTGGAAACTCGAGAACTGCGAAGACGAATCGTGTGGGTGGTGGGGCGAACCATCCTTAGATTCCCAAGTGGGCCCGCGGCACAGACTGCTACAGGCGGACGTCCCATTGGTGGAAGGCGTCGTCCGCTGGACGCAAACGGCTTCCTTAGAGTATAGCCGGTATAACGCATGAGGAAACGTACCACTGAGGAGGTTGACAGGGGTCCGGAGACGTTGGTCCAACAACCGGTTGGATGATGTTCCACACCTCCCAGTCGACGGCGGATTGTGTCTCCAAGTCGAGGCCGGGCAAAAGGTTGTCGTCGAGCTGAGAACTCTGTGACAGGGTCATGGTGAACGAGGGGTTGTGGATCGTAGTGGAGGGCAAGATAACAGGTAGAGGAGGATGAAGAGCAGAAGTAAGTGATGGACTGGGGGTGGACTCGCGGGAGATACTGGCGGCTAGATTACTCCCACCGCGTGTTCCTGTCCAATCGGAGGATGTCTCGAGGTCTCGCATTCCTCAACGAGCTGCGCTGAGCGATGCGCACGTCTCAAACCGTTTCTCGGAGGTAGGACGTCAGGAGGGAGTCAAGGGAAGAGAAATAGAAAGGAGAACTTGTGTATAAGTCTTACGCTCTTAAAGCTGCTTAGGAATGTGATCGCGTCGCGGTCATGTGACAAACGTGAGACGACCTGGCATGCGTCATATCCCTAGTACCCCTAGAACTTACTTTACAACACCTTCTCACTCCCCGTTGCCCCATCTCCCATCTTCCAAGTGCTGCCGTTTTATCAAGCCGTGTCATTACTTCCACATTACCCCCGTCGAATCACCTCGACGCCGATAGAGACGGGCTTCAGTCTGCAGGCGGCACACCCACCTCTCCAGGTCTTCACCGGCTTGCCCCTCCCAATATCAAGGAGTACGTTTCAACGGCGGAGCTTGGGGTCAAACGAGATGGCGTGCCAACATACGAAGGATAAGGGGAACAGCGCCCGGTGAGGATCCTGCCGGACATGCGGATCCTGCATACATCGAAGCTCATGTACGTGTTTTTGCTAGACGCAGCTTATTTTGCTCCATTCTGCGTTATGAAGACCTCGGCGGATTCAACCTGTCGCAAGGGCTCCCCCAAGATGGGCCCAACGGAGACTCCAGCGATATCCTCTTTCACCTCGAGTCTCGACGTTGCGCTTCTCATCCCTCCGTTCCGTTTCAATTGCTGGTGCGGGCGGGTCCAGTCCAGCGGGTCTAGGCATGGCTTGCGACTAGCCTGAAGTGAGTGCCTCAATCTGGGTCTGCCTCCCCACGCAATTGAGTTGAAACCCAAATATTTCTTCCTCACTGCCGTTCAAATACCGTCTTCCACCCTCGAACGCCCACGGCCGCTGATATGCTCCACGTTTCTCTATCCACTCTTTGTTCGTGCTCTCACCATGATGTCCAGTACGGAGAAGGTCTCAGCTTCTGACCACCTCCCGCAGGTCGATCGTGAAGCAGTCACTCAAGATGAGAAGGCTACTCCCGCGGAAGAGAAGCATCTGGTGAGAAGGCTCGACGAGCGGATCATGCCTTTCATCTGCTTCTTGTTTCTGTGCTCCTGTGAGTACTGTGCTTTACAACGCGTTGTCACTTTTCCCTCATGGCTGTGGCCAGATCTCGACCGAGTAAATTTGGGCAACGCACGGCTGCAAGGCCTCCCTCAAGATATCCTTGGTGGTGACCCCACTGGCGTTTTGTTTGACTGGGCCAGCTCCGCATTCTATTTCTCATTCGTATGTTGTCTGTATCACTGCTGAATCTTATCCTGATGCATCCGATTTTAGATTCTGTGCCCCGTGCCCCTCACGGTACTTTTCAAACTCTGCGCGCCTCGAGTTTGGTTCTGTTTCGTTGCTGTGGGGTGGGGAGTTTGTGCTGTCCTCATGGTTTGCACTCTTTGCATTTTTTCTCGCGCATAAGCTGATATAGCGTTTCTAGGCGACGTCCTTCAACTTTGCCGGCGTGCTCGTCTCCCGCATCGCTCTAGGCGTATTTGAGGGAGGATTCGCCCCAGCCGTTCCTTTATACCTATGTGCGACCTTTTATTCTGGTCTCCCATCGGTCTACTGATATCACCGTGCAGCGTTTTGGTACACGAAACAGGAGCAAGGTCTCCGGTTTGCCGCATACAGTGCCTTTGCCGGCGTTGCGGGCGCTTTTGGCGGGCTGCTGGCGTTCGGGATCCAACACGCGCGCACCGCGATCGCGGACTGGCGGCTACTGTTCATCGTCGAAGGCGTGCCGCCCATTCTCATCGGGGTGCTCACCTTATTCTACCTGCCCGACCGTCCTGAGAAGACGTCATACCTCAACGATCGTGAGCGCAAGTTGGCACTGGAACGCGCCAATCGAGGGACGAGCGCGGACGCAGGGCAGGTGATCAACCGGCGTGAGTCACTCCTTTTGCTCTGGCCACAAATTTTAGCTGATCATGGAACCTAGGACACGTGTATGATGCACTCCTGGACTGGAAGGTGTGTTGCGCACATAGACCCGACGAAGTACCCTGACTGAGTAGCTCTGCAGGTTTACGCAGGAGGGATCCTGTTCTTCGCCGCCGACGCCGCTTTCGGGTCTATCGCGGCCTTCCTTCCCACAATCATCACCACATTTGGATACAGTAGGAGCCTTCGATATCCCGCTCCACCCAGTGACTAATACATATCCAGCCAATGCTCTCGCCCAGCTGCTCACCGTCCCACCTTACGTGGTGGGCTCGATCATAGTATGCCTCGCCTGCTATGCATCCGACCGATTGCAGATGCGCGGCCCGTTCATCATTGCAGGGACATCATTGTCCGGGATCGGCTACCTGTGAGCACTGTCGCCCTCCTAACCCCATTCGAACGGACACTGACCGGCTCTGGCACAGCCTCCTGCTCACCGTTGCGGACAACAAGCACGTGCGGTACTTTGCGACGTTCTGCATCACCAGCGGGACGTACACGATGGGGTCGATCATCTTCGCGTGGTGTACGTGTCTTCCCCCGTTCACGCCGCCCTGCCTCCCCTCTGACCTTTCCATAATGCACTCTAGTCACGCATAACCTCGGCTCCGAGTCGAAGAAGGCCGCTGGCACTGCGATGTACATGGCGATCGGGCAATGTGGGGCGGCCCTAGGCTCCCACCTGTATCCGCTCACCGAAGGGCCACGCTACATGTTCGTTGCGCAGCCATCTCTCACAACACGATGGCCGCTGACCGAACATTGGTCTTCAGAAAAGGCTTTGCGGTGAACTGCGCGCTGCACTTCTTCGCTGCAGTGGTCGCCACGGTGCTCATGGCGCGTCTGCCGCTCTTCCGCTCTCAGTCGTTATCTGAAGCTGATGCGGCCTCTGTGCTACAGGTATACTATCATCTGGAAAACCGGCGAAGGGACGAACGGTACGGGAAGCCCGTGCGCGACGCCATGGTGGACACGCGCGAGCTCGCAGACAAGGTACGCGGGGAGTCGGTGTACCTTGCACGCGAACTTACTTCAACCTCTGCCACAGGCTCACACATTTCGCTACACGCCGTGAGGGGCGGCTCGTCGCCGAGGGATTCGAAGTCAATGAGTGCAACAGACGATACGCGGTCATAATCAGCTTCCAGTATTATATGCGTCAGCATGTGTCGAAGTAGTACACGCTCCTCAATCAGAACGCTGTTCTTTCGATGTGTTGTGTTGGCCGTGCTGAGATGGGGCTCGCGAGACTTGATGGTGTTGAGTTCAAACGCTCGACAAGCACGAGCATAACTTTCGCAGCTGCGGTAGCTGAACAAAGGCCTTTTCCTGGCGCTTTTACATGGTGCTGATATGTTAATGTGGCCAAGAGAGGTCGTCGGGATGCCGCCCCCGCCTCCCAGCCGCCCGCTCCGTCCATCGACCACTGGAACGGAATACTTGGACAAGGACGTCGGCCACCACGTGGCTTTGTGCACATCCTGCCAGGCCTCCAGCCTCCCTGCAGGCCACCCAGGACTTCGCCCAGACCCCCAAGGGCGTCCAGCCATCGCTGGTGTTCTCCGTTGCCGGCACTGTACGAATATCGGCATTGATATATTACTGCTTTACTATCCGAGTTGATGCATATCCAATACTCCTGTGATATGAATGAAGAACTGCGAAGGTTGTTCGTAACCATTCAGCCCACGACGTCCCAATAGACCTCACACCCACGCTCTCCAACGGTGGCGTATTCAACCGCCCTCAGCTCCTCATGTGATAGACGTGCGAACCATTCCAAGTTCTTCGAGCCCGGGTACGTCTCTCACTCCGTGTCCGTCGCGGTGACGTCCGTCTCGAAAATGTACCCAACGCCGTCCACGCTCTGCGTGGTCGACGGTGACAAGTCCTGCACCCATGAAATAGCGTCAATCGGCCGCACATACGCATCAGGGGCGTAGAAGAGCACTCACAGCACCGGTCGCGACGCTCCGGCGACTTCGGACCGTGCACCGTGTCCCTCGCGGGGCCTTGTAAACCTGCGTGCGCGGCCCGGTCCCGAGGGCAGGCGGCGCGAACGGGGTCTCTTGGGATAGGTAGACCTGGTGATGGATCGGTGTATGCGCGATGAACGGAAAACTCACGGTGTCTCCTGGGTCCAGGCTCCGGTTGGCATCCACCCCACACAGCCGACCTCCGTCTAGTACGAGCAGGGAGGCGTGCTAAACCAATCCCGTTCCGTCGCCCACACTAGATGGAGAGAGCAGGGGCTCCGTCCAGGGGACCGGGGCGCGCCGCTGAAAGAAGTAGTACAGGGTTATGGTCTCCTAGTGGGGGTCGTCGAGAGACGGGGACTACCTGTCGAGAAGATATGAATCAAGTCAGTGCATGGTGTGTCGTGGGGGCGGGGACGGACGAGGCCTGGAGGATGCACGATCTGCCTCGTGTTCCAGCCGCCGGGGGCACCAGTGTGCACGATGAGCTTGACGTAGTCACCACCAGTGAGAGAGCAGCCAGACGATGTCGCGATCTCGGATACGCGCATGTCGGAGAGACGGGGAGGGGAGGAGTTTGGGTTCAGTCTTGGCGCCGGCGCCTTGGAGACGGTGTGGTTGGCATGACGTCATACCGCTACCATGTCTTCTGAGCAGTCATCTTGTGGTGACAAGCAACCACAAACATCACCACGACGCTTCCTAGACACAGGCATAACTTCGGGACCTAGATTACAGGCACGCTCTACATTCTCACGACTTCGATCCGATATGGTGCACGTCCGATAGTTGTCGTTCTGGGTTCATAGTCCGGAGCTCGAAGCCGTAATCGTCTTTCTTACTCCAGTCGCTCTCGCTCTCTTCTGTACTGTCCCAACTCACATCCGCGCCAAAAATTCGTGCAGAAGCGCCAGTCGCGCCGAGACCTCCAACGTGTCGGAATGCAAGCGAGCGCGAGCGCACCATGGCCGAGAGGTGTAATGTCGGGATAGTGCCGAAGCGTCCCCTCGTGCTCGCTTCGAATAAGTCGAGGATGAAGCGGCAGGTCAAGATCACCGTCATGCTGCACCGGAAGTTAATCAGCAGGGATAGCGTAGCGGAATAATGGGAAAACGCACGCGGTAAGCGCTCCGATGAGATTGAACAACAGCTGGAAAGGTAACATCAGCTTTCAACCTCGGCAGTGGGGGCATCAAGCGCATGAGAGGCAGCGTTACCTGCACGTTGTTGATGAACGCAAGGTTCATGATGTTGCCAACGAGGAGTGCACTGTCGGAAGTATGATGTGTGTGCGAACGAAAAAAAAACACGAAAGGGAGGGACGTATGACTTACGTGAAGTATGCGACACCGTTCTGAAAGAACGCCGTAGTGATTATCAGCCCCTGCTGTGCGGTTCCTCTACGCGGACCTGTATGCATCCATGTCAAGATAAGAACGATCAGGTCGCTGACAACCCCGCAGGAACGCCCGACGATGATCGCTGTTCGGTATCAAGTCAAGAGATGTCTACCGAGAAAGAAAAGCGATAACGGACCCCTGTGAAAGTAGGTGATTAGCCCGAGCGTGATTAATGATACACCTAGCCTACTCACTTGCGGAAGGACTCGAATTGCGAGAAATCCGCGTTGCACAAGGTGAGCAAGTTGTTGGGTCCTGGGTCGTAGGCGGACCGAGTCTTGATCGCTGCGTACTAGGCGAAGCCCAGGGTCGAATTGGACACATTCAAGTGGAAAAAAGAATGAGTGTGCTCACAAGCGAGGGGACGGCGTTCCCAGACCCTAGCACTAGAATGCAGAAGGAGAGGGGTTTGCGTTGACATAGCGCGTGCGCTCGCAGCGACGAGAACACTGCAGCATACCGCGATTATTCATTGTCAAATCTCAGCTCTCATCTCAAGAACCCACCCGCGCCGGACATGAGCATGACGGTGCCCGATAAAGAAAACCCCAGTGCGAGCCCGTTACATCTACGAGGCGGTAGCGCACAGATTAGTGTGCATTAAAGAAGGGCTGAGACGCGAACAGGCGCGGCCGCGTGCGTACATCTGCCATGTCAAGGGCGTCAGATGCGTCTAGACTTTGTCGGGTCTCAGGAATGCTCTCACTGGTGATGATTTTCCCGACCAAGGGAAGCAATCGAGGAAGGCGATAATGATGGAGACGAATGAGGAGTAACGTATGACGATATAGATCGCGCCTGCACTCGTGATCTTCCTGCTCCAGATGTATTTGATCTCGGCATCAAGAGTGAGGAAGTAGTCGTAGATGACGGCTGTGAATGAAAGAAGGGATCAGACAATTCAACTTCATACTCTAGGTGTACCACTTACCGACGGCTGTGGCCACCGCCCATTTACGCTCGAGACTATCTCGCGTATGTTAGCATGCGAACTCGTGGTACCATCTTGCAACAGTGTGTACGTACGTGATCAGAGCGATTTCACTTTCCATAGCTGCGACCAGCGTCGAAGAGGTGTGTGAGATCAAGCTGGGGCTGCGAAGCAGAGTTCAGGCGTCGGGGTGCTCAGTATGGCCGCAACCACGAACCAGAGTATTCTTATACATGACATTACGTACCCGAATATAGGGGCGGGCGAGCTAGTTCTTGGAGATTCCCTGATGACAGCTGGTAATAAATCAATAGAGGCATCGGCTTCCCGCCCATACGCGGTGAAGCTCGACAAAAGCGACGCTTGCGCGAGGCGGTCAGGGTCGCTCCGCTCCGCTCTACTCCGCTGCGCCACGGAGTAGGGTGTCGCTGTGCAAAGGGGCTAAGTGTGCCGATGTGCGCTTCCTCGGACGTCACCGAATTCGAAATCCGGTTGAGCGGTGCGAATGTGCAGATCAAAAGGAACGAAGGGCAAAGCCAAAACATGCACCACAGCCATCTAAAATGGACATCAATGCGCACATGCACCATGCGACTTGAACGACCGCACGGCTGAACGCACAAGGCTGGTGCGCAGGAGGATCTGAGTCTCGCGGCGCGGAGGAGGACGATCCGTAACGTTGTGATGAGAACCCGCATCCGATGATAGACAGGCGGGACGACTGACATGACTACCCTCCACTGGGACGAGCCAGGGCCCAGTGGCAGTCAGGTGGAATGCTACCAGACCCCAGGCCGTCATTCCTGTCCATCCCGGATGTTACGTGCTTTGTCGGAGGCGGGAGTGACAGCCCGTCGCCGTTGTGGAGTGGGAGACGGTCGTGGTCCAAGCTGAGTAAGTGGGTCGCGGAGCATAGGCGCACATGGCCTTTACGGCGCGCTTGCTAGACTTTGGCTAGCGCGTCTTCGGGCGCACCTGGAAATCCGAGTTCGCTGTCAGTCTCTGTGCATGCCGACGACAAGCACCAGCACTCGGGTGCGTCGAAAACCGCGCTGAGCAGTTCTTGGACGGGGCCGCTGAGCGCTGGGCGGCGGTCGCTCGACACGGGAGCGGCGACGCAGGCTGCCACACAAGGTTGTGAGCATTGGGTCGCCTCTGGACCCGCGTCCCGCTTCTGGCTCCCGGCTTCTGCGCACGCGGGGTGCTCGTGGACCTCCTCGCAGGTGCTTTCGATCGCGACGCGCAGAACTTGAAGCTCAGGGTATGGCGCTGGTACATTGTGGTCCGTGTCTCTGCGTCACCTTGATTTCGTTGCCCATGGCTGACGCGCGCGCATTTGCTTCCACAGCACGGTCTGTGGTATGAAGGTTTGTGTCATAGCTGGCGTGGCCCCGGCCGGGGGCCCTGAACGGGGCAGCTTGAAGCGATGGGGTGCGCACGAGTCACGATCGCGCATGTCCTCGCGAAGGGCGCTTGGGCGTGGCCAACACGTGACTCGGATTAAGTGCTAGGCCCCCGTGGACTCTCATTCCTCCGCGCTGTCCCATCCGTTCTCACTGTCTCCCTCGCCCGCTTTCAACACGACATGAGTGTCTCCATCCCGGCCGGGGCGGAGAGGCCTGTCTCCAGATTGGGGGGGGGGGGGTCGTCTCCATCGCTCCATCGAGCCATCTGGCGCCATCTGGAGACGCCGGAGACCTCCGCGTTTCCTGATGTGATGTGGGGGCCGGGGGAGTGAGGGAGCAGGGGTCGCGAACACGGACGGCTTGGACGTTCCAGAGGTCACTCAAGAATGTACATTATCCTGGTCGCCGCTCGCTTCAGGGCCTGCGCGAGGCTCCGCACCGCCTACTAATAAGCAGTCATTCTGTGGCGACAAACAGCCGCAAACATTACAACGACGCTTTGATAAGACACCTGCACAGGTATAGCTGTGGGATCTAACCGGCAGACACGTTCTGAACGCTCACGAATTCGGTACGAGAGTGTGCACATCCGATTTCTGTCGTTCCGGGTTTGTTTGTATGTTTATATCCTGTTTAACGCCCTGGCAGTGGAGGGCCGAGCCCTGCGGTAGGCGATATGTACAATAATCTAGATGAGATGCATATACGGGATGGCCGGTGACGTGTCTGCCCTGCGGAAACCGGGAAAGGCCAAAAAAGTCTAGCCATCGTGGAATCGAAACGAAGTGAGTGAGTGGTGAAGGGGGTGGGTGCGGATGCGAGAGCCGGGGTGAAGTGCCGGAGGGTACCATGCGTGACCTGGGCCTCGAGCTTCCGTCACGGCTTCAGGACGCCAGGGGTGTGCGTACTCTGAGTCTTGCCTTTTGGCCTCTGAGGCGAGGTGAGAGTGGGGGCCTCGCAGGTGAGAGTGGTGGATCGGGATGTGAGAGCAGTGGTGGCGACCGTGGATGTGTGGGTGGTGGGGAGCGGGACGAGCGGAACGAGCTGGAGGGGGCAATCTAGCGCGGGGGATGAGATTGGTAAAGTGTGATTATGTCCATGGAGGTCCGAGGAAAGGCAGCTTGCAGTGCAGTGGGAGTGCCGTCGACTCTGGTCGCCGGACGGCTCGCCCGCGACCTATTTACTTCCGCCGTGCGTTGTACAGGCGCTGCGGGTGGTCAAGCGAGCGCGGACGGACGCCGTCTCGGGATATCCTTCTTCATGCGGGTGTGTCACGTTTCGTTTTCCGTTCCTTGTTATATATCGATTAGCTTGGTCAGTGCGGGGCGGCGGTAGCGATGTGTGCAGTATGTAGAGTGGGAGGGAGAGGGTCGATGTACGAGGGGGGAGGTTGGGGCACGGGAGGGCGCGAGTCTGTCCAACTTAGTAGGAACGTCTACCGAGGTCTGGCGTGTCGTGGGTGGATCGTGCCCGCGGCAGGGGTGGTGTGTTGTTGTTGTCGGGCCAGGGCGAGATGTCGTTGAGGAGGTTGTCGGACCGGTGCTGTGCGCTGGCGTACTGTTCCGGGTTGACAGGCCGGAGCTCGAAGTCGTAGTCATCCGTGGTGCCGGAGACGCTCCTGCTGTCTTCTGTCCTGCGCCAGCTGACATCCGCGTCGAAAATCCCTCGGGAGGAGCCAGCTGCGGCGAGACCGCCAACGTGTCGGGACGCGAGCAAGCGCGAGGGCACCATACTGGGCATTGCCGAGAGGCGTACTGTGGGGCCGGTGCCGAAGCGTGTCCTCATGCTCGCTTCGAACAAGTCGAGGATGAAGCGGCAGGTCAACACTGCTGCCGTGCTGCACCGGGGGCTCATAAGCAGAGATAACGGAGCGGAATGGCGAGAAAACCCACCCGGTCAACGCACCGACGAAACCAGGCGAGATCTGGAAAGGTGGCATCAGCTTCGAATTCGGGTGCAGGTATCAAGCGCACAGTTTTACCTGGATGTTATTGATGAAAGAAAGTGTCAAGACGTTCACCAAGAGGAGGACACTGGAAGGTCAGTGTGTGAGCGACGAGAACAAATGCGGAAGGGACATACGGCTCACGCGAAGTATAGAACACCTACAATGTCGTGGATGCGTCAGTGTACAGACTACAATTACCCAGAAGAACGTAGTTACCATTCTCAAAAAATGCCGTTGTAAGGGTGAACCTCTGGCGTGCGCTTCCTCTCCACGGTCTTGCGTGTCTCCGCGTCAACACAAGGACCAGCAAGTCACAGATAACTCCACAGGAACGCCCGACGATGATCGCTGTTCGATATCAAGTCAAGAGGCGTCTACTGAGGGGGAAAGCGATAACAGACCCCTGTCACGAAAGGAGGTGATTTGGACCAAGCTTTGTTCACGATACACCTAGCCCACTCACGTGCGAAAGGACTTGTATCGCAAGAAATCCACGATGCACGTGGTGCTGATGCCGTTTGGTCCTGGGATGTGGCGGGAACGAATCTTGATCGCTCCATACTGCGCGAAGCCCAGGGTTGAGTCGAAGACAGTCAAGTTAAAGAAACGACGGGAATGCCACTCACAACCAAGGGGGCAGCGTTCGCAGACCCTAGCGCCAACACGAGACAGGAGATGGGTTTGTGTTTGCTCAGCGCGTGCGCCCGCAATGACGAAAACACTACGGCACACAGTTATCAGTCATTGGCAGAACTCAGGTCTCGAATCAAGAACTCACCAGCCGCGCCCACGACAACGACGGCACCCATTACAGAAAAAGCCACTGTGGTCCCGTTACACCTGCGGGGCGGGAGCGCAGATTAGTGCATCGCGAAAGAGCTAAGACGCGAACAGGGGCGGCCAGGTGCGTACATCTGCCACGTTAAGAGCGTCAGAAGTGCCTAGTATCTGCTGGGGCTCAGGAAGACGCTCACTGCAGATAATTCGCCGGGCCGAGGGAAGAGATTGAGGGAGATGACGATGTTGGAGGCCAACGAGGAGTAACGTGTGACGATGTAGATCGCACTTGCACTCGTGAACTTCCTCCTCCAGATGTACTGAATCTCGCGATCAAGAGTGAGGAAGTAGTCGTAGGTGATGAGCGCTGGGAAGGAGGAACGAGGGGTCAGACAGCCATATTCGTACTTCGGGTGCACCACCTACTGACGCCTCCAACCGTCGTCCACTTATTCTGAAGACTGGCTCGCGTATGTGAGCACGACAGATCGCGTTACAATCAATAGCTACCTACATAGGCTGACTGCCCATAGCTGCGACCTGCGTTGAAGAGGTGTTTGAGACCAAGCTAGGGCTACTGGGGAGGGCACAGGCGTCAAGCGAGTGCCCTGTATGGCAGCAACCAAGAACCAGAGCGTTCTTATACATGACGGTACGTACCCGAAACGCTTCGCGCACAGGCGAGTAAAGTAGACTTGACCAAACGCGGATATTCTTACGTGGTTGCTGAGTAGTAAAGCGCTAAAGCGGCCGATGTTTGCTTCCCCGCACGTCATCGAATTCGAAATCCAGTTGAGCGGTGCGAACCTGGATATCCAACGGAACGACGAGTAGAGTCGAGACAGACGTATGACAGCCACTTTGAAGCGAGCATTGATGCGCACCCGCGGGGAGCACGGCGCAGTTGAATGCACAAGGCCGGTGCACAGGAGAATGAGGGTCGTACGGTGCGGGCGACGATGGTGCGTAACAACTCGTTGCCGTTGCAGAGTGGGAGGGGAGAACGTTGAGGTCTGATACTAAGTCTTACGCGAGGGTGAATGTGATCGCGTCGCGGTCATGTGACAAAAGTGAGACGAATGCATCGCATCCCTACCCTAGAACTTACTTTACAACACCTGCATTCACTCCCCGTTGCCCCATCTCCCATCTTCCCAGTGCTGCTGTTTTATCAAGCCGTGTCATTACTTCCACATCACCCCCGTCAAATCACCTCGACGCCGATGGAGACGGACTTCAGTCTGCACGCGGCACGCCCACCTCTCCAGGTTTTCACCAATTCGCCCCTACCAATCGGCTCTCGACAAGATCACAGAGGACGTTTTAACTCCGGAGGTTGGGGTCAAACGAGATGGCGTGCCAACAAACGAAGGCTAAGGGGAGCAGCGCCTGGTGAGGATGCTGCTGGGCATCCGGATCCTGCATCCGTCTCAGTACGTGTTTTTGCTAGACGCAGCTTCTGTTATGTACTTTATTCTGCGCTATGAAGACCTCTGCCGATTCAAATATTCAACCTGTTGCAAGGGCTCCCTCAAAATGTGCTCAACGGAGACTCCAGCGGCATCCTCCTTCGCCTCGACGTTGCGCTTCTCATCCGTCCGTCCCATTTCAATTACAGGAGCGGGCAGGACCAGTTCGGAGGGTCTAGACATGGCTTGCGACAAGCCTGAAGTGAGTGTCTCAATCTCTGTCTTCCTCCGAACGCAATTGAGTTGGAACCCAAACTTTTATTCCCTACTGCCGTTCAAATACCGTCTTCGAACGCCCACGACCGCTGATATACCCCACGTTTCTCTATCCAGTCTTTGTTCGTGCTCTCATCATGATGTCCAGTACGGATAAGGTCTCAACTTCCGACCACCTCCCGCAGGTGGATCATGAAGCAGTCACTCAAGATGAGAAGGCTACACCCGTGGAGGAGAAGCATCTGGTGAGAAGGCTGGACGAGCGGATCATGCCTTTCATCTGCTTCTTGTTTCTATGCTCCTGTGAGTACTGTGCTTTACAACACGTTGTCATTTTTCCCTCATGGTTGTGGTCAGATCTCGACCGAGTAAATTTGGGCAACGCACGGCTACAAGGCCTCCCTCAAGATATCCTTGGCGGTGACCCCACTGGCGTTTTGTTTGACTGGGCCAGCTCCGCATTCTATTTCTCATTCGTATGTTGTCTGTATCACTGCTGAATCTTATCCTGATGCATCCGATTTTAGATTCTGTGCCCCGTGCCCCTCACGGTACTTTTCAAACTCTGCGCGCCTCGAGTTTGGTTCTGTTTCGTTGCTGTGGGGTGAGGAGTTTGTGCTGTCCTCATGGTTTGCACTTTTCTAGCGCATAAGCTGATATGGCGTTTCTAGGCGACGTCCTTCAACTTTGCCGGCGTGCTCGTCTCCCGCATCGCTCCAGGCGTATTTGAGGGAGGATTCGGTCCAGCCGTCCCTCTATACCTACGTGCGACCTCTCCTTCCGGTCCACTATCGGTGTACTAATATCACCGTGCAGCGTTTTGGTACAGGTCTCTGGCTTGCCGCATACACCGCCTGTGCAGGCATTGCGGGCGCGTTTGGCGGGCTGCTGGGGTTCGGGATCCAACACGCGCGCACCGCGATCGCAGACTGGCGGCTACTGTTCATCGTCGAAGGCGTGCTGCCCATCCTCATCGGGATGCTCGCCTAGGGCCGAGCGCGGACGCAGGGCAGGTGATCAACCGGCGTGAGTTGCTCCTCCTGCTCTGATCACAATATTTAGCGCATTATGGATCTTAGGACAGGTGTATGATGTGCTCCTGGACCGGAAGGTGTGTGCGCACACGGACCCGATAAAGTACCCCGTCTGAGTAGCTCTGCAGGTTCACTTAGGAGCATCTGGAAAACCGGCGAAGGGACGAACAGTACGGGAAGCCCGTGCGCGACGCCATGGCGGACACGCGCGAGCTCGCAGACAAGGTACGCAGGGAGTCGGTGTGCCTTGCACGCGAACTTACTCTAACCTCTGCCACAGGCTCACACATTTCGCTGCACGCCGTGAGGGGCGGCTCATGGCTGAGGGATTCGCAGTCAATGATGACATGCGGTCACAACCAGCTTCTAGCATTATGTGCGTCAGCATGTGTCGAAGCAGTACACGCCCCTCGATCAGAACGCTCGTCGCTGTTCTTTCGCTGTGTTGCGTTGGCTACGCTGCGATCGGGCTCGCGAGATTCGAGGGTGTTTAAGCAACAATGCTCTCACGCTCAACAAGCGCAAAACGCAAGGATGACTTTCTCAGTTGCAGAACCTTTAAAAAGGCTCCTCCTGGTTGTCGCGACGCCACCTAATCGACCACTCGGACGAGATCGACCCTTCCAGGATACTTGGCCAAGGACACCGGCCACCACGTCGGCTTCGTACAAAACAGACGTCCTCCCTCCCTCCCCCATATTTCCGTCCCAAACGTGCAAGCCATTCAGGCTGAAGGGCGTCGAGCGAGCACAGTATGTATGGAGGCGGAACGTACAGCAGACATATATCGCAGCTGCGGTGCCTGGGTAACTTTGCGCGAAGTTTATGGTCAAGTGGGAAAACCGCTATGAATATTGTACTGCTTGACTATCCGTGTCGATACATATCCAATACACCTCTGATATGAGAGAAGAACTACGATAGTTGTCCGTAATCATTCAGCGCACGACATCCCAAGAGACCTCACACCCGCGCTCTCCAGCGGTCGCGCCTTCAACCACCCCCAGCTCCTCCTGTGATAGAGGCGCGAACCACTCCCAATTCTTCGAGCCTGAGTACGTCTCCCACTCCGTGGCCGCCTCGGTGACATCCGTCTCGAGGACGTACCCGACGCCGTCCACGCTCTCCGTCGTGGACGGTGGTAGGTCCTGGACGCATGAAACGGCGTCGATCGGCCACACATATGCATCAGGGGCGTATTAGAAGAGTACTCACAGCACCGGCGGTCGCGAGGCCCCGGCGACTTCGAACCGTGCACCGCGGGGTCCTGCACGGGGCGGTGGAGACCCGCGTCCTCCGGAGCGTACGCGCCCCCGTCCCGAGGGCAGACGGTGTGAACGGGGTCTCCTGGGACACCGGTGGACCTTGAAATGGATATGTGTACGCGCAATGAACGCAGGATGGGGACGACTCACGGTGCCTCCTGGTTCCAAGGTCCGGTTGGCATCCTCCCCACACACCCAGTCTCCGTCTAGTACGAGCAGGGATGCGTGCTCAGCCCACCCTTTTCCGTCGCCCACACTAGATGGAGAGAGCATGGACTCCGTCCAGGAGAATGGGGCGCGCCGTTGAAAGACGTGTTATGGTCTCATAGCGGGGGCCGTCGAGAGACGAAGACGACCTGTCGAGGAGAAATGGCCCGAGTCAGTGCATGGTTCGTCGCGGGGGATGACGACGGGAACGCACGAGGCCTGGAGGATAGGACTCACGGACGAGACGGTGGATGCGCGCGATCTGCCCGTGTTCCAGCCGGGGGGCGCCAGTGTCCATGGTGAGCTTGACGCAGGCACCATCGGCGAGAGAGCAGCCAGACGATGCCGCGATCTCGGATACGTGAGAGACGGGAGGAGATCTAGAGGGCTGGGTTCGGTCTTGACGCCGGCGCGTTGAAGGCCGCGTGGTTGGCATGACGTCATACCACTACTGTGTCTTCTGAGCAGTCATCTTGTGGTGACAAGCAACCACAAACATCAACACGACGCTTCCGAGACACATGCATAGCTCCGGGATCTAGATCACAGGCACACTCTACATGCTCACGACTCCTATCCGAAAGGGTGCGCATCCGATATTTGTCGTTCCGGGTTCACAGGCTGGAGCTCGAAATCGTAATCGTCTTTCTTACTCCAGTCGCTCTCGCTCTCCTCTGAACTGTGCCAACTCACATCCGCACCAAAAATTCCTCCAGATACGCCAGTCGCGCCGACACCGCCAACGTGTGGGAACGCAAGCGAGCGCACGGCCGAGAGGTGTAATGTAGGGACAGTGCCGAAGCGTCCCCTCGTGCTCGCTTCGAATAAGTCGAGGATGAAGCGGCAGGTCAAGACCACCGTCATACTGCACCGGGGGTTCATCAGCGGGGATAACGTAGCGAAATAGCGGGTAAACGCACGCGGTGAGCACACCGATGAAATTGAACAGCAGCTGGATGAAAGGTAACATCGGCTGTGAACTTTGGTGGAGGCATCAAGCGCATGAGACGCAGTGTTACCTGCACGTTGTTGATGAATACAAGGTTCATGATGTTGACAACGAGGAGTGCACTGTCGGAAGTATAATGTGTGTGCGAACAGAACACACGCGAAAGGGAGGGATGCATGGCTCACGCGAAGTATGCGACACCTGCAACGTGGTGAATGGGTCAATGTACAGACTCAATCACACAGAGCGACGTGGTTACCATTCTGAAAGAACGCCGTAGTAATGCTCAACCCTTGTTGGGCGGTTCCTCTACGCGGACCTGTATGCATCCATGTCAAGATAAGAACGATAAGGTCACCGACGACCCCGCAGGAACGCCCGACAATAATCGCTGTTCGGTATCAAGTCAAAAGATGTTTACCGAGGAAGAAAAGCGATAACGAACTCCTGTGAAAGTAGGTGATTAGCCCGAGCGTAGTTCACGATACATCTAGCCTACTCACTTGCGGAAGGTCGCGAATTGTGAGAAATCCGCGTTGCACATGGCGTTGATGTAGTCGGGTCCTGGGTTGTAGTTGGCCCGAGTCTTGATTGCCCCATACTGAGCGAAGCACAGGGTCGAGTTATACACAATCAAATGGAAAAAAGAATGAGAGTGCTCACAAGCGAGGGGACGGCGTTCCCAGACCCTAGCACTAGAATGCATAAAGAGAGGGGTTTGCATTGGCACAGCGCGTGCGCTCGCAACGACGAGAACACTGCAGCATACCGCGATTATTCATTGTCATATCTCAGCTCTCAACTCAAGAACCCACCCGCGGCCGACAAGAACGTAGCGGTGCACAATAGAGAAAACCCCAGTACGAGCGCGTTACATCTACGAGGCGGTAGTGCAGATTAGTGTGTGCATCAAAGGGCTGAGACGCGAACAAGCGCGGCCGCGTGCGTACATCTGCCATGTCAAGGGCGTCAGATGCGTCAAGACTTTGTCGGGTCTCAGGAATGCTCTCACTGGTGATGATTTGCCCGGCCAAGGGAAGAAGTTGAGGAAGGTGAGGATGTTGGAAATCAATGAGAAGTAACGTATGACGACATAGATCGCGCCTGCACTCGTGATCTTCCTGCTCCAGACGTACTGAATCTCGGTATCGAGTGTGAGAAAGTAGTCGTAGTTGACGGCTGGGGAAATAAGAGATCAGACAATTCAACTTCGTACTCCAGGTGTATCACTTGCCGATGGATCCGACCACCGCCCATTTCGTCTGAAGACTAGCTCCCGTACGTGAGCATGCGAACTCGTGGTACCACCTTGCAACAGCTAGTACGTACGCGCTGAGGGCGATTTGACTTTCCATAGCTGCAACCAGCGTCGAAGAGGTGTTTGAGATCAAGCTGGGGCTGCGAAGCAGGGCACAGGCGTCGAGTGCTCAGTATGGCCACGACGAAGAACCAGGGCGTTCTTATACATGATGTTACGTACCAGAAACGCTTCGGGTAGGGGCGAGTGAGTTAGTGTCGACTAAACTCGGAGATACCCTCATGGAGACGGCGCTGCAGAGAAGGGCGTTGCTGCGTAAAAAAAGACTAAGTATGCCGATGTGCGCTTCCTCCCACGTCACCGAATTCGAAATCCGGTTGAGCGGCGCGAAATAGAACGAAGGGCAGAGCCGAAACACGCACCACAGCCATCTAAAGTGAACATCAATGCGCACATACACAATGCGACTTGAACCACCGCACCGCTGAACGCACAAGGCTGGTGCACAAGAGAATCCGAGCGTTGCGGTGCTGGAGAGGATGATCCGTAACGTTGCGATCAGAATCTGCATCCGATGATAGACAGGCGGGACGACTGACGTGCTTTCAAAGGGTGACTATCCTTCATTGGGACGAGCAAGTGACCGTCGGATGGAATGTTACCAGACCCCTGGCTGTCTTCCCTGTCCATCCCGGATGTTACCGTGCTTTGTCGGAGGCGGGAGTGACAGCTCGTCGCCGTTGCAGAGTGGGGGGCGGTCGTGGTCCAAGCTGAGCAAATGGGTCGCGGAGCATAGGCGCATATGGCCTTCAACGGCCTTGAGCCGCTTGCTCTTTGGCTGGCGCGTCTTCGGGCGCACCTGAAAATCCGAGTTCTTCGCTCTCAGCCTCTGTGCATGCCGTCAATGAACACCAGCACTCGGGTGCGTCGAAAACCCCCAACAGCCATTCGGGGCTGTCAAAGCCCCGACCAGCGGTAGAACGCGGAGCAGTTCCTGGACGAGGCCGCTGAGCGCTGAGCGGCGGTGGCACGAGACGGGCGCGGCGAGGCTCGCCCCGCCGGCGGATGCAGGCTGCACGCCGCTGTCGGGGTTGAGAGCAATGTTGGATCGCCTCTAGACCCGCGTGCCCGTGGACGGCGGTTCGTCTCCTCGCAGGGAATGCTGACTGCTTTCGACGCGCAGAACCTGAAGCTGGTGTGGTGCTGGCTGCGGTCCGCGTCCTCTGTCTGCGTCACCTTGACTTCGTCGCCCATTGCTGACGCGCGCGCATTTGCTTCCACGGCGCGGTCGGCGGTATGATGGTCGGTGTTGCAGCTGGCGTGGCCCCGGCCGGGGGCCCTGAAGGAGACAGCGAAGCGAAGGGGCGCTCATGATCCCGTAGTTCGGAGGGGCCCTGACCTGCCCTGACGCGCGCGGATGGTGTCCTGTTTGGCGTCCTCCATGGCGTCATGGCGTTGGTTCGCTTGCGCACGTGTCGCTCGGGGGGACGCGCATGCCGTTGCGCCGGGACTTTACCGAGCCCCCACGTAAGATGTTTCCCCCTGTACCTGTAGTACCGTGCTTCTGTCAATCGCGATGTTGATTTGTCTGCAACGTGTGTGCATTCCACAGGCAGGTATGGCAGATGATGGGCGGGAAAAGGGAGAAAAGAGGGGAGGACGGAGGAAGCAGATGGGGAGGTAAACAACAACAGCGGAGGGCTAAAGGACTGATGGCACAGTGACTGAACATTGAGCGTCAGCGAGCTGACCTACGGGGAATGAAGAAAGAAGCACGAACAGGACGAGAGTGCGACTCCCTAGCCGCCGTTTTTTCCTCTCTCCTTGTATGCGAGGTATATCTGGGAGTTTTTTGACTGGTGAATCATATACTCACTTGCTCTAGCTACTGTTCATCAGATGCGCCAGCGGGTAAAGGTCGTCCTTGCCCAGTAGAGCGATCATGATCTTCGGTGCACCTTTGCCTTCACGACTCGTCAGCTGCTGGAATAAAGCACACATGAACGATCAGCCGTTGTGTTCAAGGAAACAGGGCAAGGAAAACGCACAGCGTGTCGCCCAGCTGCTGCTTCCGCCAGTTCACAGGCTCGTCGAGCAGAGAATTCTTTTGCCTTCACAATCATCGCGTCGGGCTTCGACAAAGGCAATCCTGTGGCCTGGTTCGAGCTGATGAGCTCCAGGATCTTCGTCGCCAGCGTGCGTGCGTGCGTGCGTGCGAGGCGGTTGCCCACACTTGGTGCCGCGCCGGGGTCGTGGGAGCAGAGCTTGCCGCTGCGCGCCGCGACTCTGCGAACGAAGGCGCGTTCGTCTTGCGCTGCTGAATGGAGACTGCGGGCGTCTGTTCTTCCGTCTCGTCGACCTCGAATGTGACTCGCTTCACGTCTACGATCTGGGCGCGAAGGACCTCCACGTTGAGCACACACGTGGCGCGCTCGCACTTCGGGAGTCGGTGAGGTCGGCAACTTGCTGCGGCGAACACGCGGTCCCGCTCGGGTTAGGGGCGGGGATCGAGCCTCGGGACGGGTCCGCGGTGGTGTTGATAGCGTGGCGGGGATAGAGAGCGGAGTAGGAGGTGGACACCGTGGCGTTGGGCTCAAGGAGTCGGGATTTTGAAAACCTTGGGTCGTCGGCTGAGCTCTCCAGTGAGCACTTTTTTGCGTACAACGGGCGGCAAAGCCGAAAGATCGTCGTAGGTTGAACGTTTCACTCGGTGCAACCTGATGGCATGCTTCAGTACGACCTTGGGGTGGAAGCGGCGGTAATGCATACAGGTGACTCTGATCTTGCCTCTCGTGATGGCTGAGTGGAGGGGAACCATGGGCGGCACCGGAATGACTACTGAGACTCCGCCAACCCGCATAGCTGTCGCCTGCTTGACTCGCTGTCGGGCTCGTTGCTCCGCTGCTGCCGCCGCGGGTGTGCCCGCCGTTCCCTCCTAACGGGGTTCAAGCTTCTCTTGACGGTGCCGTCTGAGCGCGTGAAGACGCACCGAAAGATGCTTGTTGCTCAGCTGCTGTCCGAGTCCAAGATCCGATCGTCTCCCACCTCACACAGCCGACCTCCGTCCAACACAAGCAGGGATGGGGGTAGATGGACCTGAAGCGGAGGCGGGGTGGGCCCGTGTATGCGCGATGAACTGGGGACAGAGACGACTCACAGTGTCTCCCGGGCCCAATGGACGGTTGGCATCCGCCCCACACCGCAGATATCCGTCTAGTACGAGCAGGGACGCGCGCTCAACCCGTCCTGTTCCGTCGCCCACGCCAGAAGAAGGGAGCATGGACTCCGTCCACGAGACCGGGGTGCGCCGTTGAAAGAAGTACAGGGCGTTATGGTCTCCTAGAGGGGGCCGTCGAGAAACGGCTCGAGTCAGTGCAAGGTGTGTCGCGGGGGACGACGACGGGAACGCACGAGGTCTGGACTCTGGAGGATAGGACTCACGGACGAGACCGCAGATGCACATGACGTGTTTCAGCCGCCGGGAGCGCCAGTGTCCATAGTGAGCTTGACGTAGATACCATCGGCGAGAGAGCAGCCAGACGATGCCGCGATCTCGGATACGTGCATGTCGGGGAGACGGGAGGAGAGGGTGTGGAAGAACCTGGGTTCGGTCTTGACGCCGGCGCCTTCAAGGCCGCGTCGTTGGCATGACGTCATATAGCTACCACTGTGTCTCCTGAGCAGTCATTCTGTGGTGACAAGCCACCACAAACATCATCACGACGCTTCCGAGACACATGCATAGTTCCGGGATCTAGATCACAGGCACACTCTACATGCTCACGACTCCTATCTGAAAGGGTGCGCATCCGTTTGTCGTGCCGGGTTCACAGGCTGGAGCTCGAAGCCGTAATCATCTTTCTTACTCCAGTCGCTCTCGCTCTCTTCTGTACTGTCCCAACTGACATCCGCGCCAAAAATTCCCTGGGGGGTTCCAGTGGCGCCGAGACCACCAGGGCGTCGGAACGCAAGCGAGCGCCCGGTCGAGAGGTGTAATGTAGGGACAGTGCCGAAGCGTCCCCTCGTGCTCGCTTCAAATAAGTCGAGGATGAAACGGCAGGTCAAGACCACCGTCATACTGCACCGGGAGTGAATCAGCAGGGATAATGTAGCGGAATAGCGGGAAAACGCACGCGGTGAGCGCACCGATGAGATTGAACAACAGCTGAAAGGGTAACATCAGCTTTCAACTGTGGCAGTGGAGGCATGAGACGCAGCATTACCTGCACGTTGTTGATAAATGCAAGGTTCATGATGTTGACAACGAGGAGTGCACTGTCGGAAGTATGATGTGTGTGCGAACAGAACAAACGCGAAAGGAGGGACGCATGGCTCACGCGAAGTATGCGACACCATTCTGAAAGAATGCCGTAGTAATTTTCAGCCTCTGCTGTGCGGTTCCTCTACGCGGACCTGTATGCATCCATGTCAAGATCAGAACGATAAGGTCGCTGAGAACCCCGCAGGAACGCCCGACGATGATCGCTGTTCGGTATCAAGTCAAGAGATGTCTACGGAGGAAGAAAAGCGATAACGAACAACTGTGAAAGGTGATTAGCTCGACCTTCATTCACGATATACGCAGCCTGCTTACTTGCGAAATGATAGAAATTGTGAGATCCTTATATCGCAATTGGTGAGGATGTTGTTGGGTACTGGGTTGTATGTGGCCTGAGTTTTGATCGCTGCATACTAGGCGAAGCACAGGGTCAAGTTCGACACACGGACGAAAAGATTAGAGTGCTCACAACCGAGGGGACGGCGTTCCCAGACCCCAGCACCAAAATGCAGAAAGAGAGGGGTTTGCACTGGCACAGCGCGTGCGCTCGCAATGACGAGAACACTGCAGCATACCGCGATCAGTCATCGCCAGATATCAGCTCTCAGCTCAAGAGCCCACCCGCGCCGGACATGAGCATGGCGGTGCCCAATAAAGAATACCACAGTGTGATCGCGTTGCACCTGCGGGTCGGTAACGCAGATCAGCGTGTGCACTGCAAAAGAGCTAAGACGCGAATAGGTGCGGTCAGGTGCGTACATCTGCATGGCAAGAGCGTCAGAGGCGTCTAGTCTTTGTCAGGTCTCATGAAAACCTCACTGGTGATGATTTGCCCGGCGAAGGGAAGAAGTTGAGGAAGGTGAGGACGTTGGATACCAATGACGAGTAACGTATGACGATATAAATCATGCTTGCACTCGTCACCTTCCTCCTCCAGATGTATTTAATCTCGCTATCAAGAGTAAGGACGTAGTCATAGAAGACGGCTGGGAATAAGAGAAGGCTTCAGAGCGATTCAAATTCGTACTCAAGGTGTTCCACCTACCGACGGCTCCGACCACCGCCCATTTACTCTGAAGACTGGCTCGCGTGCGTGAGCCTGTGAGGTTGCGTTGTCATATTTGCAGCAGCTAGTACGTACGAACTGAGAGCGATCCGAGCTTGACTGCCCATACGTCGAAGAGGTGTTTGAGATCAAAGCCGGGGCTGCGGAGCAGGGTAGAAGCATGAAGAGAGCGCTCTGTATGGCGGCGACCAAGAACCAGGGCGTTCTTATACATGACGTTACGTACCCGAAACGCTTCGGGTAGGGCGGGCGAGTTAGCCTCGACCGAGCTTGGAGATTTCCTCATGAAGACGGAGCCGCTAAGAAGGGGACGACGGATTGAGTCGTGATACGCATCATGTACAGCCATTGGAAGTGAACATCAATGCGCACATACCCACTTTTCACAACCGCATGGCTGAATGCACAAGGCTGGTGCTCAAGAGAATCCGAGTGTTGCGGTGCGGAAGAGAATAATACGTAACATTGTAGGAACCATCTGCATCCGGTGACAGACGCCTCTGACACAGGCGAATTCCGCACCGGGACGACTGACGTGCCTTTAAAGAATGACTATCCTCCATCGGGACAGGCAGGTGGCATGTTACCAGACCGCTGGGTGTCTTACCTGTCCATTCCGGATGATACCGTGCTATGTTGGAGGTGAGAGAGTGGTCCAAGAACACTGACGTCGAGCACCGACCGCCTGATCGCGGAGCATAGGCGCCCAGGGTCTTCTTTGAGCCGCTTCGAGGGCACCCGAAAGTCCGGCCCGTCCGCCCGCAGGCCTCAGTACTTCAGTCTCGATCCATGTCAACGACAAACAACAACGGTGTCGAACAAGCAGCGATCTTGGCAGGTCACATAATCCACCCGACATGAGCCATCCAAAGACTTTCGAGGCACGTAGGAGCAGTTCCTGCACTTGGCACTGACGAGGACTCGCCTCGCCAGCACTGCCCACTGGCAGATGCAGGCTGGTGCACGCCGCTGTCGAGGTTGTGAGCATTGGGTCGCCGGGCCCAAGATCCCCGCGCCGCTTCTGATTCCCGGCTTCTGCGCACGCTTGGTAGTCGTGGACGGCGGCTCGTCTCCTCGCAGGCAATATTGACTGCTTTCGACGCGCATAACTTGAGGCTAGCTAGTACTAAATGCGATACGTAAGCGCCCATTGTACATGTGTCACCTCGGTTTCGTTACGCATGGCTGACGCGTGCGCATTTGCCCCGACAGCGCGGTCTGCGATATGGAGGCCAATGTTGCAGCCGGCGTGGTCAGGCGTGGAAGGGGAAGCGAAGCGAAGGGGTGCTCATGATCGCCCACGCGCGGACGGCGTTTGGACGGCGTCCTCCACGGCGTCCGTAACGACGTTGATTCACTTGCACAAGTGTCGCTCGGGCGGACGCGCATGTCGCCGCGCGTGGACTCCACCGAGCTGCCATGTAAGATGTTTCCTCTTGTACTTACCTGCAGTGCCGTGCTTCTGTCAATCACGATGCCGATTGTAGTCTACTCACTTAAAGTTAGCACACACGTAGCGTAAGGACCGCCTGCCGCTCGGCCCTGACGGGCGTTAAACAGGAATTCAACAATGACGACGATGCGGATTTATCTGCAACGCGTGCGCAGTCCAGAGGCAAGTATAACAGATGATAGACGGGAAAGGGGAGAAAAGAGGGGAGGGCGGAGGAAGCAACGGTCGTACAAGATTAGCGCGTGGGGAGAGGTGCTGGGCATGCAGGATGGACGATTGGAAGAGGGATAAACAAGCGAGGGCTAACGGACTGACAGTCCATTAGATGGTAGAGGGACTGCATTTTGAGTGTCGGCGAACTAGTCTATATGGTATGAAGAAGGGATCACGAACAGGACGAGAGTGTGGCTCTCTAGCTGTAGAACATGGGGCCAAACTTGAGCGCTTGAGCGGTAGTATTTTCGCTTGTGTTCGCTTGAGCCGACTGCTCGTTCCTCCCTCCTTCCGGAAGTGAATGCAAGGCATCTCTGTTGACCGGCCATTCGTACGCTTACTTTGGGCAGCTTTAGCAAGAAGCGCTTTCTCCTTGAGCACGACGGGTACTAAGCTGTTCACCAGATGCGCCGGCAGGCGAAGATCGTCCGACTAGTCCGCTAGAGTAATCGTGATCTTCGGGGAACCTTTGTTCCCGAATGATTTCACGATTCGCCAGCTGTTAAGAGGATGCGCGGATGAACGGTGGACGTTGATCAGCGATCGTGTTCAAGTAATCGGCGCAGGGAACACGTACAGCTTGTCGCCCAGCTGATGCTTCTGCTAGTTCACAGATTTTCCGAGCAGAGAATTCTGCTGCCTTCACCACCATTACGTCGAGGTTCGACGGCGGCGGCCCCGTGTCCTGGTTCGAGTTGACGAACTCCAGAATCCGATCCGCCACTTGCAGACGCGCGAGCGAGGCGATTGTGTACACCTGCTACGCCGGGGTCGCGGGAGTACTAGGGCTTTCCGCAGCGTTCGGGCCGCAATTGGAGAGCGCAGGGATGTGCGGCGACTCTGCGAGCGGAGGTGCGTTCGTCTTGCGCGGCTGAGGCGTCTGCGGCACCGGCACGGTGGAGGCTGCGGGCGTCCGTTCCTCCGTCTCGTCGACCTCGAGACCTTCGCGTCTGCGATCTTGGCGCGAAGCGCCTCCACGTTGAACAAACACGTGGGGCGCTCGCGCTTCGGGAGCGACATGAGTGGGTCGACGAGGTCGACGACTTGCGGCGGCTCAAGTCGCGAGAGTGCGGCGAACGTGCGGTCCCGCTCGGATTGAGGGGCGGCAACGGAGCCTGACGGCGACTCGACCCGCGGCGGTGCTGATAGCGCGGCCGGCATTGAGAGTGGGGTGAAAGGGTGGTCAGGGCGGATGCATTAGCGTTGGGCTCAAGTCGGGAATCTTGCGAGGCGGCAGAGCTGTCGTCTGCTTCACTCACTGTCAGGCTCGTCGCTCCGCTGCTGCTGTAAGGGCGCCCGTCGTTCCCGCCGAACCGGTGCGCAAGCTTCCCTTGACGAGGCTATTTGGGCGCGTGAAGACGAACCGTAAGCTGCTTGCTGCCCGGGTGTTGTCCGGGTCCAGAATCCGATCGGCATCCACCCACGCAGAGTGGGGGCCGTCGAGAGACGGGGACGACCTGCCGAGGAGAAATGTATCAAGTCAGTGCATGGTGTATCGTGGGGGATGACGACGGGGACGCACGAGGCCTGGAGGATAGGGCTCACGGACGAGACCGTAGATGCGCATGATCTGCCCCGTGTTCCAGCCGCCGGGGACGCCAATGTCCATGGTGAGCTTGACGTAGGCACCATCAGCGAGATAAAAGCCAGACGATGCCGCGATCTCGGATACGCGCATGTCGGAGAGCCGGGGAGGGGAGGGGTTTGGGTTCGGTCTTGGCGCCAGCGTCGCGGCGTGGTTGGCATGACGTCATACCGCTACGATGTCTTCTGAGCAGTCATCTTCTGGTGACAAGCAACTACAAACATCACCACGACGCTTCCGAGACACAGGCATAGGTTCGGGATCTAAATCACATGCTCACGGCTCCGATCTGAGAGGGTGCGTCTCCGATATCTGTCGTTCTGGGTTCATAGGCTGCAGCTCGAAGCTGAAGTCGTCTTTCTTACTCCAGTCGCTCTCGCTCTCATCCGTGCTGCGCCAACTGACATCCGCGCCGAAGATTCCCTGGGGGGCTCCGGTCGCGCCGATGCCGCCGGCGTGTCGGAACACGAGCGAGCGCGAGAGCCCCGCGCCGGGCGCGGCCGAGAGATCTAATGTGGGGACAGTGCCGAACCGCCCCCTCGTATTCGCTTCGAATAAGTCGAGGATGAAGCGGCAGGTCAACACCGCCGCCGTGCTGCACCGGGAGGTGATCAGCAGAGATAAGGGAGCGTGATAGCGGGAAGACGCACCCGCTCAATGCACCGACGAAATCGAGCGAGAGCTGGAAAGGAACCATCAGCTTCGAGCTTTGGTGGAGGTGTGAATCGCGCGAGGTACAGTGTTACCTGGATGTTGTTGATCAAGGCAAGGTTCGCGACGTTCACCAAGAGGAGGACGCTGGAAGGGTAGTGTGTGAGCGACGAGAACAAATACGGAAGGGACATACGGCTCACGCAAAGTATAGAACGCCTACAATGTCGTGGATGCGTCAATGTACAGACTACAATTACCCAGAAGAACGCAGTTACCATTCTCAAAAAACGCCGTCGTAAGGGTGAACCTATGGTGTGCGCTTCCTCTCCACGGTCTTGCATGCCTCCACGTCAACACAAGGACCAACAAGTCGCAGATAACCCCACAGGAACGCCCGACGATGATCACTGTTCGATATCAAGTCAAGAGGCGTCTACTGAGGGGGAAACCGATAACGGACCCCTGTCACGAAGGAGGTGATTGGTCCAGGCTTCATTCAGGATACGCCTCGCCCACTCACTTGCGGAAGGATAAGAATTGCGAAAAATCCACGTCACAGATGGCGTTGACGCCGTTAATTCCGGGGTTGTAGGTGGCTCTATTCTTGATCGCCATATACTGCGTGAAGCCCAAGGTTGCGTCAGACATGGTGGAGTGGAAAAGGGGGTGGGGGTGCTCACAACCAAGGGAACGGCGTTGGCAGACCCTAGCGCTAAAACGAGGCAAGAGATGCATTTGCGTTGGCCCAGCGCGTGCGCTCGCAATGACGAAAACACTACGGCACACAGTTATCAATCATTGGCGGAACTCGGTCTCGAATCAAGAACTTACCCGCCGCGCCCATAATAATGACGACACCCATCAGTGAAAAAGCCACCGTGGTCCCGTTACACCTGCGGGGCGGTAGTGCGGATTAGTGTGTGCACTGCGAAAGAGTTGAGACGCGTATAGGCACGGCCAGGTTCCTACATCTGTCACATTAAGAGCGTCAGAGGTGTCTAGTAGTTGTCGGGGCTCAGAAAAACTCTCACCGCTGATGATTCGCCCGGCCAAGGGAAGAAATTGAGGAAGGTGAGGATGTTGGAGGCCAATGAGGAGTAACGTGTGACGATGTAGATCGCACTTGCGCTCGTGATTCTCCTCCTCCAGATGTACTCGATCTCGCGATCAAGTGTGAGGAAGTAGTCGTAGCTGATGAGCGCTGGGAGCGAGGAACGAGGGGTCAGACAGCTCAAATTCGTACTCCAGGGGCACCACCTACAGACGCATCCGACTACCGCCCACTTATTTTCAAGACTGGCTCGCGTATGTGAGCACACCGGCTCGCGTTATCATCAGCAACTACGTACGTCGGCCCTTGACTGCCCATAGCTGCGACCGGCGCCGAAGAGGGGTCCGAGACCAAGTTGGGGCTGCAGAGGAGGGTACCAGCGTCAAGTGAGTGCTCTGTATGTCTGCGACCGAGAACCAGCGCGTCCTTATACATGCCCAGACGTTCATGAGGTTACGTACCCGCAGCGCTTCGAGCGGGGGCGAGCAAGTTAGCCCCGCCCCAATTTGGAGATTCTTCCATCTTGACGTCGCCGCGGACAAGGAATTCGAACTCCGGTGGGGGAGTACCAACCTGGAGATGAAATGGAACGATGGTTAGAGTCAAGTCAGGGCAGCGACTGTGAAGTGGATATTGTATACACACCACCTGTGAGCGCGACCACGACCGCGGCGCTGGAAAGGCCGATTGACGGATCCAGGGAGAATCCGAGTCTTGTGAGGGTGTGGACGTAACACTGGCGACATGGCAGGTGTCGAGAGTGCCGATGATGACAGCTCGAGTGATCCGAAAATAGTAAATCGTCGCTGCTATCGACCGCCCAGCTGATGCGCCGCGCAACCGCCCACGGCCTCGGTCGCCACTCCTCGGCCTTGCCCGTCGGCTTGGGCTTCTTCGGGTCCAACACCGGCACTCGGGATGGTTGCGCGGAGATCTTGAGACGCCGTGGACGACGAAGGGCGGGTACCGTCGTTGCGCACACAAATGCATGGTAACGTAGGCGAGCGTGGGCCAATTGGTCACAGGGGTGCGCTGACTACGTTAGCCTTCCTGTGCTTACGGTCGACCGCATACCTGGTGTGATGATGCATACCCTCGTAGACTGCGTACCTCGAGCCTATTCCTCAGTCGGTACGCATGACGCACAATCCCCACTGCATAGGGCGTACCTCGGCGGCGGGTCCATAACGCATACTAAAATGAGGAGTGCTGTTGGGCGCACCAGCCAATCAAATGCAGGACGTTGGCCTAGAGGAAGCGCCGAAAATCAACGTCATTGGGATCATTGTGAACGAGGCACTCGGCCGCGCCCGCGGCATATGTAGTCTATCGCAGTGTGAGATACCATGCACAGTTGGTGCATATGAAGGGGCAGGCGTCGATGCATTTGTCATGCTGTCTCCCTACGGGCGCGTTTCTCGTAACGAATACCGGAGAGTTGGATCTTCGCCGCCTCCGCGGCCAGCCGACCCCGCGGGTCGCCGTTGAGTTTTATTTTCGTGCGGGCTAGACGTGCTCTTCGAGAGCGCATATAAACCCTTCTGCGTTAGTACTGGTAAGCCCTAGGCTTCCAAGAAGCGCACGCACGGTGTGGTGTTTCCGCGTACCAACGTTCGTCGCTAAGCGGGAGAAAGCGTCGAGTAAGTGGTGGGGAATGGACAGACCGTTCCAACCGTCTACGTCGCGAGGGACGCGTCAGAACCGGCGTAAATGCAGAGCGGAATGGATGCGCACGATGCTGACAAGGTCGCGAATTTTTAACGCGGAGGGATGGGTTTGCCTGGGACTCTGGGAGTCGTGAGGCGGATGGGGTGCACTCCGGAGGCGGATGGAGGCTTCGGGCTGTCCCCAGACGGTGGGCTTGTCGCGGTGATCACTGATGAGCACAATTGAGTACTGAGTCCAACAGGGCGCGCCGCGCAGGCGACTCGCGAGCCACGTGGTTCCTCAAACGGCTATGGGCGCTACATATATGATGTCCAGTGGCCGAGCCCGCTTCAGTACTTGCTCAGTTGTATGAACCATTGCTCATGCTAGGTTCGATGAGAACCAATTAACGGGGCTGCTGTGAACCACCCATGATCGACGGTTACGCGAGAAATGCTACGACGACAAGAATCAGAGTCTTCACGACGCGTTCAGAAACAAACTCGCGGAACTATTGAACTCCATCCTACTTCCATCTCGGACATATTGGCGCGGAGAAAACCCTCCATCCGCGACGCTTACGGAAGCCTGTGACTCGTCCCCCATCTGGAGCTCGCTCGGAACATACTCAGAGACCTCCGGGGCCGCAGCAATCGACAGCAAGTTCGGGTTACCTACAAAGCCACGCGTCAGCTCGCATTTCCTGGCTTCACCACAGCGGCGCACTCACGATTACCGCTGTACGCCCCGCTCCCGTCCGCCACTTCCTCAGCGATTTCAACTCCAATGCGTGGCGCGGCGACCTGCAACTCCGGCGCGTTCCCGCTCGTGAGTACAAGCGGCGCCCGCTTCTGGCGGAGCCGCCGCCCGTCGGAATCGCCCTCGCGCTCGTCCGCGCCGTGCCGCCATATCTCAAAAAGCATGTTCCCGTCCGCGTTGAAGACGGGGCTCGCGAGCGCGTACGCGTCCACGCCCGCGAGTGGGAAGCAATACTTACCGCCACGCGCCCTCACGCACAAGCCCGTCGAGGTCGACCCTGCACGGGAATGCGTCGGCGAGGAGCTTCGCCGGGTCCACGAGCGTCGCGGACCGCTCGAGCCCGGCCAGCGGGATGGCATCGGGCCCGATCGCGTACGTGGCGGGGGACGGGGTCATGCGAGCCGCCGGCGTCGACCCTGATCGTGTTCCCGAGCGTGTGGACGGTGACGTGCGTCGACCAGCGGACGGACGCGCGCGCGCTGTGAGCGGGATGGGATTGGTGAGCACAGTAGGATTGATGGGCACAGTGGGAGCGGTGGGACGAGAGACGGGTCTTCGTGTTCTGCAGCCAGATACCGACCTGGACCTCGTCGCCGATCCTGATGCTCAGAGCGCCCTGCTTGACCGCGGTCGGGAGCTCCACATAGTTGCGCGTGGCGCCTGATGGGTCCTGTTAGCACCCTGCGCCAACCGAGTCCGACCGCAAACTCACAAGACACGCCGCGAGAGGTGTTAGTCGGGTTCGCGTTGCTGCGCTAGTCGTACAACTGCCAGCGCTCGCTGTGCTCCCAGAGGTACTGGAGCGTGCCGTCGTCCGTCGTGGGCTGGATGACCCATTGGGCTGGCCACTGCTTGCGCTGCCCGTGGCCGGCCCAGGGCACGAGCTGGGCTTCGCGGGAGTCGAGCTGCTCGAGGGCGTCCGCGCGGTGCGGGGCGAGCGTCGTGAGCACGTTGACACGCGCGAGGAGCGCGAGGACCATGAAACGCGCCGCGCGATGGTGAGTGGAATGGGACGCACGTATGAGAAGCGCAACGTTGAGTTGACCCAATTGAAAGGGATGCCGTTGGAGTCTTCGTTGATCACATCTCGAGGGAGCCCTTGCAACAGGTCGAATCGGCCGAGGTCTCCATAGCGCAGAATGAAGTCAAAGAAGCAGCGTCTAGCAAAAACACGTACTGAGATGGATGCAGGATCTGGATAGTCTCCCCTAGGCCAACCTTCAGGATCCGGATGCCCAGCAGCATCCTCACCAGGCGCTGCTCCCCTTAGCCTTCGTTTGTTGGCACGCCATCTCGTTTAACCCCAACCCCCGCAGTTAAAACGTTCTCTGTGATCTTGTCGAGAGCCGATTGGTAGGGGCGAACCGGTGAAAACCTGGAGAGGTGGGCGTGCCGCGTGCAGACTGAAGCCCGTCTCCATCGGCGTCGAGGTGATTTGACCAGGGTGACGTGGAAGTGATTACACGGCTTGATGAAACAGCAGCACTGAGAAGAAAGGAGATAGGGACGGGAGGGTGTTATAGAGTAAGATCTAGTGGAAAGTGTACACTGTACAACTTCACGGTATGACACATTTGTCTCACTTGTGTCACATGACCGCGACGCGATCACACTCACCCTCACAATTTGGTTGATCATCGATCAGGCGCCAACTTGCGAAAGCACACAGGTTCTCCTAGCTACGTACTCTTGGCTCCACTCCTTCCTGGCGTCCTGCCTAAAAGGCGTGAGACGTGCGCATCGCTCGGCGCAGCTCCTTGAGGAACGTGAGACCTCGAGACAACCTCTGATTGGACAGGGACACGCGGTGGGAGCGATCTAGCCGAGTCTAGCCGCCAGCTCTACGCAAGTACTTCCACCCCCAATCCACCACTTGCTTCTGCTCTCCATCTACATCCTCCTCCACCTGTCTGCCATCTTGCTCTCCACTACGAGTCGTGGGCCCCTTGTTCACCGTGTCCCCGTCACAAAGCCTTCCCCAGCCCAACAACAACCTTTTGCTCGGCCTCGACTTGGAGACACAATCCCCCGTCGATTGGGAGGTGTGGAACACCATCCAACCGGTGTTGGACCAACGTCTTCGGACCCCCATCAACTCTCCCCATGGTATGCTCCCTCAAGGCCTCATGCTCCGCACCGGCTATGATCTAAGGAAGCCGTTTCTATCCAGCCGTCGACGATGCCTTCTATCAATGGGACGTCCGCCTGCAGTCTGTGTTGCGGGACCACCCGGCTACCCAAGTCCGAGACGGTCCGCCTCACCACCCACACGATGCGTCTTCGCAGCTCCCGGATTACCCAATCTCGGCCTTGGATGGGCTGCTCCCAAGCCCTCTCATTAACACGACCAGTGCTTTCGTCGACGTCGGACCTCCCAACCACGGTCAGCGAGTCTCACCTTCTCCCCCAATCGTCAGCGTTCGGGGGAGTCTATGTACACCGGGGATAGCATGGGGGCTTCATTTACATCGTTTTTCGCCCCCGAGGAGCCTCCATCGCTCTACCCCGGCGATGTGATCTCTCCCCCGAGCGCTGCGCCGGACGGTGTGGAGGATGCTGCGGTTGCGTCCGTAGCGCCCCCCACCCCCGAGGCACAAGTTCCGTACCAACCTCTGTCGGAGGTTGTGGAACATTCGCCCTGCCCGTCGCTCTCATCCCTCGTCTCCGACTGCGAGAGCTCCGAGAGTTCTCCCGGTCCGGCCACACCTCCCTCCCACGGGGATCCACAGCACAACGGCAAGCACTTCCAGTGTGAGATTTGCCTAGAATGTACGATCTCAACCTACATTCTGTAACGTTGGCTCACCAATCTCCTCACAGGGTTCTCGACGAAGTTCAATCTCGGCCAGCACAAGAATTCTGGCAAGCATGCCGATATCCGGCCCTTCCCCTGCCCCCTGCCAGACTGCGGTCGCGCGTTTGGAAAGAAGCACGACCTCACTCGGCACATCGTCTCACACCGAGGGATATCCCTTCGCAGTGAGCAGAAGAGGGAGAAGGCACACGAGGCCGCAAAGAAGGAACAAGTCAAGCGGAAAGTCAAGAACAGCCGCCAGTGACACCAAGCGGCGTGTCCCAGTGCGTATCCCTTGTCTCCCTCTCGCGATTTCCGGCCTACTCCCTCGATCCCGCCCCGCTAACCACCGCCCCGTCCTCACAGGCACGCAAGGGTCGCGTGCATCAGAATTGCACCACTCTCAAAGCCCGGCGCCCCACGCGAGCTGCCAGCCTCTATGAAGAGAGCGCTGCCGGCTCGCCTTAGGCGTCGGATTTGGAATGGGGGTGGTACAGATCTCATGGATGAGAAGCGAACGTGTGGGTCTGCGCGGGGGACGGAGCATCTAGCCCGGCGCTGGGTGGTTCGTCCCGCGGTAGACGTATGCGTTCACGCGTGGGATACTCTCTTGTTTTTACTGTATGGCTCGTCTACGGTCTCTGTCCCGGTGTCTCGGTTTGCTGCCTCTGGATGCCCGTCTCGGAATGCCGACTGGTTATGTCTGCTGTGGCTCCTTACGCACGTCGTTGCTGTCTCGTGCCTCTCTTGCTTCCAGCACTCGACATGCCTTCTGCGCTCGTGTTCTGCCGTCTTGATGTACTCGCTGTACCTTTCGATCATGCTATGCGTTGACCTATGCTCTCTAGACCTCCGCTGAATCGTTGATCCATCTATATTCCGACTAGTCGAAGTGTGAACGCGTTTTTTCGGCTGCTCACCTGCGTCCCTCGCTTCCTCCCAACGCCCGGCCTTGCTCCCTGGATCTCCCAGCCAGGGGCAAATTGCTCGTCGGTGGCGGCGCGCATAGCGGACGAGACGTCGCGGCTTTGAAGACTCGCCCTTTCGCGTCCACGATCATCGTTCATTCCAGATATCACAGACGCGGTCGACGCTCAATTGGGAGCTCGATGGTGGCAAATTCAAGATCCGCGGTCGCGTCGCGCGCCAAATAAGTACCTGGACCCCGCTGAGGGCAAGATTGTCTTCAAGGATGGCTCAACGGAGAGCGGGGGTCGATCGCGCCGTCGTCGCAATAGGCTAAGCGGCTCAACTTCCTATTCCAGTCCGAACTTCCGGGGTGAATCCCATCACACCCATGCCAGTCCCTCCATTTCCCGCCGCGCTACACGACACGAACCATCACACCTCCCCCTTGGCGAAGCATATGCTCTCGCTTGTGACCTCCTACCCCCCATCAAGCCCCGCTCTCAGTGACACCGGCGATGCCGACAACTTCCCCCCCGTGTCCGGCCCCTAAGTCGACTTCCCTGCTGCGATCTCGCTGAGGTTGTACATCGCCCGTGCGCTCTCCGCGCTCGCTACGAGTCTTATAGGCGGTGGTTCTGACTTTCGGAAGCCGAAGGCGTGCTTCTGGGATGTGGCGTGTACTATCCGCTCCGATATGTGGATGCTGGGGAGGACGAGCGTGCGCACGCACGGAAGGGAGAGCCGCTTCATGTGAAGGACACATGAGTCCCGCGCAATCAAATCAAAAAAAGAGAGAAAGAGGACGAGTTACTCAGTAGCCAACAGCGAGCGCATCCGTTTATCGGCGACGGACGGCTTGATCGGCTCGCTGACTTTCTGTTCTGCCACGAGATCGATACAGACCTCTCCGCTGTGGCTTCTTGTGATGGGAGACGGAGGTGCATGCAGCTGCCCACGACGCCAAGTTGGTCTCGGTATCGTCTAGTCATCTGAGGCCCGAGCCTCAACTCGGAGCTGTATCTGTACTATGTTTCAAGTTTTTCGATTACTACACTTTCGAACTATCAGACACCGGCGCGCTCAAAGTTGCTTCAAATCGGCATACTTGGGAAAAATGCGGGATGTCCAAGATCTCGACACGTAGTACATACGTACCTCGCTGGCCCTCTTGCGGGTATCCTACTCGGACTTGAACGCCGACGGACAGCTCAACGTCGGTCCACAGCTACATGATGTCGGACTCGAGCTGGTGGACGCGTGTTGCTCGTCAGATACAACCACTCAGGAATACGAAGAACGAACGTACGATTTGTCAGATGCTTGCGATAGTCTCGCACCTGGTAGCGACATCGTTGATGCGCTCCGTCGTCTCCGGAAGAGAGTCCTGAAACTGTTTCAAGGAGGCCTGCTATCCCTTGAGCTCCTTCAACTCCTGCTCGCGCTCCTGGTGCACGCGTTCGAATTCTGCAATGACGTCGATAAGACGACAACGACGGTGCGACCCAAGCCAGGGGAAGGACCTTGATACTGTTGGATGAGCGCCTCTATCTCGTGCCTCTTGCTGAATTTATCATGTTCTCGAAAGCGCAGAGGTTGAGGTACAGACATACTACACGTCCAACGGAACCCACAAAGAGACGCCTGGTGAAGTGAGGATTGATAGACTTCACACCTTTCGCGAGCACTCCGCCTGTCGTCTTTGTAAACGCCTGGATCTGCGAAGATGGACATGAGCGATTGCCAAGCAATCAAGAAACGCATCATTACGCATACCTCTTCTTCAATTCTAGATATCGCGATTCGTGGAGCACGAAATCCAAGCGCGATAAGCCGGCGGCGTCAAATGCGGCGACCTCGCGCGACCGTGATGAAGCCGGTGCGAATATCGCGCGTCATGTCGCCAAGCGCAGCGATCTCGAACCCCATGTCCTCCGAGATTGAAATGTCCTTAAGGCCTCGGATGCAGCGGCACGGACCTCGGGGTCGGAGAGCGACTCTTCGAGGTGGAGGCGGTACGCTTCGACCTCCTCTTGGGGGACGGTGGACGAGATGGTGAGGGACATGGCGGGGGAATGGGACGGTGGGGGTTGATGCGGCGAGAGACGGGGCTGAAGTGTTGGAGCATCTGGGCGCAAGGATTATATGTCGCGCAAGGGTGGTCGGAGGAGAGACCGTGACGAGCGAGCGCACTTGGACACGCCGGGGACGCAGAACAGGGCGTTCCAGTCGCTCTTTCTGTGCTCGAAAAAGTGGCTTCGAGTTCGGGCCCCCGGCCGGGGGTTCGCACCTTGCCTTTCCTTCGCGGCAAGTTCATGGCCCGTCAGACGTCTGGGGTCGTGATGGTCGATACCATGGAAGAGGTCGGCGGAATTTGGCATGTTCCGGGGTATCTGCCATGTTCGGTTTGGAGGCAGACATGACCATGTATGCGGGTCGGGAGTCGATGGAGCAGAAAGTTGTAAGAGAGCAAGGAGCGCCGGGAGGCCGCCTCAGCAAATCGGGCGCCGCCCGTGCCGGTGCCACCCGAGGCCGCTCCTTCGCTGCTTTTGGCGCCTATGTGTCTGCCCACATGTCTTCTGCGCGAGCGTGTGCTCGACAGCCGAATATGCTCTCAGCTGAACTCCGCTAAGCTCGCCATCGCCACCTCTGGGCTGCGACCGCTGCCAGACGTCGGACACCGGCCGCGGGCGAGTGTGGCCGATATCCCTGACGTCAATGCGTGTGGCGGCCCCAGCCTGCGAGCCTCCCACCCCCGCTCGTCTTTGCCCCAGTACGAACTCGAAGTCTTTCTCTCCTTCCAACGCACCATGGCCCCACCTCCCTCTGCACACTTCCAGGAGCTCGCGCACGAGGCTCTGAACTTGAGCCGCCTCCTCCCCAGCATCGAAAGGAAGGTCGCCAAGATTGACGCAATCCTGGCGAGCGAAGAGCATGTCAAGCAGTGGGCTCAAGCCAATGACGTGCGCTTTCGGCTGAGCAAGCCCTACTCCCTCTAACGACCTTTCACGCAGGCATACACCAAGTTGGTCATCGACTCGGAGGTCGCTGCGAGTCGCCTCGTTGCGTTCCTGAAACGTGCGGAACCGTTCAAATCGGCATTTGGCGTCATCGATCTGACTTCCCCGCAGTCTACCTTGTCATCGGCGGCGACAGGGCTCATGTCTCCGTAGACGAGAGAATCTCAACGCTGTCGATGGATGCTGAGGTACTGTTGTCTGCATTGTCCGTCGATGCATCTGTCTCTAACTGCATTCTCGTCAGAATTTGGAGTCGATGTACAGCACCGGCAACTTCTCCGCCGAAGCAGATGCGATATCCAAGTCCTTCGGCGCCACCGCGAGCGACCTACAGCACATCATGAGCGACATCATGAGCCAAGACGCCGAAAGCGCGCACCATCAGTCTGAGGGCAGCTCTAACGAGTGAGTCGCAGTTGAAGCATGCTTCGGTGCTGGGCTGATACCGCCGCGTGCAGACCCGTCCAGGCGTCCACGCGCGGTGTACAAGGGAAAGGGCTCCTGTGTTCTTGGTTCAGCAGGATGCGCCAATCCGAAGCCTCTACGCAGCTTGAGGTACCGCACGCGCCACTCCAGCGTACGCGCGCGAGTCATGCCGAGTCTCTGCGCGGTCTCGCGCACGATGTCGCGCAGGGTGTTGACGAGGTGTGCAGCGTGCTCACGAAACATGCATCACTTTTCAACGAGGTGTTCGACAAGCCGATATCCAAGGTACGTTGAGGCACTACGTGCCGGTGCACACGGTCGCTGAAGATTATCGAAGCTCGCGAAGGAAATACAGGGCCGCATCGCGGCGCTCAAGGCCGAGAAGAACGGCGTTCCTCAGGTGCGCTCTCTATGAGCGACCTGATCTGCAGGAAGGGGCTGATAGTGTCTTACGGCAGGCTGAGCAGTATCGACACTATTCCGCCCAGGAACGCGCCAAGGAGGCGGTTCCGTACTGGACGGATCTTGCTGCGCTTTATGACGTCTACTCCAAGACAAACAAGTTCTAGTGTCTGTGACATACCCGGTGGCATGCGGGTGCGCGTTGCGATGCACACGTGTATTGTAACGGCGGGTGGCTCTCCCGTCCTTGTGCAATTGAGTCCATCCGTGCTCGCATCTGGTGCGGCCCCGACCCCGCTGACGACGAGGAGGGCAACGTGTCAAATGCGGTCGCAGAGAGGAGGGCAGCTGACGACGGCAGCTTCCGGACGTGGGTCGAGGCAAGCGCGTCATTAGCCCAGCCCAGCGGGGCTCTGGACCGAAGGCAAGTCCTACAGCGTACGGGTTCCTAGCCGGCAAGGAGGTCAAGGACGCCCACGTGGGGAACCTCGACCTGCGGGATCGTGAGTTGCTCGGCGTCGATATGTGGCATGTGACTGACAATCAAGGACAGAGCGTGCGGCACTCGAGTGGATTCAAAAGTACATCCACGCGTTCGGCGGAGATCCGAAGAAGGACGCAGCTGGGGAGAGAGCGCAGGGGCGATACCTGCATCTCTCTACCTGCTTGGTAGCGGCGATCGCAATCGAACTCTCTTCCTCGGCGCGATCATGCAGAGCGGTGCGCCTATCCCCGTCGGTGACGTCAAGAACGGTCAGAACGACTACGACGTGCGCGTATCCGAGATCGCGGCATCGTCTGGCCCTCTCTCGCCGATGGTGACTACGTCAAGCTCACCATGGACACTGGCGCCTCCGGCGGCTGGAACACGTCGTATGCATCTGCGGTCTCGTCCGTGAATCCTATCCTCCGGGCCTCGCGCGTTCCCGTCGCCACCCCCCACGACGCACCATGCACTGACTTGATCCATTTTTCCTCGACAGGTCGTCCCCGTCTCTCGACGGCCCCCGCTAGGAGACCATAACACCCTATACTTCTTTCAACGGCGCGCCCCGGTCTCCTGGACCGAGTCCATGCTCTCTCCATCTGGCGTGGGCGACGGAAGAGGATGGGTTGATCACGCCTCCCTGCTCGTACTAGACGGAGATGGGCTGTGTGGGGTGGATGCTTAGACCCGGACAGCAGCTGAGCAAGAAGCATCTTACGGGGCGTCTTCACGCGCCCAAGCAGCTCCGTCAAGAGCAGCTCGCAGGGAACGTCGAGCACCCTCACGGCGACAGAAGAGGAGCAACGAGCCCGACAGCGAGTCAGGCAGGCGACAGCTATGCGGGTTGACGGAGTCCCGGTAGTCATTTCGGTGCCATCCTCGGTTCCCCTCCACTCAACCGCCACGTGCAAGAGGCAAGATCAGGGTCATCGCAGCTCGGACAACCTCTTCCATGTATGCATTATCACTGTTTCCACCTCAAGGTCGTACTGAAGTATGCTTTCAGGCTACACTGAGTGGGACGCTCAACCTACTTATGCGCTACGACGATCTCTCCGCCTCGTCATCCGTTGTACGCAAAAAGGTGCTCACTGGAGAGTACAGTCGATGATGCAAGGGCCAGGGAGGATCGTTGCGATATCGCTGAAATCCCGCCACCTCGCAAGATTCCCGACTCCTTGAGCCCAACGCTACCGCGTCCGCGTCCTACTCCACACTCTATCCCCGCCACGCTATCAGCACCACCGCGGACCCGTCCCGAGGCTCTATCGCCGCCCCTGATCCGAGCGGGACCGCGTGTTCGCCGCAGTCTAGCCACTTGAGCCGCAGCAAGTCGCCGACCTCACCGACCCACTCATGTCGTTCCCGAAGCGCGAGCGCGCCATGTGTGTGCTCAACGTGGAGGTGCTTCGCGCCAAGATCGCAGACGCCAAGGTCTTGAGGTCGACGAGACGGAGGAACGGACTCCCGCAGTCTCGACCGTGCCGATGCCGCGGACGCCTCAACGGCGCAAGACGAACGCACCTTCGCTCGCAGAGTCGCCGCACACACCGCTCTCCGGCCGCGCGGCGGCAGGCTCCACTCCCGCGACCGTGGCGCGCTAGCAGGTGCAGACAACCGCCTCGCTCGCACGCCTGCCGGTGACGAGCTCGTCAGCTCGAACCAGGCCACAAGATTTCCTTTGCCGAAGCTCGAGGCGATAATGGCGCCTACTCGACAAGCCTGTGACCTAGCAGAAGCAACAGCTGGGCGACAAGTTGTGTGTTTTCTTTGCCCTGTTTCCTTGAATACAACCGCTGATCGTTCATGTGTGCTTTATTCCAGCAGCTGACGAGTCGTGAAGGCAAAGGTGCACCGAAGATCATGATCGCTCTACTGGGCCAGGACGACCTTCGCCCACCGGCGCATCTGATGAACAGCTACCCGTCGGTGCTCAAGGGGAAGGCGCTTCTTGTTCAAGCAACCCAGAGCAAGTGAGCATATGAATCGCCAGTCAACGAAATCCCAGATATGCCTCGCATACACTCCCGAAAGGAGGGAGGAAAGAACAGTCTCCCCGAGCAAACGCATGTGAATATAGTCACCACTATCTACTAGTACAGCTCACATCTACCCGCGTTATCAAATTTCGTCCCATGGTCTGCGGCTAGGGAACCACACTCTCGTCCTGTTCGTGATCCCTTCTTCATTCCCTATAGACCAGTTCGCTGACGCTTAACCTCCAGTCCATCGGCCCTCGCTTGTTTACTTCTCTTCGTCCCTCTTCTAATCGTCGACCCTGTGCCCAGCACCTCCCTACGCGCTGATCTCGGTCCCACACCATTTACGACCATTGCTTCCTCCTCCTCCTTCCCCTCTTTTCTCCCTTTTCCCGCCCATCATCTGCCATACCTGCCTGTGGAATGCACATACGTTGCGGATAAATCAACATCGCGATTGACAGAAGCTACTACAGGTACAGGGGAAACATCTTACGTGGACGCCCGAGGGACGCACGCGCAAGCGAACCAACGCCGTGACACCATGGAGGACGCCAAGCAGGACCATCCACAGGTCAGGGCAGGTCAGGGCCCCTCGAACTGCGGGATCCGAATGAGCGCCCCTGCGCTGCGCCGCTGCGCCCTTCAGCCCCCCCGGCCGGGACGTTCATACCTACCGCAGACCGCGCTATGAAAGCAAATGCGCGCGCGTCAGCCTTGGGCAACAAAATTAAGGCAACGCAGGGGACGCGGGCCGCAGCCAGCACCATACATACCAGCTTCAAGGTCAGCGCGGCGAAAGTAGTCAACATTCCCTGCGAGGGGACGTCCTCGGGTGGCACCCAGCGCAGGAGCCGGGAGTCAGAAGCAACACGGGGGTCTAGAGGCAACCCAACGCCCACAACCTCGACAGCCTGCATCTGCTGGCGGAGCGAGCGTCGCCGCGCCCGTGTCGAGCCAGCGCTCAGCGCTCAGCGGCCTCGGGAACTTCTCCGCGTTCTGGCGCTGGTCGGCGGGGCTTCACTGCCAAGCTTCAGCCCCGAAAGCCCGTGGATGGCTGTCGGGTCCTATGTCACCTGCCCGATCGCTGGGTGTTCGACGCACCCGAGTGCTGGTGTTTGTCGTCGGCATGCACAGGAACCCCGGATTTTCAGGGGCGCTCGAAGACGCGCCAGCCAAAGAGTAGGCGTTTTGCAAGGCCGAAGGCCATGGGCGCTTATGACCCTCTCTCACTCCGCAGCGGCGACGAGCTGTCACACCTGCCTCCGACAAAGCACGGTAACATCCGGGATGGACAGGGATGACAGCCAGGGGCCTGGTGACATTCAACTGCTCGTCCCAATGGAGGATGGTCATGTCAGTTGTCCCGCCTATCTGTCACCGGATGCAGATTCTCATCACAACGTTACGAATCATCCTCTCCCGCGCCGCGACACTCGGATTCTCCTGCGCACCAGCCTTGTGCGTTCAGCCGTGCGGTGGTTCAAGTCGCGGTGTGTGTGTGTGCACATTGATGTTCACTTCAGATGGCTGTGGTACGTGTCTCGGCTCCAGATCTGCTCTACACATTCGCACCGCTCAACCGGATTTCGAATTCGGTGACGTGGGAGGAAGCGGACATCGGCATACTTAATATTTTCCACAGCGACACCCTTCTCCGCGGCGCCGTCTTCATGAGGAAATTTTCACGGACTAACTCGCCCGCCCTACGCTACCCGAAGCGTTTCGGGTATACGTAACGTCATGTATAGGTTCTTCGTCGCTGCATACTGAGTACTCGACGCCTGTGCCCTGCTTCGCAGCCCCAGCTTGATCTCAAACACCTCTTCGACGCTGGTCGCAGCTATGGAAAGTCAAATCGCTCTCAGCGCGTACGTACTAGCTGTTACAAGATGGTACCACGAGCTCGCATGCTAACGTACGCGGGCTAGTCTCGAGAGTAAATGGGCGATGGTCTCAGCCATCGGCAAGTGGTACACGTGGAGTACGAAGTTGGATTGTCTGATACATTCTTTTGTTCCCAGCCATCACCTACGACCACTTCCTCACACTCGATGTCGAGATCAAACACATCTGGAGCAGGAAGATGACGAGTGCAGGGGCGATCTACGTCGTCATACGTTACTCCTCATTGGTCTCCAACATCCTCACCTTCCTCGATTTCTTCCCTTGGCCGGGCAAATCATCACCAGTGAGAGCATTCCCGAGCCTCCCACGAATGCTAGATGCCTCTGACGCTCTTGACATGGCAGAAGTATGCACCTGCTCGCGTCTAAGCTCTTTTGCAGCGCACCCACTAATCTGCGCTACCGCCCCGCAGGTGCAGCGCGATCACTCTGTGGTTTTCTCTATTGGGCACCGTCATGCTCATATCCGGCGCGGGTGGGTTCTTGAGTTAAAACGTTGAGAGCTGAGATTCGACAATGACTGATCGCGGCATGCTACAGTATTCTCATCGCTGCGAGCACACGCCCTGCGCCAATGGAAACCCCTCACTTTCTGCATTCTAGTGCTTGGGTCTGGGAATGCCGTCCCCTCGCTTGTGAGCATTCTCATTCTTTTTTCCACTTGAATGTGTCCGATTCGACCCTGGGCTTCGCCTAGTATGCAGCGATCAAGACTCGGTCCACCTACGACCCAGGACCCAACAACTTGCTCACCTTGTGCAACGCGGATTTCTCACATTTCGAGTCCTTCCGCAAGTGAGTAGGCTAGGTGTATCGCGGACCACGCTCGGGCTAATCGCATACTTTTACAGGGGTCCGTTAGTGCTTTTCTTTCTCGGTAGATATCTCTTGACTTGATCCCGAACAGCGATCATCGTCGGGCGTTCCTGCGGGGTTCTGAGCGACCTCATCGTTCTTATTTTGACATGGATGCATACAGGCCCGCGTAGAGGAACCGCACAACAGGGGTTGACCATTACTGCGGCGTTTTTTCAGAACGGTAACTGCCTCGCTCTGGATGATTGAGTCTCTACATTGACGCATACACTATGTTGCAGGTGTCTCATACTTCGCGTGAGCGATAGGTCTCCCCTTTCGCATTTGTTCTGTTCGCGCACACCTCGTACTTCCGACAGTGCACTCCTCGTTGTAAATGTTATGAACCTTGCATTCATCAACAACGTGCAGGTAACGCTGCGCCTCATGCGCCTCATGCCTCCACTGCCAAAGTTCGAAGCTGATGTTACCTTTCAACCAGCTGTTGTTCAATCTCATCGGTGCACTCACCGCGTGCGTTTTCCCGCTATTACGCTGTGTTATCCCTGCTGATGGACTCCCGGTGCAGCATAACGGTGGTCTTGACCTGCCGTTTCATCCTCGACTTATTCGAAGCGAGCACAAGGGCCCGCTACGGCACTCTCCCCACATTACACCTCTCGGCCATGGTGCGCTCACGCTCGCTTGCGTTCCAACAGGTTGGCGGTGTTGGCGCGACTGGCGCTTCTGCAGGAATCTTCGGCGCGGATGTTAGCTGGGACGGTTCGGAAGAGAGCGAGAGCGACTGGAGTAAGAAAGACGATTACGGCTTCGAGCTCCAGCCTATGAACCCGGAACGACAAATACCGGATGCGCACCCTCTCGGACCAGAGCCATGAGCATGTAATTTAGATCCCGAAACTATGCATATGTCTCGGAAGCGTTTTGTGGTCGCTTATCACCACAGGATGACTGCTCAGAAGACATAGTAGTGGTATGACGTCATGCCAACCATGCGGCCTTCAACGCGCCGGCGTCAAGACCGAACCCAGCTTCTTCCACACCCTCTCCTCCCGTCTCTCCGACATGCGCGTATCCGAGATCGCGGCATCGTCCGGCTGCTCTCTCGCCGAAGGTGACTATGTCAAGCTCACCATGGACATTGGCGCCCCCGGGGGCTGGAACACGGGGCAGATCGTGCGCATCTACGGTCTCGTCCGTGAGCCCTATCCTCCAGGCCTCGTGCGTCCCCGTCGTCATCCTCCACGACACACCATGAGCTAACTCGAGCCATTTCTCCTCGATAGGTCGTCCCCGTCTCTCGACGGCCCCCGCTAGGAGACCATAACACCGTGTACTTTTTTCAACGGCGCGCCCCAGTCTCCTGGACGGAGTCCATGCTCTCCGATTCATCTGGCGCGGGGGACGGAACAGGTTTGGTTGAACACGCGTCACTGCTCGTACTCGACGGAGATCGGCTGTGTGGGGTGGATGCCGACCGGGCTTTGGGCCCGGGAGACACCGTGAGTCGTCTCCGTCCTCCGTTCATCGCGCATACACAGATCTCTCTAGGTCTACCTATCCCAAGATACCCAGTTCGCGCCGTCTGCCCTCGGTACCGGGCCGCGCACGCTCCCGCGAACGCGGGTTTACAACGCCCCGCGAGGGACACGGTGCACGGTTCGAAGTCGCCGAAGCCTCGCGACCGGTGCTGTGAGTGCTCTTCTACGCCCCTGATGCATATCTGCGGCCGATTGACGCCGTTCCATGCGTCCAGGACCTGTCACCGTCCACGACGGCGTCCTCGACGGAGAGCGTGGACGGCGTCGGGTACGTTCTCGAGACGGACGTCACCGCGACGGACACGGAGTGGGAGACGTACTCGGGGTCGAAGAACTGGGAGTGGTTCGCGCCTTTATCACAGGAGGAGCTTAGGGCGGTTGAAGACGCGACCGCTGGAGCGCGTGGATGTGAGGTCTCTTGGGACGTCGTGGGCTGAATGATTACGGACAACTGTCGCAGTTCTTCTCTCATGTCACAGGTGTATTGGATATGTATCGGCACAGATAGTACAGCAGTACAATACTCATAGCGGTTTTTCTCACTTAGCCATAAACTTCGCGGCAAGCTCCTCAGGTATCGCAGCTGCGATCTATGTCTGTGCAGTACGTCCCGCCTCCGCACGCACTGTGCTCGCTGGACGCCCGTCGGGGCCAGGGCGACGCCTGGATGGCCGGCACATTTGAGACGGAAATATCGGGGAGAAGGGAGGACGTGTGCCTGGACGGCGGGCAGCATTTGCACAAAGCGGAAGTGGTGGCCAATGTCCTGGAAGGGCCGTTCTCGTTCGAGTGGTCGATGACGCCGACGGTGCGGTGAGTTGAGCGTGGGTGGCATCGCGACGACCACGAAGAGATCCCTTTAAGCTACGGCGGCTGAGGAAGTTATGCATGCGCTTGCTGAGCGTTAGAGCATTGTTGCCTAAACACCCTCGAATCCCGCGAGCCCGATCGCAGCGCAGCCAACGCCACAGCGAAAGAACAGCGTCCCGATCGAGGGGCGTGTACTGCTTCGACACATACTAACGCACATAATACTGGAAGCTCATTATGACCGCGTATCATCCGTTGCGCTCATTGACTTCGAATCCCTCGGCCACGAACCGCCCCTCACGGCGTGTAGCGAAATACGTGAGCCTGCGTCAGACGTTCGAGTAAGTTCGCGCGCAAGGTACACCGACTCCCTGCTCTTCCATGCGTACCTTGTCTGCGAGCTCGCGTGTGTCCCCCATGGCGTCGCGCACGGGCTTCCCGTACCGTTCGTCCCTTCGCCGGTATTCCAGGTGCTCCTACATAAACCTGCAGAGCTACTCAGCTGGGGTACTTCGCCGGGTTCATGTGCGCACACACCTTCCAGTCCCTAGGTATAAAGGAACGGATGGGGCGAATCCTCTCTAGGATACGCCTAGAGCGATGCGGGAGACGAGCACGCCAGCAAAGTTGAAGGACGTCGCCTAGAAACGCTATGTCAGCTTATGCGCGAGAAAAAAAATGAATACAGTGCAAACCGTGAGGACAGCACAAACTCCCCACCCCACAGCAACGAAACAGAACCAAACTCGAGGCGGGCAGAGTTTGAAAAGTACTGTGAGGGGCACGGGGCACATAATCTAAAATCGGATGCATCAGGATAAGATTCAGCCGTGATACAGACAACATACGAATGAGAAATAGAATGCGGAGCTGGCCCAGTCAAACAAAACGCCAGTGGGGTCACCACCAAGGATATCTTGAGGGAGGCCTTGCAGCCGTGCGTTGCCCAAATTCACTCGGTCGAGATCTGACCACAACCATGAGGGAAAAGTGACAACGCGTTGTAAAACACAGTACTCACAGGAGCACAGAAACAAGAAGCAGATGAAAGGCATGATCCGCTCGTCGAGCCTTCTCACCAGATGCTTCTCTTCCGCGGGAGTAGCCTTCTCATCTTGAGTGACTGCTTCATGATCCACCTGCGGGAGGTGTGGGACCTCCTGGTCGGAAGTTGAGACCTTCTCCGTACTGGACATCATGGTGAGAGCACGAACAAAGAGTGGATAGGGAAACGTAGGGCATATCAGCGGTCGTGGGCGTTCGAAGACGGTATTTGAACGGCAGTAAGGAAGACACCCCTGGATTTCAACTCAACTGCGTGGGGAGGCAGACACAGATTGAGACACTCACTTCAGGCCTATCGCAAGCCGTGTCTAGACCCTCTGAACTGGACCCGCCCGCTCCTGTAATTGAAATGGGACGGACGGATGAGAAGCGCAACGTCGAGGTGAAAGATATCGCTGGAGTCTCCGTTGGGCCCATCTTGAAGGAGCCCTTGCAACAGGTTGAATCGGCAGAGGTCTTCATAGCGCAGAATGAAGTACATAACAGAAGCAGCGTTTAGCAAAAACACGTACTGAGATATATGCAGGATCCTCACCAGGCGCTGCTCCCCTTATCCCTCGTTTGTTGGCACGCCATCTCCTTCGATCCCAAGCCCCGCCGTCAAAATGTCTTCCGTGATCTTGTCGAGAGCCAATTGGTTGGGGCAAACCGGTGAAAACCTGGAGAGATGGGCGTGCCGTGTGCAGACTGAGGTCCGTCTCAATCGGCGTCGAGGTGATTTGACGGGGGTAATGTGGGAGTAATGACACGGCTTGATAAAACAGCAGCACTGGGAAGATGGGAGGTGGGGCAACGGGGAGCGAATGAAGGTACCTGTTGCAAAGTAAGTTCTAGGGTAGGGATATGACGCATTCGTCTCACTTTTGTCACATGACCGCGACGCGATCACATTCACCCTCGCGTAAGACTTATTCTCAGACCACAACGTGCTCCCCTCCCACTCTGCAACGGCGACGAGTTGTTACGCATCATCGTCGCCCGCACCGCACGACCAGCATTCTCCTGTGCACCGGCCTTGTGTATTCAACCGCGCCGTGCTCCCCGCGGGTGCGCATCAATGCTTCAAAGTGGCTGTCATACGTCTATTTCGACTCTACTCGTCGTTCCGTTGGATCACCAGGCTCTCACCGCTCAACTGGATTTCGAATTCGATGACGTGCGGGGAAGCAACCATCGGCCTCTTTAGCGCTTTACTGCTCAGCAACAACGTAAGAATATCCGCGGTTGGTCAAGTCTAATTTACTCGCCCCTGCGCGCAGCGCTTCGGGTATGTACTGTCACGTATAAGAACGCTCTAGTTCTTGGTTGCTGCCATACAGAGCACTCACTCGACGCTTGTACCCTGCTCTGCAGCCCCAGTTTGATCTCAGACACCTCTTCGACGCTGGTCGCAGCTATGAGCAGTCAAATCACTCTCAGCGCGTACGTACTAGCTGTTGCAAGATGTACCAGCCGGGTTTGCATGTTCACGTACGCGAGCCAGTCTTCAGAGTAAATGGGCGGTGGTCGGATCCATCGGTAAGTGGTATTCCGCATTTGAGGTGTTACTGTGACGCATTCTCTCGCCGCGTTCCCAGCCATCGTCAGCTACGACTACTTCCTCACACTTGATCGCGAGATTCAGTACATCTGGAGGAGGAAATTCACGAGTGCAAGTGCGATATATATCGTCACACGTTACTCCTCATTGGCCGCCAACATCTTCACGCTCCTCAATTTCTTCCCTTGGCCGGGCAAATCAACACCAGTAAGAGCATTCCTGAGTCCCAACAAATACTAGACGTCTCTGATACCCTCGGCGTGGCAGAAGTACGCACGCGGCCGCGCCTGTTCACATTTCAGCTCTTTTGCCGTGCATACACTAACTGGCGCTACCGCCCCGCAGGTGTAACGCGCTCGCACGGGCTTTCACCGCAACGGCTACCGTCATCATCATGTCCTCCGCGGGTGTGTTCTTGAGTCGAAAGCTGAGATCTGCAACGGCTAATTACTGTGTGCCGCAGTTTTCTCGTCACTGCGAGCGTACGCGCTGTGCCAATGCAAACCCGTCTCCTACCTCGTTTTAGCGCTAGGGTCTGGGAATGCCGTTCCTTTGATTGTGAGTACTCCCCTCCTTTCTTCCGCCTGACTGTTTTCAACTCAAGCGTTGCTCAGTATGAAGTGATCAAAACTCAGGCCACCTACGACCCAGGAACCAACAACATCGACACCATGTGCAAAGTGGATTTCTCGCCGTTCATATCCTTCCGCAAGTAAGTGGGCTAGGCATATCCTCAATGAAGCTTGGGCCACTCACCTATTTTCACAGGGGTCCGTTATCGCTTTCTCCCTCAGCAGATATCTCTTGACTTGATACCAAACAGGGACTGTCATCGGGCGTTCGTGCGGGGTTGTCTGCGACCTGCTGGTCCTTACGTTGACGTGGAGACATGCAAAACCTTGGAGAGGAAGCGCACGCCAGAGGTTTACCCTTACGACGGCGTTTTTCCAGAATGGTAACTACGATCTTGTGGATGATCGAGTCTGGACTTTGTGCATTGACGCATCCACTACATTGTAGGTGTTGTATACTTTGTGTGAGCCATATGTCCCTTTCGCACTTATTCTCGTCGCTCACACATCATACTTCCAGTGCACTCCTCGTTCTCAATGTCATGAATCTTGTCTTCATCAAAGAGGTTAAGGTAACACTGCACCTCGTGCGCTTGATGCCCCCACCAGAGTCCGAAGCTGATGATTCCTTTCCAGCTCTCGCTCGATTTCATTGGTGCATTGAGCGCGTGGGTTCCTCGCCATTCCGCCCCGTTACCTCCGCTGATGACTTCCCCGTGCAGTACGGCAGCAGTGTTGACCTGCCGCTTCATCCTCGATTTGTTCGAGGCGAGCACGAGGACACGCTTCGGCACTGGCCCCACAGTACGCCTCTCCGCCATGCCCAGCATGATACTTTCACGTTCGCTCGCGTCCCGACACGTTGGCGGTCCCGACGTGACAGGCACTTCCCAAGGGATTTTCGACGCAGATGTCAGCCGGCACAGGACAGAAGAGAGCGAGAGCGTCTACGGCACCACGGATGACTACGACTTCGAGCTCCAGCCTGTTAACCTGGAACGTCAGAAATCGAACGTGCACCCCCTCTTATCTGAGTCTTGAGCACGTAGAACGTGTCTGCGTCTTAACGCGTCGCTGTGATGTTTGCGGTTGTCTGTCACCACATAATGACAGCTTAGAAGGTGGTGCGCAGATATCCTGACGGAGCTTTGTAGATGGAAGACGCTGCATTTACCTCACGACATACGCCATGGAGGGACCACGCGCAGAGATAGTCTGGATGACAGGACTCATGAGTGTTTGATGAAGCGCGAAACTCGCCTGTAGTCTGGTGACGTTTGTACTATAATGCCGTTGTCTCATTTGTATCTCGAGTATTTCACACGATTTTGGCTCACTCTGCATGACTCGTCCTGAAGGCCTGAAGTCTCGAAAAACGTCAAAGGCGCAGTGGGCGCCAACGACGCACACCCACCCGGCACACTCCCTGGGCACCGACCAAGCGGCGCACCGAACATGCACCGAAACCAAAGCCCGAAGCCAGTGGCAGCCTGGGGCCCGGCTCTCCGACATACGTGACCTCTTCCGAGTACCACTGTGCGTTCAAGCCTACGAGCAACCGGGTTATTGTACAATATTGTCGGGTGACTTGTGGAACGCCCAAGCCGTCCGTCTTCGCGACCCAGACCCCGAGTCCTCCCCTATTCCTCTGCATCCATCAGCCTACATCGGGTACTTGCGCGACACTATCGTCGTGGACTCGTGAATTGTCGACAGCACGCTCGTACATAAGAGGAGTCGCCAGGTATGTATAGCGTCCAGACCCTGCTGACCGCAAACCTCGGCGACAATGTACACGACGTGATCGGCTCATGCTCGTTCCCGGTACCACGGAGCCACGACAAAGCGCCGTCGGAGGCATCCGCAGTTGGATAAAGGCCGCCCGACTCCCGTAAGCTAAGGGCGAGGGCATCATCGTCGGCAAAAGCAGGCGCGGCTGCGCAAGATGAAGGGTACCGAATGCGGGATACCCGCCGTCTCTGAGAAAGCTCGTACTTAGCTCTACGAAGATACTTACAATACTGGCATGAATACATCATCATCATCATCAGCAAGATGAAGGGTAGGCCAGCGGCCCGGAGAGACTCTGGGCGCTTACAGTCATCGTGGCGAAAGGCGAGTTGACTAACGGCGACTTATTCTCAGACTACTATATATGACAGGCTCCCCTCCCACTGGGCAACGGCGACAGGCTTTCTCCATCGCCACTTTCTACTTACCCAAGGCGAGCTACGAGCGGAGCGCCGGAGTCCCTGGAGGAAGGGCCGAGGAGTGGCCACCAGAGACCGAGACCGTGGGCGCTTGTGGGAGGACTGGTGTTAAGGTACGGGCGCGCAGGGCGCGCACGTGCCGGATTTCGGTGCCAGAGTTCGGCGTACCGGCCGAATTTCGGCCACGCTGCGAGCAGGGCTCGGGCGTCTTGACTTCGGCGAAGTATTTCGCCGAACTTCGGCCATCAGATCGGGCGATCTGAGACCATACGGACTCTTATGTACTCTACGCGCGTCCCACGGACGCCAGCTTACCTCTACCCGCACTACCGCTGTATTCGTTACCTCAATCGAAGGTTTGGACGAGTCTGGCACCGGTGCGATCGTATATTGTCATTTTACATCTTTTTTGACTCCCCGCTACCTCTACACGAGGTCTACTGAATACTATGAGTCACAGGTCGCCCCAACAAGACCATTTCGGCGCGTCGTCGTCGTCTGCAGCCCTCGATATGACTGCAGGCGCGACACGCAGCCGTCCCTACACCCCAATCCCGTCTCGCCCTTCGAGCTCAACACTTGCACGCGGCGAAACATCACATTCGCCACGTTCGCATGCTCCCAGCGACGACGACACAACATATCGCCCATCTGCCCGAGTGCGCGACGCCGGAGTGCCTATCACAACGCCTCCGACGCCGACCCCTCGGGCCTCAACATCAACAGGAGTACGTGGATTCGGTGAGTATCCCATTGCCGCACCTTCCCCGCGGCGAGATGCCTCCTACTCTACGTACCATGACTCGATTATGTCGAGTGCGCAGGCCGGGCCATCAGCGGACCCTCGACGGTTCGCTGAAGACTCGCCTGCCGAGCGTGCGTATGCCGCACGCCCTGCCGTCGAAAATACCCAGGCGGAATTAATGCAACACCGCAACCGCCTGGTGTCAATTTCGGCGCGATTGGACGCGTTCCACCGTGATCTTGGCGCCGAAATTCACGACGCCATGTCACGGACAAACCGTGTTCTTGGAAACGCAACCAGCGCGCTGCTGGACGTCGACGGGGTAATCAGTAGAAATAAATTTATTGAACGACTGCCCTACCGAAGCCCAGCTACGATTGCGCGCGAACTGGAACGTGAGCGAGAGCAGGTAGCACGCGAGCAAGAGAATCGTGTGCTCCGCTCCACGCTTCACGCTATGCATGAACAGGACCCACTGCGGCCAGCAACACCAATCGCTGAGCGGCCGCCGTCCCGGATTGACGAAAGGAGCCATGCTACACATGGGAGTGGCCGAACTTCGCATAGCTCTGTGATAGAAGGCTCTGCCTCTCATAAAAGTCGGCGAAGTGCGGCTGCACCCACGCATAATGCTCCCCAACCGCTGCCTGACAGTGATAGCGAAGTTCGGAGACAACAGCCACCGAATTTCGCTCTTGCTAGCCAGGACGCGCGACGATATGCGCAACCGGAAGTTCCTGTACGTGCTCCCTCACCTGAGGATCGCTACCGTGACTATCGGTCCACGTATACGCAAATTCTGGATCAGCAACACGAGGACGCGAAGCAACAGCTGCGATTCGAAGCTGAGCAATCGCGTCCAACGTACGACCGCAATGCGGCAAGCAATGCGCGGTTCGCAAAGGCATCGAGCACATTGTATGCTCCTGGCCTAAGTGCAAGCCGTGCACCGTACCCCGCAATCACAAGAACCCATGCGCCTAGTGGTTACTACTATCAGGGACAACCTGTGCAGGTAGTACCCTCTGCGCATGTGTCCGCACCCACGCCGAATTCACAATTGCCTGGCACGCAGCACCTTGATGTGCTGATGCGGCGAATTGTGGAGAACATCCGCTTCAAAGTCGGGGGACGCAGCATTCCGCTGCCTCAGGGTGCAAAGCAGCCGAAACCGGACATGCCAGACAAGTACGGTGGTGAAGATGACCACCAGAAATTTGTGCTCTGGCTGGACGGATTCCTGAATTGGCTCAGGGCGTACAACTTGTGCGGCCCTGATGCCGATGAACATCGTTCGCGGCAAATTCGGCCATGCCTTGAAGGACGAGCGATTGACTGGTGGACCCAGTCAATAGACCGCCCTGGCGTGCCGCATCTGTCGTTTGAAGAGATCATCTGCAAGATGCACACGCACTTTGTGCACTCCAGTACGGCCGCGAAAGCAACCGAGGAGTTCGCAAAGTGTATGTACTCGCATCGGAAGGGTGTACTCACATTTGCCTCGGATCTCCAACGCCGTGCAGGCGAAATGATCGAACACCCCACAGACTACGAGATGAAGCTCCGTCTGTTCCATGGGTTGCCCGAAAATATTCGCACTCACCTGGGCGTGAACCGGAGCATCAACCCTGAGTACAACTCATGGCTCGACATTGTCGAGAATGCACGACAGCTTGAAGAGTCCCTGAGGGTGGTTAGCTCGACGCCGCGTACGGGAACGTATGGTGCGGCGTCCAGCACACCATCGTCAAAGGATGACCGCAGCAGTCGTGAAGGCCACAAGCCGAACCACCAGCAGGATCGCCGTGATGGAGAACGCGGCCGAACGCAATCGCGCGACCGCAGCCACCAAAATCACGGTAACAAGTCAGCGAGCCAAGGATCACGCCGAAATTTCTCAAATAATCGACGTGATCACTCGAGCTCAAAGCGTGAGCATTCCACTGGAGCAGGAGGACGTCCATCTACTCCAGGTGTGAAAGCCGCCGAAAATGCGTGCTTTGCTTGCGGAAAGACAGGTCACTATATGCGTGATCCTGTGTGCCCCAAGTACAGCGAAACAATGAAGAGCGAGGGCCCGAAAACCACACGCTTCCACGCGCAGCGAATTGTCAGAGATGACGGCCGCAGCGAGGATGCGTGGGGTGGGTCACAATATGAGTCGGGCTCAGAATCCGATGGAGCGAAGCTCGCTCCAGAGGGGGAAGATCCAGACTCTGAAGGATCGGAAATTGTACGCTCCTACGCGATGCGCACGCTTCCGAACCTCCGCTTTGGTGCCATGCGTACTACGCCACACGCCGAATTTTCTGCGAATATTCGGCGTAAGACTAATACGCCTTCTACGGCACAGCCGGAACGATCTCCGGCAGACCAGGCGGCACTCTGTTGCCTGGTCGATATCAACGGACTTCAAGCGTACACACTGTTCGATACAGGCAGTACGACCGACGCACTCACGCCGGAATTTGTGCACACTACCCGCGCAAAACGTATTGTTCTGGACGAGCAGATTGTACTGCAACTCGGGTGCTCAGGTAGCCGATCTAAGATCAACTACGGTGCTCGAGTACCTATGAAGCTAGGACCGATTGATGCCAAAGACGTGTACTTTGACATTGTCAACCTAGATCGCTACGACTGCATCATTGGGACGCCGATTATGAATAAGTACGGCATAGAAGTGAGCTTCGCCAGCCGTACTATCAAAATCGGCGACCAGATCATTGAGGCGTTCGACTACGACCAGGACGAGAAGTACTGGGCAGGGCGTAAGACTACCTCTGCCAGACAATCGCCCCGGAAAGCGAACAAGCCTAATAGCAATTGACTATCGCCGTCAGCAACCACTACGATGCGCCCTAAAGCGACAGTCGAAGAGGTTGCAGATGACGAAGTTAATAACAAGCGAACAAACACGCTTGCGCAAGATAGTGCGTATATACTCGAGGACTTGAATGAAGAATCAGACGAGCCCCCGAGTATACATACCACTGCCGACGTGACAACAGATGAGCGTGAGGAGGAGGATGAACCCGCCGAAATTCCTCCTGCGCCACCTAGAGTTGCATACATCTATCGTGAAG